AATTATTAAAATACAATAATGATAATTGTTTTTTTACCCTTTTATCTGGCAACAAAACTGACGCCTTTTTTTTACAAGGAGTCATGTTTGCATTGACCACAATACCTGCAGTCGGAATGCAAACAAAAAACATAACTCTGATAATGTATGCACTGTCTTTGAAATTGATTGGTCCACACCCGAGACAGCTTTCCTTAGAGCCTAGTCTCACATGGTGTTGGACCAGATGACGCCAAAAGGTGCACTCAAACCCCCAGTGGCGATGTTCACACACCACAGCAGTTACTCGTTTGAGGCTGAGTCGACCTAGGGGAGGCCCAGGAGCGGTTAAAATAATCCTCACCGGTGGTGGCCGTTAGCGGGAATCGAACTCGGGTAGCAGGGTTCGTAGCGCGCTAACCACTACACTACAATGCGTTACGCTTCCACGTGCGCGGGTCACGTGACAGATGTGGCGTCACCGCTCACTTGCCGTGCAAAAAGTATATGCATTATTGAGCTCCCCCCCAAAAAACCCACAAAAGTGTATTATTATAATTTTTGCATGGTGTGCAGTCTAGAAAGTACCCACATGGCAAATTTCAAGTTTGTTGCATGTCGGGAAGTACGCTAAACATGTTGAACAGACACACATAATCACAACTTTGCCTTTTATATATATGGCGATAACATTTGGTAATTGTTCATTCAGCAGACTCAACATTCACCTGTAATCCCGAAAGTCAAATCATGGCTTATGATTCGACAAGGCCCTTCATCCCTCTGAATTTGATAAAGTACCACTTTATTGGAAGTCAACACCAGTTGTTGGAGAGACTGTACTCTGCATTGATGTGGAATTTCCACCACTTGCTCAGAGCCACCAATGGAGATAAACCCTGTCCATCATTTTAAGCTGGGAGATGCTTTGACTATTTTGATGCAGAATTATATTGCATGCAATATTTTTACCCACAACCTGAATCGCATATTGTAATGGCACAAAACACTGTACAGTACTGCAAACCAATCAGTATCAGTTACATTGCCTGCAGCAACACCGCTATGCGCACTTGCCTTTGTCAATTACAGTTATGCTGAAATTCGCAGCCACCATGTAAAACATCGAGCGAGCAAAGGCAAAGACAAAGAAGAGCTTTAACAGACCCTGTAGCACATGGCCAGACATGATAAGAGATAGAGGACACTGTCTGCTCACAGTCATACATAACAATGGTATAGCTTACAGCTGGCCCAATGTATTTTGGGACAAAAGCCCAGCACAGCGGCATTAATTTAATATGAACACCAGGGGCAATTTAGCTGTGGAGCTTGGCATGGACCGTAGTCCTTCCACTGCAGTGATCAAGCGGATTACACCTTGTGCTGTGAGACTCTTAATTTGCCACCAGCAATTTGGATGGGAGATGGGGCACAGCAAGTGGGTTCCTGACCCATCTGCAGATTTCATTATCATCCCTTCATAATATGTGAAGGTTTTTTCCAGCTACTCTCATTCCATTGGCACAGGCAAAACACTCAAAAAAATAACCTGACCTCGCATTCCAATTCAGCATCCAGCTGAATAGTCTTGAGGCTCGCCTAAATAAAGTAAAGTCAAAATACAATGTCTTTGCTGAAATGAGTGTGGTAGCTGTAGCAGAAATTCCACATTGCTATGGTAAGCCAGCCTCTTTATAAGACACGAATCATTGACTTATCGCAAAGTTGTCAGTTTTATCAACCGTGGAACGACGATGGGTTAAACTGATACCTGACTAGGAGTGGCACTTGCAACCTATGATTGTGAATCAAGTGTTCTCCAACAGCATCACCCAACTGGCTCGCTAATAAAGAGACGTGATACTAGTGGTGGGAATTTCAAACTAAGCTCACAAACGGTAGGCTTCTTTTTTTGGGAACATAAGCACCTGCGTATTGAATTAAAACTGCTTGCTATGCGGATTGGTCATACTTTAGAGTGCATTTCTGGATTGTGAAACCTAAATTCCATTGTTTATAGAAACTTAGTACAGTGGTACCTCGGTATACGTCATTAATTCGTTCCAGAAGGGTAGGACTTATACCGAAAATGACGTACACCAAACAAATTTTTCCCATAAGAAATAAAGGGAAAGGAAATAATCCTTTCCAGAGTATAAGAAATTATATTTTATATGGCATATTATACATTAATGGGGTTGTATAAAATAATTTAGACACTACTTATTACTAAAATGCATACATAAATTAAAATAAATGCATAAATAAATTGAAATAAAAAAACATTTAACATCACTTTACCTTGCTGAGAGGAGTTGATAGCCTACGAGGATGGTGGTGAGGAAGGTGAGGAGGAGGAGATGTTATTCTTTTGGAAGGAGAGTTCCCTTCCATTAAAACTTCAGGAAGCTGAAATTCTGGGGGGTTTTTTCTTTTCTGTCTTTTTTCTTGTTGGACCTGGTTGAGGCTCACCAGGTTTGAGTTTTACTAAAAACCTGTCCATTGAAGTTTGTTTTTGCCTTCTTAGAATGTTCCTGAAGTGTGACATTGTCTGATCATTCCACAAAATACTGTTACGGTTTGTTAGAGCCGTAACAGTATTGTGTACGCGAGTACTGTACGCGGTGACTCATTCCGACCCATACAAGTTCTAGCAAGCGCATCATATCCCAAGCAAGACATCGTATCGCAAGACATTTTTTTCTCGTCAAAACACGACGTATACCAAATTCGACGTATTCCAAAGCGGCCGTATACCGAGGTATGACTATATCAACTTTTCCCAGTTGCAATTGTGAAATATTTATTGTGTGCTGTCCAAATCTCTGGATACTTCTATGCAGTTGAAGGCACATATCTTTCTCCAATAGCTACATGTAATATAATGTGTTAACACTTTTTGGAAGTAAGTTGAAGTTTGTCAACTCCCTTTTCCTCATCAAGTCCAGGCTCAAGACCTTCCTTTTTTCCTCTACCTATGTCTGATCCTCTCCATCAACAAAATATAAAGCCTCCTGTTTTTCTACAGCATCTTGAGATGCGATCACATTTAGGTGCTATATGAATCCACTTTGAATTGTATTTAGTGTCCCAGAGACTACACAAAGTCCCTTCTTGACCATAAGCTTGCACTAAAATAGAAAATAAAGCCTAGTGTTTGGTGCAGTGGATGGACGAAGGGATTATGAATATAGTCATATGTTGTGTAGGTGCAAGATAATGCATTATGGGAAATACTTGACTGTAAAATGTCTTACCTCTAATCTAACTAACCCTCCCACCTCGGCTCAAACAGCTGTCAGGGAGGTCACCTAATTGTAAAGGATATCAAAATCAGCTCTAAAGGGCCATGACACTTAAGTGCCTGGGAGCTGACACCGTAATCTCTGTATAGTTTAACATGTAGGCTTTCGCGACCAATATCATCCATAATAGAAGTTTCTTTGGGTTAGATCGCGTAAATATATAAATGTGTCGTTAAAACTCGCCACCACCCGACACAGCCAACTAGTAAGGGTTGTCACGTAAACAGAACATGCCAATTCGTCACTAGTACAGCACACCGGTGTGTTGGAGAGACAAGCCACAACATTTACAAACTTGAGTACGACGTTTCGCCAGTAATTACAACTAGTTTCATCAGGCGACAGCCAGATTTGTGGAGAAGTCTCACTGTTTCGCTTTTTATATAGAGGCCTCTAAGGAACGAAACAGTAAGACTTCTCCACAAATCTACTAGTTGGCTGTGTCGGGTAGTGGCGGGTTTTGACGACATATATAGTTCCTTCTGCTCAGTGTATTTTATAACATGCAAATACTTTTTAAACCCAATTTTTATAAGCTGTATTACTTTTTATTATTAAAAGTTGCAATTATAATTTGCCATGTAAAATGTCATTACTTTCAACAATGAATATCAGATGGTGGAAAGTGATTGACAACATAATCACATTATTACAAGTTGTAATAACGTGAATAGGTGGACATCGGTGATGTTTTCCAGAGTTAACGGTATGGTTGTTCACAGGAGGAAGTGATGGAATTTGTGCAGCATATCGGCAAGGAAATGCATCTTGCATGCGAGATGTGCATATTCATTTAATATGATTTTATCTCAAAGGTGCCCCACATCAGAGTTTTTAGGTTTGAGTGAGCACAATTTCCAATATGAAGCCTGTAGAAAGAGAAGTTGGAAGAACGTAATCAACCAGGTAGGGTGTTGACTTATGTTAGCCAACTCTCTGTGTTGTATTGCATTATATTTCTAAGTTTACTAGGTTTGTTTTCTCTTTCATTCGTACCTGATGATGATTACCTGTGTTGCAATCGAAACGTCGTATGCTATTATTTAATTTTAAAAATATTTCTACGTGACTTTACCGGAATAATTAAAGAGTAATTCCTGCAGTCACGAAAGCTCCAAATCAAGTTTGGATGGTTAAGTTTTGGATAATCTTAGGTGCCTCGTCGGTACTGCATGGGCTAACACGCATGCATTCTGGGAGCATTTTGAAGGCTCTGCGTTTTGCTCGAGACATTCAATAACCTTAAGATTTTTTGTTCAAAATTGCCAATTCTCCTCAGCTTGTTAGATGCAGCATACATGAGAAGCTATTGAGACTTATTCAAACAGTATGTCACAAGTACCTCAATATTCAGTTCTATCTCACTGTAAGAAGTAATGGCATTATTACGCACCGGTGTGTGCAGGCTCACCATACGTCTGCCCTCAGGTTGTTGCTTATTTAGGCTTGCTACAGCTGTGGCAGAGTGCTTGAATTACGATGGGAAGGGAGCAAGTTCAAATACCGGTCATGGCTTGCCACCGCCCGTCAACCTTCTTAGGTCCACAAAAGAAGTTCAACTCTTTGGGAATTCCAAAATGGTCATCTAACTTAGAAATGGTGAATTTCCACCTGGATGAGGGTTGCCTGTGGAGATGAGCACCTTTCGTACGGTAAGGGATACACTTTGCCTGGCTGTTGAAGGAGCACGTGTTGTGTTTGCGTGACCCCCAGCTGGCGGCGTTTCAGCAGCAGAGGAGAGAACACCAGCAGGAGGGTGGGGGCAGCGTGGAGGAGGAGGAGGAGGAGAAGGAAGGGAGTGAGCGGCCAACGACCCGGCGCAACAAAAAGCGCTCCGGGAAGGGTGGTGGCGCTGCCCCAACAGCTGAGCGCGAGGCCCGAGGCAAGCAGCTGCATGGCGCACGTACCCTGCGCTCCGGGGACTCTGTCAGCCAACAGCAAACCTACGTGTTCAAGGTACTACTGCACTTCACTATCTAATTTATTTAATGATGGATGGTTCCTTTTTCCACGGGTAGGTGGAGTTCCCCCACTTTTTCTGTGCTTCAGGCTGGAGATGAGTCTCGTTTCAGCAGGAAGCCACTTTTGTGAAACGTTGAGCACGTCACCCAGTTTGGGAGGGTCCTGCTTGGAAGTTGGTTGCGTAGAAACAGAGTCCCTGGAGACAACCCATGTATGTGTCGTGTCCTCCTTCCTCCCGGCGTGTGTGTGTGCATGTGGTGTGCGACGGACACACTCAGTCGGAGATGAGGTAGTTGCAGGAGGCACTATCTCACTCTTTATTCTCTTGTTGAACCACCAACTCCGGCCTCCTCTCTAATGACCACGCTGCCGTACAGCCCAGACACGACCCTGTCCTCGTTACACCGACGGCGTCGACCAAGACAACCAACTCCTGTTCGGCCGAGTGTCACTACATATTTAAAGGGACAACAGTCAAAACATCTTCCCTAAATGTTCCATTTAGTGCATGTACCTATCTTTGGACAGTCCATTGACCCCACCTCCAAAATGTCAAATGACTGCCATGTGCCTCCACCTAACCTGGATTCACATTGTAAAGTAATTGTAATTCATTTTAAATGTGGACAATGTTATTGAAGAGTATTAAACTTGACACCTTAACAAAAGTGTGACTGCCAGAATTGGTTGTAGAGGCAACCCCCGCACCTACGGCCTAATTGGTTTTTGGACGACGGTTGTGAGTTGAGCCGTTGTAAGTCGAACCCTTATTTCCCATTGGCACAATGTTATGCATTAGGGTTCCGTTCCTGGAAAACCATTAAATACCGCAAAAATACCAAAATTGACCACAACATAAATGAAAATAACCTGAACAAACATTTATTGTAACTTAACATAAACTTAACATAACTTTACAAACATTGTAAAGTAAAAACAAACACTTGCATTTGAAAATTCTTAAGTACTGTTCTGCATGTGTATCACATTCCCTCTTCTTAGACTTAGCGAATGGCGAACATTTAAAAAAATTGAAGAAAATTTACAAAGAAATGTAGAGCGTTGCGAATGACATGCGCAGACGCAGCGCCCAATCGACTCGGCGTCGGTAGCAGTCGTTAGGCGGTTGTAGATACGAGTTTTAGTCGTTACTGTGGAGGGTCTTAATTACTATCAGAAAGGTCGTAAAGGCAGGGGGTCGCAAATCGAGCCATCAGAAGTCGACGGTCACCTGTATAGATTTTCAGTTGGAAAATAAAATTTAACAGCAGCGATAATGATGTTAACAACTGGAAAACCGGCAAAGAGACATTGAATAAACCCATTCTGCTCAAACAAAAGCAATGTAAAGGGTGAAACACTTCAAACCCCATAATGGAAACAATGACATGAAAAGGCTCTTTAAATTCCCACAAACAATCCCCCATGGGTAATGCACAGTATTCTGTCTACTATCGCTGTGTTTAAATGTATTACTCTAGTCTACAAATCCCTCCATGGTCTTGCCCCACCATATCTTGCATCTCTCATATCTTACTACATCCCATTCCATCCTCTGCTCCCAATTTCTCCTGTCCCTCTATGTGCCTCACTCACCTTGTGCCCAGTCACGCTTTCGTTCATTTTCGCTTTCTTGCTCCCCTTCACTGGAACCAACTCCCAATGCATATAAAAACTCATCTTCACTAACCTGCTTCCATTCCTCCCTTAACACCCATCTCTTATCCCTTGCCGATCCTACTGCTACTCCCTGCCCCGGCCCCCCAGCAATGACCAGGCCTTCCCAAACCCCTATCACTACCCCTACACCAACACCTCCTTAACCACTACCACCTGTCCTCCTTGCTCACACCATAACTACACGACCACTTTTCATAACCCCACTCTTTCTTTTATCCACGATCATTTAACGTACGATTTTATTGTACGTTAGATGATGTAAAGCATCTTGGATAAATGCGGTATATACATCTATATTACATAAGATAATATTCTCTTGATGAAATAATGAAAAAAATGTGTTATTTGCACAAATAGTGGCAGGTGTTGTGCTACAAGAAGTGGAGGTTTCCTCTGCGTTTGCCACGCTTGTCTTTAAGCAAAATGCAATTCAATATACAATTGAGATGATATTTTATTCAATCAACACATAAATTCGACCGTTTAAAGTAAAAACTAATTTGTAAATAAAAATATGCTGATTCACCTCTCAAATCTTGGCTCCCAGCTCCCGGCTTTTAAATTCCCCTCTGCACGCTGGGCTGCATAGACTCATAGAGAGCAGCTTCCAACACATGCCACGCCTTTGTGAGGTAGCCGGTGTCACGGGGTTCCCACCCAGTCAATGGAGGTGATGGACACTATTTGAGGATTTTATGGGACTGAACCTTATGTGCCTGTCACTTTCAATTTATTTTTCTTATTAATGGACATCTTAGCGCACACAACCATGGTGTGTATCCACAAAATTATCAGATTTTGGGTTACGTGCTCACGAAAAAGAGCTCACCTTGCATGATTGTCCTGGTCTTTATAACATTGTACCTTTTTTATTGGCTGTGCTCTGATGTAAATGTTGCTGGAGCTGTTGCAGCTGCTGTGCTAAACCAGTAAAAGCTCCCTGGCTGGTATGGCACACGTGACTGGATAACTTTGGCATCTTGTTTGGGTGCCACGTGTGCCATTTTCAGAACAGCTGCAATTTTGGTTATTGACTGTTGTCATTTGCTTTACAACATGTCAGCAGCATTGCAACAGCATTAACGATGCTGAGCCATGCTGCTGTTATGTTGGCGATTTGCCATGGGAGAACAGAGCTGTAAAACCCCTTGATTAAACATATGGACTATTTAAAAAAAAAGAAACTAGTATGGCATGTTGACAGTAGCTTTCAACATCATATCTATAGATATAAAAGGGAAATTTGTGAATATGTGTGTCTGTTCGAAATGTTTAGCATACTTCCCGACATTCAACAAACTTGAAATTTGGCATGTAGGGAGCTTCCAGACTGTACACAATAAAAATAAATAAAAAAATAGACTTTTGTATAAGGGTGGGGGGGCGCAATAATGCATATATTTTGCAAGGCAAGTGAGCGGTGACGTCACATCTGTGATGTGACCCGCATACGGCAGTGTTACGCAGTATACCTGCTGACGTCACGCATCCCCCCCCAAACCCTCCGCGTAGGCCGTGTATCCCGCACAAATAATATGTCTAAATCAATTAAATGCTTTTCTCTCTCTTACATTAAAGTAATCAGATTACTCTTTTCCCTGTGCCTGTCATCCCTTGGAAGTCAATAAAATGAATACCACTTTGTAGGAAGTTGCATTTCTTGCTCCATATAGAGACTAGTCCCTTGCAGAAGAATATTGAATTTTCACCACCGGGTCAGTGACACTAATGTAGATGAGCCCCACTTGTTTGAGCACACTTTGACAGCTCCTGTATTTCTTGTAAATCAGTGGTGATCGATGAAGACTTCTCAACATTCTTTGAAAATGCCATGAAGTTTTTTTGTGTTTAGTTTGTTGTCCTTCCCCAGCACCTCTGATTAGCACGGTTGGCTACATACTATGCGAAAGAAGTTCAACATACATGCATACATATGTGTTATAATAGAACCCACTGATAATTAGGCGTTCAGACCCCTTGACCTTTAATTTTCTACCTCATGTTCCCAGTGTACTCCCAATTGGGAACTCTTGCCCTATGCAGTATTCATTCCTGGCTTTGTTCATGGGTTGTTTTTATGGGCGTTAGAGGAGAGCGAATGGCATTATGACCATGCTTAATTTATGTTGTGTGTCTTTTCCCCAAAGGTTTCCTCTTCTCCAGAAGAAGCCCTATCTGGGCCGGAGGATGAGGAGACACAGAGTTCGGAGAGTGTCACGGTGAGCGTTTTCATTATAGAGAGGAATTGTAATTACAACAAAGCATGTAGTGTGGTAATGGTTTAAGGCTGAGTAGACTTAGATGAGGCCCAGGACTGGTTCTGATTCAACTTGCTACTAATTAAATATGGCCAGGAAGCTTTTGCAGACCATGAGGTTTGTAGCACAGTCTGTGAGTCACCTTGTCCACCACTCCCCCCACACACAAACATATTTTAAATTAAAACAAAAAAACACGTACACATAATACGTACAGATATACACAACCGTATATATACACACAATTTTGCACATAGTCACATACTGGGAGACAAGATGAGGATCAAATGGACCCTAATATGCACTTGCTAAGAGAACTAGTTCTCCATAAGAAGTTTTTTGTGTTAGATCGCGTAAATATATAAATGTGTCGTTAAAACCTGCCATCACCCGACACAGCCAACTCGTAAGAGTTGCCACGTAAACAGAACATGCCAATTCGTCACTCGTACAGCACACCAGTGTGTTGGAGAGCCAACCCACAACATTTATAATCTGAGTACGACGTTTCGCCAGTAATTACAACTAGCTTCATCAGGCGACAGCCAGATTTGTGGAGAAGTCTAATAGTTTCGTTCCTTATATAGAGGCGTAGATGTGGTGACCACGCTTCTGCGCTCTTGCGCAAAGTGGAAGGGGGGAGAGGGGGGATTACTGAGTCAACATACATTATGCATATGCATTATACGAGCCCTTTGATCTTGTCCTTCCTGTCTATCGACTTGTTTTGTCAGTCTCTGTGATCAGAGGTGATTTTTGTTTTATTTCTAGGGACCAAGCAGCCCCAATGAATCACGGAAGCATCGTCCACCTCGCCGGTCGCCCGCTAAAGCCACTCGGCAACAGCAACAGCATGGCCAGGCGGCTGAGCAGCTCAGCAGTCCCTTAAGCACGGGTGGGAGCCCGTCCCCACAGAGCCCCCGCCACAATGCGGGCATCGCCCCTCCATTGCAGCGCGTTCGCACAACTTCCCCCCCGGCAAGTTTACAGCCAGATGGTGGCGGCACAGTATACCTTAAGGGAAACGTCCCCTTGGTTTATAGTGATCTAGATTGTTTTAGACGTTGAATAAAGGGTCATTTAAATAGCTACAGCTATCAACTGCTAAAATAATTGATTACTCTTTTGATTATGACTTCAATCGATTAATAAAAAATGAAAATCATACAAATTTCCTCATCGTTGAAAATAACTTTCAGGCATGAGTCTTAAACCGTGTGTTTAATTATAGAATTTCATGGCATTGATGATGTCAAGACTTGTCATCTCGGCGTCATGCTAACTGTGCCGTGGTGAGTTTCTGGCCTTTTGGAGGACAGATGCCTCGCGTCCACCATTTAAAAATTGCTGCTGCTTAACAATACATACGTTTTTTCAGTGTTTATATTATTTTAGTGCTATAAATTTTAAGTAACCCTCGCGTTGAGCAAGTTGAGGAAAAAAATCTATAGTTACGTGAAACATACAGGGATACATTTTTTTTAAATGTTCTGACAGCGGTTGAAAGCGTTTATGCATTCTCGCTGTCTGTCCCTATGTCTTCCCGTTTGTCTATAACGTGGGGGCATATTAACTCTTGTGAAGATGACTACACACAAATTGAAATGTGTGTTGAAAACAGCCAAATTAATCAAAGGGTTGCCCAACACATGCAAACACAAACCAGCGCTAAAAGTGCCTGTCTCAGCTTTCTGGCCTGCCAGCAAAAAGCACTCCCTCCTGGATGAAGCCGCTATCCGATGCCCATGGGCTCCCGGCTTACGCAACTACTGGCTCTTGCGCACACCTGGCATGAGCACTACTGTTGTTATCTATCATACAAATATTCTGAGTAGACGTCATGTGTCCTCATGATTGTTTGCTAAGAGATCCCCCTGGGTCCTCAGATGTCTGTCACCATGGCTGAAGATACACTGGATGGCACTGAAGTGAAAGAGCAGCCATTCCTACAGAAGGATAATATTGAAACACAGCTGTCGGAGGAACAGGTGGGAAGTTCACAGGCGGTTTGCATTTCCGTTTAAGGATAGAAGGGATTAAAATTTTGTCACAATCATTATACAAACAAATTCTACCTCTACAGTATGTTTTCTATGCATTTTGTACCTCTATTTTTTCAATACCTTTTGTGTGTTCTCCGACATGGTAGCATGTGCTAAACGACCCATAATCGCTGTAACGATTCATAGTGACACCATGATTTCTCACTCAATCTATTCCCGCGCTGCATTCCCACATCTCTCCAATATTCCATGTATCCCCAAGCTGTGTCCCCTCCTTTCTTCCTCAAATAAGTAAACTACATGAATGACAGTATTGTTGTAAAGTAAAACATTTTTTTATCTGTCTTTGTTGGTGAATTTACCTAGCTGTAGCATGTTCGCCACTTATTGTAGAGGTTTGTGGTTCAAATCCAGCATGCTACCGTGTTTATTACTCCGGATTTATTAACCACAATAAAGTACTACATGCCATCTGCTTCACAGTGGACGTTATAAAGATCCACCTTATGTCATTCGAAATGAGCAGGCCATTGTGTGCTGCCATCATGGTCCAAATTGGTTGACATCACCCCTTACTGTGACACTATTGCAGGCTGTCTTAAAAGACAGTGCCATCCTTCACGATTGGCTTTCGCTTTAAGAATTGCATGAACACCAAGTGTACGTTATTATTATAATCATTATCTCCCTGGAGTATTTCTGAATGAAGGATTGCTGCTGGCGTCAGCCCTGTGTGTCACTCCTCGTGCTGTGTGTCGTGTGCAGGTGAAGGAGGTGCATGCAGCGATTCAGCAGCGAGACACCATCATCACTCAACTGTCTGTCAAACTGCAGCAGGCGGTGCGCTCACGCGATGCAGTGCAGCACGAGGCGCTCACGCTCAGCACCACCGTGCACGGCCTGCAGCAGCAGCTTTTCGAGGTGTGTGACCACATCATGTGCTCTTGAGACTCCCACGCTGCTCGCAAGAAAACTAAAGCACAACAAGGGGTTTTGAGTGCTCTTGTTTACTCATGTGAGTAGATTTGCTGCGGGTACTCTGATTTTCTACGACATGAGAAACACTGCTCAAAATAAAAATTTCTCAAAAGCCCAAAAATTGTGTCATACATACCTGGCGTCCTGAGTTAAATTTACAGCCACTGCTATTATAATTGATATACGAACCAGTCCTGCCTCCACTCACTTCACAATCCTGCATAGTGAAGTATGGTCAAGCAACTCCCATGACCGACAGTCCTAGTGAATTGAAACGTGGGTGTAAATTACAGTATTATCGTGATTTTTTTTTTTTCTGTTTTCAGGCAGCCATTTTTTCACACTGCTTTTGATTAATAAGATAAGCTGATTAAAGATGACTGTGCCACTTTAAAGCCCGGATGCACATGTGTGCCCAGGCGAGCGAGATTTTGAAGAAGAGTCGCCACGGCAATCTGGCGGCGGAGCTGCAGCAAGCGCACGAGCAGATCTCGCTCTACCAGGAGACGATCAACGAGCAGGGTCACGCCATGCAGGAGCATGCGGCGCGTGCCGCCCACCACGAGCAGCAGCTCGCACTCATCCGCACCAAGCTGGAGGACTCGGAGAAGGTGCGTCCTCATCCAGGGAACGCCTATAGCAGGGGACGGCAACTCGCGGGCTCCAGAGCCGCATGGGGCTCTTTAAAAACTGCTTTGTGACGTTATTAACATGCATTGTGGCTCTGGAAATATTAAGATTTTTACCGTAATCGAAAAAGAATTATCTTCTTGTTATTTTGCTTGCCGACCCCTGGCCTAGAGGATGGACACACTTACCTTTCCTGTTCCCATCATCAGCAAGCCTTAAGAGTGGGCGGTTTGTAGAATGGAACTGGTTTATTAAATCAGTGTATTGTCTACTTTTCGATTTCAAGCTTTCGTGACTGCAGCAGGGATTCATCTTCTTGGTTCTTTCGGTAAAGTCACGTAGTCTCACGATGTTTCGGCCACAACACAAGCGTGACTTTATCGTCTACTTGTTTGTCGATTCATTACACTTAACCTTCTTATTAAGCATGATTTTGTTCAATGTGCTGAGTAGTCACAGAGAAGGTGAAACTGATCCAGGCTTTGCCCTGTTTTAACATTTTTGGTGATTAAACATATCTTAGTTGTTCATTTTGTTATTACCCACATCTTTTTGATAAGAAACATTGAGTATGTACATTAACATTAAGGCATTACTACGACTGCATAAGAGATCCTCTACATTATAATACATGCTTTGTAGCTACTGTTACCACTTGGTATGATGCTGTCTTTTACGAATGTTGAGCATGGTGTAAAGTTGGTTGAGTCTTCGCCAGGGTAGGTGAAGTAGTCATCGTGAGATGATAAATGTATACATTATATTTGTATTAAAATTATATTTTAATGTGATACATTTAACTTGACTGTGTGATGTTTTTAATGTAGGAATATTTTTTTTGCAACACATTGTAATCTGCATATGAATTTGTTTCTGGTAACAAAAATGCCACTTTCTTCTTTAATTGCAGACGTTGAAGGAAAAAGACGTTGTTTTGAATGGCTGCAAGGAGAGTATTAAAGAGAAGGAGAACCTGATTGGGGAGCTGAGCGGCAGAATGAACGAAAAGGAAAAGAACATAATAGAGCTCAGCAAGAAGATGCGAGAGCGGGAGGATGCACTTGCTCAGCTCGCGCAGCGTGTGCAGGTCTCCGAGCAGAGCAACGCCAAGCTGCAGGAGACGCTGCAGCTGACGGAACGCGATGGGGAGAAGATGAGGAATGAACTGTCCACCATCAAGCAGCGTGAAATGAAGACTTCGAGCGAGATCAAGACGCTCATGGGAACCATGGAGCAGATGCAGAAGCAACATCAGGGCTCCTCGGAAGCCGAGCTGATGCAGCGCATTGAGGCCGAGCTGCAGAGGAAGCTGGACCGCTTGCGCACGGAAATGGATGAGACGCACGGGCTGCAGATAGCGCAGATGAAGCAGCAGATGCGAGAGCAGCACAAGCGAGAGATTGAGGAGCTGAACACCATTCACCGTTCAGAGCTGGATAAGATGAGCTCCATTCCCGTCAGCCACATGGTGGACGAGGAGCAGGTTGACTTGCTGAACTCGGCAATAAATGAATTGAACATCAGGCTGAGGGAGTCGCACGTCCAGCGCGATCAACTGAAGCAGGAGTTGGCACGGAGGGAGGAGGAATACAAGAGTGAGGTGAGCGGCGTTGAGCGACGCCACGAGCAGAAGGTGCTCGAGCTGCGGTATCAGCTGAGCCAGGCTCACGAACAGGTTCAGAGTCTCTCCAATAAGCACACGGCCGGTGAGCAGCACAGCAAGGAGGTCGAGCTTCTGACAGCCGACCTCAAAGAACTAAGGGCCCAGGTCACAGAAATGAACGTTGCTAAAATGGAGCTTCAGTCCAAATACGAGCAAGAAGTGATGAACTACCAGATCAAGCTGGAGATGATGGAGCGAGAGAAGGACGCAGTTCTCGATCGAATGGCGGAGTCTCAGGAGGCGGAGCTGGAACGTCTCCGGACCGAGCTGATGTTCTCTCACGAGGAGGAACTCCGTGCACTCAAGGACGCACTCGCCAAGAAGCACCTGCAGCAGCAAGATACCCTGAAAGTGAAGCAAAAGCAGCAAGTCGACCATCTACAAAGTGAGATGGACACTAAGAACGCTGCCATTAGGGCTAAGTGTGATGAGCTGTCTGCAGAAAAGGCTGGTCTCCTGGTAGAGATCAGCACCATGAAGTCTGATATTGAAAACCTGAAAAAAGGACAAGGTGATGATAAAGACATGATTAAACAAATTGAGATGCTAAAAGCAGAAGTGGGCACTCTTAGAAGCGTCCAGAAAGATTTGCAGGAACGAGAGTTGCAGATGAAAGAGCTGCAGGCAGCAAACAAACAGGTAATAGCAGCGAGGGAAAAGTTGGAACAGCAGCTTGCGGATTTCCAAAAAGCAGTGCCTCAGCATAACGATGTAGGTACCTTAAGCCCTACTGATCTCGAGGAAAGTTCAAGTAGGGTCCCAGCTCTAGTAGAACAGTGTTCCATGCTTGAGAAGCAACTCCGTGCCCTTAAGAAGATAAATGAAATGGCTAAGCAGACTGAATACCAGCTGAGGGAGGAGTTGGAGAAGCAACACAACACATTTGTGTTTTCAGAGAGGAACTTCGAAGTGAACATGCAGGAGCTACGAGAGGAACACGAGCAGGTTCTGAAAGAAAAATCATTGATAGAAGTGAAGTTAGAGGTGCAGATGGAAGAAGTAAAAACCCTTAAGTCAGAGCTCTTACAAATAACTTTGAGTGCAGTAGACACATGCGCAACAGAGACCGGAGGAGAGATGATGGTAGTGGAAAGCCATAAAAAACAAGATTTGTCTGCCACCTTTGTGGAGAAAGACTCTGTCGAACTCATGGAAAAGATACAGGTTGTGGAAAGAGAGAGAGATCATCTCGTTGAAGAAAAGGCCCTGCTGCTACGAATGATTGAAGATCACAACGCAGAGGTGGCCTCTCTAAAGGCCCAGCACAAAACTGAGGTGGGTGCGGCATGATCCTCTCCATTGACCACTGGACTATCACTGGGACTACCATAAGGACACCTAGTTCCATAACTGGATCCACTGGGATCCCCATTGAGACCATCACCGGCACCACCATCACCACCATTAGATGAATGTGCCGCCACTTCTACTGCTCTTAGTGGGAAAGCCAGGATATCTATGCATATAATAGGATAATCCGCAGATCGATTCAGTGGTACTGTAAGAGGAGTTTCACTATATTTGAATGGGCCATTTAGTGTTGCTTGGGAAGGTGTTGATTAGTGTTGATGGTTTTTTCCTCTATCCACAGCTAACCAAGCTTGAAGAGACCTTCTGTATTGAAAAACAGCAGGAGATCATAGGCATCCGACAGGTGAATAACATACAGCACACAAACAGCATTTACTTTGAAATATGTTTTCAATGTTTTTTAAGGATTGAATCACCAGGAGTGCTTTTCATTAGACAAGGCTTGGTTTACATGAGAGCCCTCGTAAATTTTGTAAAACTTTAAAAAAGCACCGCATTATAGCATAATAAAAAAATAAATGGTTAATTAAGAGATGTAATCCATTCAACTTGTAATGTAATGTTTAATTGCAATTATACACATTTCAGTTTAATCAGTGATTTTTGGAGCAGAGTGTTGTGTGTATTGTTGTTGTAATGCATGATATCTGGACGAGTGCTGCCATTTTCTGTCAGACCTACAACTCAAATTTAGTTTCCATAATGTGTGAAAACATACGGCCACTGTTTGGGAAGTCCACTTGAAATGTCCTCACTTCATACATATCCTGCCAAGGAAACAATGATTACATTTCGTTACGTAATATATATTATTGCACATTCATTCATGTGTATTATCTCTGCTTCAGGAATATGACATTTCCATCACTTGATTAGAGCCAGCAATGGAGAGGAGCATCACCCTCTGCTTGTTTGAGCAGAAACACATTGTCATTCGATTGGTGGCTGCTGCAACGTATGTTGGATTTGGAAGCTGGTGTTGTGGTTTCCCTGTTTGTGTGTATTGTGGAGCTCATGGATGTGGCATGTGTCAGGCATTAGAGGCTGAGCACAAGCAAAACATGGACCAGCTGCAGGTTCGGCAGGAGGCTTTGCTGCGAGAGAAGGAAGAGGCGTTGCATGCCGCATTCCTGAGCCAGACACAAGAAATCCAGGTATGTCAGTTTCGAAGGGTTGAATCAGTAAGGATTTGAGTAAAGACGTGACAACTCCTCAATTGTTTAAATAATTTTTTAGACTCATTATACACTATTTATCACTATCTCATAACTTACAAGGGAAATGAACACTGCCCATTGCCCAAAAGCATATTTTAGATAGAGCCGCATTTATACGCTCTCTGCATTCAAATTGTATTGTGCTGTTTGAGCAGGCAGATGCATGGGCTTTTGGCACTGACCGTGATCATGTGTGCCTCTGTGTTCCTCTAGGCTGAACATGCTCTACAGAGGGAGGCCACCCGCATCGCGCTCACTCAGATGCACGCCGCACAGCAGGAGCTGATTCTGGAGGAACCTGGCCCAGCCGCACAGGGAACCCCAGTGGTGGTGGTGGCGGCACATGCCTCTGGAAGCACACGGGATGACGGACCCCTTGAGCCTCCCACAGCAGAAGGCCACACACATGAATCACCAGCCAGGGAAGGACAAGCCCTGGACACAACACTCACTATAGCCAGCACGATGTTGACAACAGCTGGGCCGTCAGACACGCAGATGCTGACAGATTCCCACCAGCAGCGAGGTGAGGATGATGGTGGGGTGAGTAGCCCCACTGCTGAGATGTGCACTTACTCTGCTGCGCTATCACCTGCGAGGGACACATACAGTATAGACTGTTCCTTATCATTGCAGTAAAAATAGTCATCCTATAGATATACAAGCCCTTGCCATGATAATGTCGAATCTTTACCCCCAGTTTAGGGCTACAAATAACACTACCCCATTGCTTGCTGAGCAGGAGTTGGGTGTTGGTTGAGAATTGTCTCTTTGACTTTGACAGTATCCCCATGGCACAGTCTCGTGATGAGTGCTGTAGTGCTGATGAAAAAGTCATTTTCAACTTTGGGCATGAGAACATTTGTGCTCCAGAACACAATTACAATCAAATTGAGAACTGCATAACATAACAATCAACATTTCCTTCACAATTACGCATCTGGAGATGAGCACGGTTGACTACATACCTTGCGAAAGAAGTTCAACATACATACATACAAAGCCATTGTCAGAATATGAATATGTATTTATACTGGAGGAATCTGAACATTTATACTGGAGAGATACAAAGCCATTTTTTATATATATTGTGAATAATACATCTAAGAGCCGTGCTAGTCTCACTGCTGCCCCATGTCGCTGGTAGTGCCCGTGCCAGGAGGTGGTGAGAAGGAGGAGAAGCGACACCAGGAGGTGGTAGAGCTTATGACCAGTGTGCGGCTGCTAGAGGAGGAGCTTGCAGAGCTGAGGGGCTGTGCCCAGCAGCAGCGTTTGGAGAAGGTACTGTTCTTCACAGAAATTGTCAAGACCAAGTTAATTATTACACTCCCTACACACAAGACAACACTCAAAACTATGCACACATAAATGTTTCCTAGTGCTACCTCCTGTTCAAGTGGTATCTCATACTAGATGTCTTCATGTTTGGTAAATTATATCTGCTGGCCTTTAGTTATTATCATGACATCTCGTCTCCTTTACAGTAAATGCTTTGATTGTCTGATCGTGTGGTGCCACTAGAGTGCCCTAGAACAGGAATTTCTGGAACTAAGAGTCTGTAAAGAAGAAGAGGTGGACAGGCTGCGTGCTCAGCTGGAGGGCAGCCGTGCCAGTCGACAGGAGCTCAGTGGTACGTGTGGTTTCCCAAGCTGTGGCCCCATTTGTTCATGTAGTTCACGATAACCTGTCAGGGAACCGAGCCAACACCACTTTGGGTGCTGGAGTGGGCCCTACACCACCAATATTCCTTCTGCCCACCCAAGTTCACTCTCCTTGGCAGTATATTACGATTATGGTGGTCCACACCACAGCCCTCCTGGCTCCCCCTTTCAAGAGGAGCTGGAACTGGGACTGTTATGGTTGATTTCTTTAGAATGTAGGTGTTTTCTACTTAAAAGGTTTTTATTGAACTGCGCAATGGACTCGAATTCAGGCAGACACCCATGAAACCAATTCTTTATTTTAAGGAGCTGATGACTTTGGCCTGGTTACCAAAAATCAGACGAAAAAAGAGTCACGTTATTTTGAAAAATGTAATTAAAATTGTGCACAGCGCAATGGGGTCTCTGCTGACTCGCGCTGTGCTCCCGCGGTCGCCGCGCACAGAGCTGAAGACGCAGCTGCAGGCACGCTGCGGGCGCCTTGCCGAGCTCGAGTCGGTGCGGCAGGAGCAGGGAGCGCTCCTCGCACGGCTCGGGGCCGCCCAGGAGGAGACGGAGCGTCACGCGCGCGACAAGCAAGTCCTGCAGCAGGAGCTGCAGCGCCTGCGCTCGCATGGGTGCGACGCTGTGGATCGTTGACCCTCCGCACGGCTTGTGTGCACCATGCAGATAGCAATAAACATCTTCATACTACTTTTGATAATGATAGTAGTCATTTCTATTATCGGCACATTCGGCTATGTACGGTGCAAAAGAAGTTCAATATCCATACATACATATCCAGGAAAGTATAATTTTTACAGTTTTTTCAGGAGGGTTTTTTATTGGTATGTTTGGACTTTTTTTTTACATTTGGGGAAAACAAGATAACCTTTTCTGAAAGATACCCATTGCTTATTTTCAAATAATCCTAACATATTTATTAAATAAATAAACTGCATGAAATAAATTAACACCATGCTTAATAACTTAACAGCTAAATCAACATACAGTATAACTGATATTGGCGAAACATCCCACAATGCTGATAAATTACCTGCAAATTACTCAATTGGGATTACACAAAGTAACATTGTCCTCCCTACTGTGACAACTTGGCAGGACCCTCCTTAAAAAAAGTGTCTTGAGACTCAATGAAGCTTTTGTGGGTAAACAAGATACAACAATAATAATAAACCTGGTACTGTCTCCCACTGCAGGCTGCTGGCGGAATCCACACTTAAGGCTGTTCCTCACCAGGCTGCAATCTTGAGTCTTGGTCCACCTTGCACTGCTGCATCACCAGTAAGAGTGCGGCTCGTTTTCTAATAATTATCAGCATGGTAACATCTACACGTTGGGGTTATTAATGAGGCGGCTTGCAAAATACTGTGGGTTTCCGACTATGCCAACTATGCCGTGCATTGTCTTTGAGTTGTGTGCCTTTTGGCGTCATCTGGTCCAACCCATGTGAGACTAGGCTCTAAGGAAAGCTGCCTCGGGTGTGGACCAATCAACTTCAAGGACAGTGCATACATTATCAGAGTTATATTTTTAGTTTGCATTACGACTGCAGGTATTGTGGTCTATGCAAACATGACTCCTTGTAAAAAAAGGTGTCAGTTTTGTTGCCAGATAGAAGGGTAAAAAAACAATTATCATATGCCATTTTTCTAAAGTGTGTTTCATGTTAGCGTGTAAATGTGATATGTTGTCATAGCCTGCACATTTGTTCACAGTTAATGACGATTCATATTGCCTCACTTGGCGTTGACATCATTGTCTTCTGGCTCGGTCTTCTAAATAAAAAAAATTTTGCTTTCATAATGCCATGGGCTATTAGAGCTTGAATGCTTTAGTTTGAATTAGTTAAAGCACCTTATTAAAACCAGTTATTCGTGACCACTGTTACTGACGCACTACTCGGCCTATTGAGAGGTTGTTCCTCTGATGCCTTTGTTGTATCGAACCTTCTGCCTATGGTCTACTGCAATATCTACCCGCTCTCTTGGTTCAAGTCCATTCCCTTCCCCTATGCCCAGGACTCGTAGCGATGCCTCCCTTCATCACCTCTCCTTATAACATGTTCCCATTTTTATCCAGCCGTGAAGTGTAAGCACACAAAGATAAACTAATCTGTAGCGTTTCACTGCAATGAAGTGTGTGTTACTGCATGTTGTGAATGGCACACTTGTTAATGCTATTGATTGTGCTGCGTATGTCCAGCATGTCCTTGAAGTGGCTGATGACGCTGTGATCTCAGTTGTCCACTCTCGATAGCACATCCTGCTCATTGCCCACAAGCACACGGCCTCTGGCAATAGACCTTTGCCGTATTTGTGCTACGTGGCAACGATCCTATTCATTTACAATAACAGAGCCTATTTTGGGAAATGTTATTTCATGGGCAAAAAAGTGATTATACATCTAAAGTTATTTACACATTTGAGATGTGGAATTTGTAACTTGGAGGTGTTTTATTGTAAAAGTCTACAAGAAATCCAGTGCGGTCTTTCTCTGCATGTAAGTTCAGTATTCAAATTGATAATGCTGATTATATTGAAGAGGTACAAGCTTTGTACAGTCTTTATTAAAATGATTCACATGTGATATGTTTAAATTAAGCCGTTTTTTAATGACATTTGTATTGTTCCCCTTGTGATTATATTGTTACTTTCATAATGTTCCTTTCATGTTTTTTACATCTATTGTGGCGTTTGTTATTGTCGATGTTTATTTTTACCACCTGCCCTGGTGGAGTTGTGGTAAAAGCTCTCAGCTTGCAATTGAAAGGCAGTGGTGATCTATAATACTGGTGGGGAGTCAATTCAGAGCATTATTTTGTGTATTGAGTTTCAATGCTTTAAAAAGTACGAGGCATTTTGATGGGTCCATTTGCTCTATCGTTATACATTTTCAGAGCATGGATGACGATCTTCAGCAAGCCATGACATCAATTCCAGAAGACAGGAAGGAAATGGCTTTGCCTGTGAACTCTCAAGTGTCAGACTCCACTCTTGACTTAGCGGCAGCCTCTGGCATCGAAGGGCCAACTCTCTCTTTGATTGAGGGAGAGCCTCGGGCGCAGCCAGAGGTGAACATGGGGCACAGGGATGAGTGGGATCAAACTTGGCAGAGACAACTGGAGCTGCAACATCAGCAGCAGTTGTTGGCCTTGAGGGCCCAGCTGGAGTATGAGCAGCAAGAGGCCATGGAGAAGCTGACGCTTCAGCATCAGGACGAGCTTCTCCTGCACATTGCCAAGGTGAGTAACCTCTGTAAGTCACAGTGTCTCCCTGCTGAATTAAAACTTGGGTGGAACTCCCCTCCATTATTGGTCCATCCCCAGTGGTGCGCCACTTGCACACTCCTATGGCAGAGACCATAGGCCTCAGACAAAACGGAAATAAAATCTCTTCTTCGGACAACAGTCCATGACTTTCCACAAAGCGGTGCTTGTATTACAAACACTGAAGGGATGATGGCAGAGTTGACCCCCAACTGAGATTTTAACTCGTAACCTATTTACGAGTCCAGCTCCGTGACACTGTCACCACCCAGCCTGCTTTGTCAACAACAATAACAACTATCAACTCTATTTAAACAGGACAAACCCTTGAAACTACTATTTAGTCTATTTCGTTCAAAAAGAGGATTTGGCTTTATAGCAGCGATGGATACATTTTACACAAGAGCATAATCTCCACACAACACACTTACAATAAACTGTGGTTGTGCGACTGAAAAATGTGTTCATTGGAGCCTGTTGTATTTTTTTGTTATAGAGTTATTGTGACATCTTCAAATAAATTACCAAAAGTCTTTAACTGTTATGAAGTATATAGGTATTTATACATGATTAAAAATGAAAACTCTTAACGGGTATACTGTCTGACTTACTGCAGTTTTCATTGCACCTTGTAACTCTCAAACACTGAATGTGTTTCTCTGTGCTCCAGGTGATAGTGGACATGTCACTTCAGGTCGCTGTGCATCAAGAGGCAGAAAGATTGGCTGCCACTGAGGAAGTTTGGAAGGTCCAATCGCATGAGTCATTGCAAGCTGAGAAGCAGGATGAGCCAGACAGATCAGAAACCCCACTACACACTGCAGGAAAGGAGATTAATCTGATGTCTACCGCAGTGGAGGAGCAGAAAGCTGAAGTGTCTGGAGCAAGTGAAGCCGAGAGTGGTGACTCTGGGGTAGCTCGCAGCGTCTCTCAAGCACTGCACGACGCAACGTTCAGGTAATGATCTCAGTCGACCGTCGTGGGATGGCTACTGTTAGTGAGCACCTATTAAGGTCAGCACAGTCCATGTTGGGGTGATGCGGGCAGCATCACACCTGTTGGACTTGCCTCCCACCTCATTCAGCACAATGACCTCTGACATAATGCCGAAATACAGCTTGTGTCTGCAACGAGGGCAATTTGCTTGTGGAGGATTATGGAAAGGCATAGATGACTGCAATTCATCCATGCATAGTGTGATGGGTTGCCAGCTGCAAGGGCCCATGGCTTCCAAAAGTACAGGTTCGAGACTGATAGAAAGGTATCACTCTGGGGCTGTCAAGTTCAAGAAGTGATCCTGAGTAAATGCGATAGATGTAATCATAGAACAAGTCCCCATGTATACTTGCATGGTGTTTCGTGGACATAGAAAGCCTTGCTATGTAGTGCCATTAATTGAGTTGTTTATATTTTGCAGGTTCCCCAAGGAAGATAAGGCTCTGTTGGAGGAGGTATTCAAGGAGCATGTGAACATGGTGAAGCATCTGCAAAGTGAATGTGGCAGACTTAAAGACCAGTGCCGGAAACTGCAGGAACAACTGGTGTCTGATCTGGACTCATTACGGACATCTCTGAATGAGACGCACCAGCGAGACATGGAAAATGTGCGAGCTCTGCTCACTGTGGAACATCAGAAAGAGGCTGTGAGTCTGAAGGAGGCTCACAGTAAGGATCTGGATGATCTCAGGTCATCACTAAAAGAGCAGCACAAAGATGAAGTTGAAAAAGTTATGGTGGCAGTTAAGGAAGCACAGCACATGGAGTTACAGTCACTCAGAAGCTTCCTTGGCGAGATGCAGGATAGAAGACAGCTCGGGGAAAATGAGCTCTGGCCACATGGCGCTGTGTACTGTTCGTCAGAAGAGTACACAAGTGTGGAAGCATTGTGCGCTGGCCTGGTGAAGCAGCATGCCGGCGAGATGGAGAAACTGAAGAGGGAGCAAAAAGAGTTGTTGCAAGAGCTCCAGGAGTCCTTCAACCAGAAGCTTGCCAACCTGCAGGCGGCACATGCCGCGGAAACAGACGCGCAGTCGGCGATGGAGGTCGCGGCTCTCAAAGAAGCACAGGAGGAGGAGGTGAAGGCACTGACTCAGCAGCTCGAGGCGCAGTGTGAAAAGCATGTGTGCAAAGCCGTGCAGAAGCTCAGGGGTGAGCACAGAGAAGAGCTGGAGGCGCTTCTTGCAGCGCACGAGGAAGAGCTGAAGGAACAGGCGGAGAGGCTCGGGAGGCAGCACAGCCAGGCTTTGCAGGAAGCTGTGGGAGGCGTGCGCAGTGAGAACGCCGCGCTCGCCGCTCACAGCACCCAGCTACAGCAGGCTCACCAGGTGAGGTGGCCCTCGCTCCCGTCCCGCCCCATGTCGACACGCCGTACGCCTCTCATGCAGGGTTGCTGGCTCACTAATGCAGGGTAGTGAGCTGCCTGCTGAAGGCAGTACAGCAGGTAGGTAGCTAATTAATGTTTGCATCGCTCTGTATTATCTTGTGTTTGTTTCTTATTCTTAAGGAAAAAGCAGTATTGAAAGAGGATTTGGCTGAATACCTTAATTAGTACTGTTCAGTAAACGTCTTAAGAAGTAGTCTTTCGAAAGAACGAAAACATTATAATTCGTATTATACATTATGAGAGTGAAGTTTCTTCAAGTTATTAATTTGCCAGATAAGAATTCCCCATGTGTATCGGTTATAGGGATTGTTTGACAATACTTCACCGTGCTGCCAGTGTGGGTTCGTGAAGGTGGGGACCCAGGACCAGTTCTAACTTGTAATGGTTACTTCTGGTTAGAAAGAATGTCTTCTTTTTAATTTTGTAAGGGTTTATTACAGATGTAAATGAATGCATGTGCTAAGCATCTGTTGACATTTCTTATATTAATATAATTTTAATCTCTGAGCCTTTTATATTAATCCAGAAGTGGTTCTGTCATGCAAACATGTGGAGCCAGAACCTGACATTGCTCTCTCAACTGGGTTTATGATGGAGAATTTTCCCTCAGATTAATTGATTCCAGTTAATGAATGGTAAATACATGTACAGAAAAAAGGAAGTGATCAGGATGTCAGAATTGATTTCTTCTCAGTTATCAATTCTGGGTGGTGTCCACACAGTACAACTTGGATGAACGCCATCTGCGAACGATGCCCCTAGATGCGGCTGACGGGAGTTGTGTGGGAGAGCAGGCGGAGCGAGCTGCCATGCAGCAGGAGTTTGAGCAGAGGCTGGAGCACGTGCGGGCACAGCTCCTTGACGGCACTCAAGCCGAGCAAAGGCGCGTGGAGCAGAACGAGCGCTCGCAAGAAGAGCTGATGCACGTGCAGTCACAGCTGGAGTGCAAGCATGAGGCGATGGACCGCATTAAGGAGGAACTGACACGCGTGCAGGAGGAGCTGAAGCTCAAGCAAGTGGAGATGGAGCAAAACCAGGTGGATCTAGAGCATGTACAAGAGAAGCTGATGCATGTGCAGGCAGAACTGGAGCGCAAGCAGGTTGAGCAAGAGTGCATGCAGGCAGAACTGGAGCGCACCAAAAGGGAGACGGAGCACAAGCGAGAGGAGATGGAGCACGTACAGGCGGAGGCAGCCAGGAGAGAAGCGCAGCTTGTTGCTGAATGGACGGAGAAGTTGTACAAGGAAAGTGGCCAGCAGGAGAACGTGCAGCAGGTAATGAACCGGGGACTTCTTTTGGTCTGAAGGCTCATCACAGAGTAGGTCATCGCAGCCAATGCCCTCCATGGCACCACTCTTTGCTGCGGTATCCTTCCATCTACCAGATTCGAAAACGTTTGCAGAATTGACATCTGGCCTGCAAGGTTTGGTCTTACTTACAGTGTAATTTACAGTCACCTAGTTATTGAAACGTTTATCTTAAGGCTCGGTAAATAAAACGGATTCAAGCTGCATTGCCCCTGCCAAGAGCCTGCTTAATAAACTTGCATCATCAAAAGGTAGGCAGGGTTAAGTTGTACTGCGAGACTCCCAACCTTCTGGGCTGTGAGATAGCCAAGAAATGGCAGTGCATTAAGTGGGTTCTTGATTTTGGTGTTATCCTCTCGTATGCTGTCTGGCTGCTTCCCACATGAAACACGCTACTTTAAAAGGAATTGGCCAAACATCCTTAAGCAGCATCCTTCTGAGAGAGTTTTAAGGCTCATTGGAGCTCATTGACGGTAAGTGTATGTTAAGGCCGTGCTGCTGCTCATCGTTGCAGCTGCGCAAGGAACTGGACACGCTGCAAGAGAAGCTTCACAGCCGCAGCTCAGAGCTGGAGCAGCTCCTGCAGCGGAGGGAGCGCGAGAATGAGGAGGGAGGGAACCTCCTGGGTCTCATGAGAACCGACCTGGACCGGCTCCAGTCTGAGCGGTGCGTACGTGGGCATTCGTACGAGTGTGGAAGCGTATGTGTGCGTCTTGTTGCGTGTGTGCGAGTGCATGTGATTGTTGAGCTTGCATGTGATCGTTTAGCGTTATGTGTGAGCGCGTGCGTGTGTGAGTGCACTTTCGAGTTAGTGATGCGGTGGTTAGCGTGATCCGCGGAAAATGCAATGACGCATTCAATTTCTAGTTGTGAATACCTGTTCAGATGTGACAGCAGTAACTTTGGGTAAGCGTTGGTGGTTTTTGTAGAGAAGCTGCATTGGCAAGTATGGACACTCACTGTAGAAGGTAGCACATAAAGTAGATTGCTGGCCTTCGAGTGCAGACTTATCCCCTCAAATAGGAGTTCACTCGGTTCACCGGCTTTCTCTCAAATTCAAAGATACTCAATGAATTAACTCATCCCAAAAATGTAGTCAGGCAGTACATTAAGTAGGCCTCAGACATAGGTGTGTAAATTATGGGTGCTCTACCCTCACAGCTGCCACATTTGTTAAGCATCATCGTTGATGGCAATGCCATGTACAGCATCCCATTCAACTGAAGTCCAATCTTTGTTTAAGGAATGAGTAATTGATTAGCAAAATTTGTAAATATTAAAAAAATACAATTATAAATGTTTATATTCTTTGGGTCTTTCGGTAAAGTCAAGTAGATAGGTTCAAATGAATGAAAAAAATCAACAAAAAAACTACGTCTCGATCATAACCTACAAGCGATTGTCATCAGGAGGAAAAAGGAGAGGGGGAAAGCTGCTGAGGCGCAGACTGTTTTAAAGGTTTAAAATCGGTGTAGCCCAAGGGTCATAAACGAAGTAGGCGGGGCTAGTGATGTGAATGTGAGAGATTAGCATGTTAGTGTAAGATCGCAGAGCTGCTGCCACGTCGAGGTCAGCGCGCGGAGGTGGCTATGTTGGTGTGAAAAAACGTTACCTGTTAATGTATAATCGGAGAGCCGAAGCCACGGGGAAAATAAAAACTAACATCGGAAGGTGGCAGGATGGAAACATTACAGCCAGTTATGAATTAAACTGGTTGATGACGTACTTACAATGAATGCTGAGTTTGTACCCATCCTCTCGGTTGAAATTGTATCTGTGTCTGTATATGTGGATGGCTTCATGAATTAATCTTTGTTGATAGCCAGTGGGCTTACAAAGTACCTTCGTCTTAGAAAAATCTATTTCGTGTGAGCCACCGCATTAAAACAATGATCAGCCACGTGTTGGTCCTACCGTGTTTCCAATCTGCCTTATGCTCACGAACACGGTCCGAGATATGTCCCTTAGTTTCCCCAATGTAACTACTGCTGCAGACACAGCTTAGCTTGTAGATGCCAGGGTATTGCATATCAGGGATCCTATCCTTCACAAATGGGATCAGATCACGAATTTTATGTGCTGTGTTAAATCGAGCCTGGATATTATGTTTGCTCAAGATTTTGGAAATTTTTTTGGTAACCCCTGCTATGTATAGCAAGGTGATGGTTTTCATTGGGTCCTCAGATGGTTGGGGTGATAACTTTACGAATTGTGTGGTCCGAATATCAATTCATCTTGAGAGCTTGGTGCATTTGTTTCAGTTCACTGGCAAGGTGATGGTCAGAGTTTTTATGAGGGAATTCTTCTGGGATGGATGGTGGTGGGAGTCAGGTATTAGGTAGGCATCCATTGAAGTTACTTTCCTGTAGACAGTGTCCCATTGAGCTATCTGGTCTCTTTTCGATTAGAACATCAAAAAATGGTAGCTTGCCATCCTTTTCCACCTCCATGGTGCATTTGATGGCTGGGTGTATGGAATTAATGTGGTTGAGGAATTGGTTTAGAGCTGGTCGGCCATGTGGCCAGACGACAAACGTGTCATCTATGTACCTCTTCCACAAGGGCGGATGTAGAGTGGATGCCTGGATGGCATCCGTCTCAAAATTTTCCATGAAAACATTGGCTACAACCGGAGATAGGGAGAACCCATTGGGGTGCCTTCAACTCGGCTGAAGAGGCAGTCATGTTATCTACATGTTCCCAATCTGATGTAGACATTTTTTCTGTTAATGTTAAGTGTGATTTCAAGAGTGTCTTAGCCACATGATCCAGTTCAATTCGGAGAAATCTAATTCTCTCTGAGATCAGGGCCAAGCCGGCCCTGAACAATGTTTAATCACATTTCAGATGAAAATGTACATATAGAAATTGTTTTAATATTCAGATCTTCTCTTACTTTTGTTCTGATAAAAAAAATTGTCATTCCTTCACATCTACTTTGGAAGGCCATATGTCTCTCAGTGGGGCTTCTACTCCAATAAACAAAGCATCCTATCTGTCTGTATTCTGTCCAGCTGCCCGTGTATCCGGCGTGGCCAACTTCTGTTTTTGTTGTTGTTGTGCTTCACAGCGCAAACACTGTCAGGGCCAATGAGCGCTTGCTGCATGTGCTCTCCGAGGTGGTGCGACGCGTACTCTCCTCCGAAGAGTCCATCGCTCGCCGCGTCTCTGCTCTCATGGCCCCCCCGCCGGAGCATGCTGGGACGTCCGCACAAGTGCCGGCGGGGTCTGTGCTTGACGTGGATGAAGGGGTCGCGTCGTCCGCGTCCCCCCGAACTCTGAGCGGCTACAGGATACCAGTCGAAGGTATCTCCTTCACACAGCCACTGCAGTCTGCACACAGGGAATCGCTGTCTTATGTGTCTGTGTAGCAGCTTGAATCAAAATGCAGAGTGTTAATCCTACAGTGGATAAGGTATTTCCTGCACCTCCGTTTGTATTATCACGTTTGGCTACGTACGGGGCGAAAGAAGTTCAACATACATACAACATGCGTACACTCATTGTCTCAACCCTGTGGATGGAGGGTGATGGTCTGACCTGACCCCAGACTAGGATTTGAACTCGTGTAACTGCCCTGCCAACAACTACTTGTGAAAAAGAGAATGTTACACAATGTAAAAAGTGGCTCAATGGCAAGGGCTCTCCCCATTATGCAATTCAGCTATCCACTTATATCTTCAATAAGAATATTTCTCACATGCCTTCGTGCAATTAGTTGGGCCTTCATTATGACAGAGAGCACACACTGCTGGCCATACTATAGGACTGCGTTGTGCGTGGGCAATGTCCACCCCCTCCCAAACCTTGGCAGGCGCAGACGAAGGAGAGTGGCACGAGGGCCAGATGGACGAGACGAGCAGCGCGCGCTCGGCAGCGACTGACGAGGGTCTCGAACTGTCTCAGCGCCTCTCCGAGAGCATCTTCTCCGGCCCTGAGCTTGAGGCTGCCGGGGAGGAGCTGGTACTGAGTTCGAGCGCACGTCTGCAGGCCGCCACAAGCCGGCTGCTCGACCTGCTTGCCGAGCTCTCACGACAGGTGACTGCACGCAAGTCCCACCCCGAGGCGTGTGCTGTCTGTGCTCTCCCATGGCCTCTGCACTGGTGGAATCGGAGTGGTGGAGCCGCGTTCACATGCGCGGCTTTCCTAGTTTACCCTGGGCTCTGCGTTCGCTGGGTGTTGTGGACCTAGTCCTGGGGAGGGGATGTGTGAAAAATGTGGTGCAGGGAGCACTAGAGTCACGGGCCAATGATTGCTATATCATCCCCAGGTGTGGCACCCCCACAGTAAAACTTCACTGGTCTGAAATTAACAATTCTTATGTTGAGACCCAGTGGCAGTGAGGTCAATGCTGTTGTTTGGATAAACCGTGGTAGTGGTGCGTATTCAACACATTCCTGCGGAGGGAGCTGGTAGGAACGTTGGGTTGCTCGGTCAATGGCCAGGGTCAACGGCGGCGTGGTGTATTCCGCAAATATGGCCGATTGTGAGGGCGGGCACAAGCCGGCGTGAGTAGGTTAAACGTTGAGTTTTCTAAGAGCACCACGGGGTGACCAGGCCCTCCCCACCCAGCCCCACCCCCTACCCAGCCCCACCCTCTCCACTCAGCCCCTCTCTACCCAGCCCCCCCCCACCCTCCCCACCCAGCCCCTCCCCACCCTCCCCACCCAGCCCCTCCCCACCCTCCCCTCTCCACCCAGCCCCACCCCTCCCATTTTTGGATGCACGACGGACGGACACAATAATCCCCTGTGGGCTGGTGTAACCAGGAGGTTCCTACCGGTATAAACTAGAGCTATGGAGGTGGGCTAGTGGATATTCCTGTGCTGCATCTCTTCAGTCTGCTGTACTGCGAGGTGGACAGGAGATGGCAGCACAACAATTTGGTTCGTAATCCATTTCTGTGGAACGGAAGTATCATTAATTATTTGCATGACACACTACCACTCTCCTTTTGGTTTCCTGAGATACGATCTGCTCAATTAACTTTATTAAAACAGAACATGTATATTATAATATTTCAAGTGTGGAAATGTTCTAGTTTAAAAAGAAACCTTTCTTTGAGACCAAGACTACTGTGGTTTGTATTCTGGCTGAAGAGCCTGTTAATGTGATAATAAATATTCATCAGCAGTGTGCTGCAATCGAATATAGCAGTGTCCCCCTGTACGAGAAGCTAACAAGAAATTGGCCAAACGTCCTCATGCAGGATCATTTTGAAAAAGAGTGATAGGCTTTCCTGGATGAATTACATTTTTATTGTGATTGTTATGAATATGTGAGCTGAATCTACCACATTTCATAATGGCATACAACAAACGAATAATTCATCAATCCAAGCTTTTGTCTAAATTAGTATATAGACAATGCTGTACTGTGTTGTACGTTTTTAAATTGTGATGAAAAATGGGGTTGGCTGCAGAATAGGAACAGGAACAAAAATCCCATAACTTCAATTGGCCCACTTATTTCAAATTACATCAGAGAATCTTTAAAGTCAACTATAAATAAGACGGTGCAGATTTGTATGGTTAATATACCAACTGTAATAATCATGGCGGTCTTCCAGATTCGAAGTATTAAACCTTTGCTGCAATCGGCAAACACGCTACCTTTGGGCAAATGTTGCCGCCCAATTATCTTCAGTGAAACATTTTAATCGGTTACTTATGGAGAGCATGTGATGATTGAATGGTTTTTTTATTGAGCCCCTTTGCATGGGTGAGTGAAAACAGAGATACTAGCCAAGATGGGTATGTTTAGCAATTTTAAATAATATCGTCATTATCAACATCAGCAGTCATAGTCAATCCACTCCTGGATATCTATTATGGCTGCATAGATAGTTAAGCATTCAAGTTTGGTCTCTTCCCTAGCCCCATTGCAAGTAGTGTCGCTCAGTTACCATGTTAGATTGAGCGCCTGTGTGTGTATGCATGCCTATATCAATGTGCGTGTTTATGAGTTTTAGGGAGGCACGGGTCTCCGTGTGACGTGGTGCTGTGTGCGCACGTCTCCTCGTGGCAGGGGAGCTGTAATTGTACACGAGTCAATGGGCAGTGGGGGAGGTGTTTGCAGTAATGTTTACACTTGTGTCGTACCGGGAGACGAGGGTGTGTCACTTTGTCAAGAGCGTCAGCGCATGAGCAGTTCTGGTGCGGTGTGGGGAGATGCCATTTCATATATATACCCGCACATACTCGCCTGGGGATGATTCGGTGCTGCGACTTGGACACTGTCGCCTTAGCCTTGCCAAACAGCCAGTGTGAGACATTGCCTGAAAATGGGTGTCATTACAGTGTGACGTAATGAGCTGCAAACACGACTAACGGAGCCACAATGAAACCAATGTATAGTGTAGGCTCGCCAAGGAATTATGATCTGGGTATGCATGTCACTGATCATTTAGCACATTCATCGTGAAGAATTTCATTCAGCTTTTTGAAGGGGTTTTTTTTTGCTGACGTTTGAATTAGGCGTACCTCAAAGGTTTTTGTTAATTTAAAATAGAAGTTTCATCAATGAAGATAGCAACGTAACATTGTATTACTCTCAATGGAGGTAACAAGCAATGAGTCTCTGAAAAAAGACCCCAGTGTGAAGAGCAAGAACACCGTGAAAACTGTGGCTATTCTGAACAACATGGACAATCTCAACGTTGACAATTTAGTCATGAGTAGAAAATTGAGAACTCTTCACAAGACTGTGAGAAAAACGACAAAATGCAGCCACCAGACAGTTGGTGACAATGTGGCATGGGACAAGGCTGTGGCTGATGGTGACACTGAGGGCTGTGCAGGAGAAGTTCTTGCTCCAGGGTTTTGGCCTGAGGGCAGTGAGCTGGAGGTGTGCGAGGTTGTCACACGCGTACCACTGCCCCCTCTATGCTTCAACTTGAATGGGCATCATCGGCTGGGAGGGTCTACGACAGAAGCGGGCGCCAGAATCTGCCTGTACACGCGCTTCTCTTCCCACTACAAACCAAGCATGGGATATGGAGTGCGTGTGATCTCCAAACTCCTCCTGCCGTGCCCCCCGTTCAGGGTGAGCGTCTTCTCGCCCACTGTTCGTTTAAATTTCGATTTAAAGCTTTCGTGACTGCAGGGATTCATCTTCTTGGTTCTTTCGGTAAAGTCACGTAGAAGGGAAGTAATAAAATAATAAAAATAAAACATAATAAAATAATTCTCAGACGCTGTCTCCCCGACAGACCTGGTTTTCACCTGAGGACGGCTGCTTGCGTTGTGGCCAAAACGTCGTGAGAATTATTTTATTATGTTTTATTTTTATTATTTTATTACTTCCCTTACACTGTTCGTTTGTTTAAAAAAAAAACTTTGGGAAAGTTATCTTCGTTAATGCACAATGTGCCAACCCTAGTCATTTGACAGTAGATATTTACAGGCATTGATAGTTTGTATTGTATATGCAGCAGTGATGGAATAGTCAAAAGTTAGTGTCGCTACTCTGACAAATGTCGATCAGTTCTCGGCTATACTGGTGGCCCTGAGTCTGTAGTGAGATTTTCAGATTTTTGTGTTGAAGACCAGGGCAACCACGGTTAACTTTACCAAAAATGGTAAAAATATTATCGACCAATTTTAAAAGAATACGATTGAACGAGCTGAATGACAGTCATGATTTGAGTTCACAATATTCGAATTGTAGTTGAATCTGCCTATCGCAAATCTAAACAAACCTCTTGAAGCTGGATTAACTGGTGATAGGATCTCTGGCATACTGTAAATAATGAATGGCATGTTGTACATGCTATTAAAAGTAAGCACTCATATTTAACTAACACTATTAACGAATCATGAATAGCCATAAACTAAATATTTACAATCTAATAACGGGTGGTGGCGAGTTTAACCATCTAATCGAAAAAAAACCTGTATTATAGATGATATTGATCGCGAAAGCCTACGTGTTAAACCAATCTAATAAAACTTCAAAAATTACTCCTGTACAGTTTGATGAGTCAATTCCCATCACCGTGAGGCAGAGGTAGGAGGCTGAGGTTCACTGGATGTGGAAGACTCCGCTTATGTGAATTGAAATTGTGTTTGGTAGTGTGATACAATAAAAACACTGGGAAACTCAAAAGTGAAGAGCAATTAGAGAAGTTGAGCGCACCCCATTGTATGGGATCATTGGAATCTGTGGAAGGCGAATACAGGTTTATTTAGATCCATATTTGTGTCTGTGATTCCAGAACAGATTCGTTGTTGTTAGTGTAAATATTAAAAGGTGAATTTGAATGTCCTACCTAAGAGCAAATTGCTATTGGTGTTGGTGACAATGATGATGCAGATGAGCACACAGAAAATAAACTAGAGTGAGATAGGGTGCCTATGTAATTCGAAATAGCATTAGTTCTGAAACGACTAGAAGTAAAGATGGAGGCTCAACATGTGGAATAGTTTGTGTTTAGTTAAATCAGGGGTTCTCAAATATTTCCAACCGGGTGCCTCATTATGCAACCAAAACATTTCCGATGGGGTTGTGGGGAGAGTGGGATGGTGAAGAGCTTTCCGTAGACCATATTGTGGCTTTGACTGGGGGCAGGAGGTGGTGTCACGCTTACAGATGTCATGGCATTGATACTTATGAGTGGTCTGAATGCAAGTAAAATGTATTTGCCCAAAAGATGACCTCTTTCAAATGCCAGTGGAAGCCCCTGGTGGTCACCCCCGATGGTTTGAGACGGAGGATCTAACCCAAGTAAAAGCCTCGTCTTTTTTCCATGATATTAAGCTGCGGTTGATTTGAGTCATTGCACGTTTTGGGAGAGATTGCTCTATACTCTAATGTGTGAATGTGAGCGTGGACCATAGATGTTTGCAATGTTTGTGGGTAGTTTGTGTTGATTTATTTAATTTCAGAGTACGCTAATTGGGTCATCAATGCCATCCATATTTATTTTGGTTACATTTGTTAACCTTGGTGGGGGGGGGGGGTTTGAGAAACTGATAAAAGAGGAATTTACTGTTCGTAACAAAAATGGAAGTGAACCACATACTTAAGCCTCTAATTTCTTATCCCTATTTTCATTTATTCATCGGGATTGTTGTTTCATCATGCTAACCTTTGGCCTTTTTGTGATTCATTACTTTCAAATGTTGTCTTTAACCTCCGCAAAGCAGAAGAGTTTTGCTCAAGAATTTAGCGTTTTCTTTTTTGTAATACTCATTTGCTCTCCCCATGCTTGTGAGAATAGAATGTCTAAATCAATGCCAAACTAGATTATAAACATTTTGACTGTACTGCCTCATACAGGCAACTCATTGCCCTGCAGGTTGGTGTCACCCACAGATGTATATGTCTGTGTTCCACCAGCCCCTCTTTCATGTTGTTGCCCTACAGGCAATTGTCATATCCAAGCAATGTCAAAACGAAGGGCCATTGTAGTTTGGCTATTTTTTATGTGAGTATCACATCAATTATCAATGTCTTTATGCTTAAATTAGTGTGGTTAGGTACAAGAAATTCCATATGTCTGCGCTGCGGATCAGTGTGTCTGTAGGGTGACCATTTCTCAAATAATGTCATGGCAAATGTCAGTGTCTCCTTTCTCAGTCGAACATGGGGTGGCACTCTTTTTTGTTAGCTGTTGATCGAAATTCCACATTTCAATGGTGGGTGCCTGTCTGTTGATTTCCACAAAGTGATACTCATTTTATTGCATTCAGAAGAGGTGGTGGCATTCATCAATCCCAAACTGGGATGTGAAGTTGGAAAATTAAGATAGTCAGTTGAACACTCAGCCACAATTCTACTGTCTGTAGACATAATCGGATGACATGGTGCTGCTGATGTGGGCTTGCTCACTGCCCTGAGCTTTGTCCTGTAGCCATACTAACCCCGGGCCATTGTGGGTGCAGCTGGAGCAGGCACGAGCAGCGGAGACGGAGCTGGTGTCGGAGTGCAGCCGGCGCACGCATGATGCGGCAGGGCTCGCCGAGCGGCTAGCTCATGAGGCCGAGGCCCGTGAGCAGCTGGCACTGGAGCTGCACAAGGCAGAGGGTAAGGGCAGCGGTGCCCCGGTCCTCCAGCACACAATCCCACACACACACAACAACAACCGCTGTTTGCCACTGACGTCACCACGGCGCTTGTGCCAAGCGAGGTGCACCTTAGCGTCAAGGTGCACCACACGCACACACACTCACAACAATAACCGCCATTCGTCACTATGTGGCTGTGACGTCACCACAGCACTTGTACCTGGCTATATGCACAGGAGGATCAATGGCAGTAAATTACAGGTTAGGCCTAGGTGTTAGGACTTAACTGACGGAGATGACTGGCAGATGCACCACCTGTGCTCCCCACTGTGCCAACATACTGCATTTGGCCGTCGGGAGCTCTGCTCATTGTTGTGAGTATTACTCCTCCACCCTCTGTTGATGTTGGAGGGATGCTGCCTCCAACTCCCCAGTAGCTTGCTTCATGAGCCTCCTCCACAGAGGCCGATCTTGACACTGCCTAGGCCTGACATCACTCTAGCCCGAAGGCACTAGAAGCATGTCAGATTCTTCATCTGTCAAAATGTTTTTAATCCAATACTTTTTGCTTGGCAGTTGGCCACTGAGTCATTGCTATTGTCTTAAACATATGCTATTTAACACTCCACAAAGTTAAGATTTCTACTTGAGATGTACTGTACAGTTTTATTTTATGGGGAATGTGAAGCTCGCCATTCAAAGCCTCATGAATGTATTTTCAGTCCGCAGATGTCGGCTGCCTTCTTTGTGTATATATCACCGTGTTATCATCCTCTTCTACCCAATGTACTGTGTGTCACTTTTTTGAAATTGCTTGATAACTATAATGAGCGGTGGAACGCTTTCCTCTGAATTTGCTTGTAGTTTCGATTAGCTCTTACATGTAGCTCCTCCTTTATTAGATGCTTATCTTGTTAATCTTGCATTGTGAGTGTCTTCTCATTTATTCATAAGACAGTGTCAGTTTTTCAACGGTTTATTCACTAGATAATATGGTATCGACTGTCAGTCTTTTGTGCCTCATTGCTTGTGGACATGACAACATGGCCGTACACCAGTTCTGTGGTTTTCATGGCAGCTGCAGTAAGATACCTGATGTTAGCTGCTGTCCATTTTACCTCAAATTATCAAGCCATCGATGATTAAAACAGCTACTCAAATGTGGCAGCTTGATTTCTGCCCGTCACCAAAACATCATAGAGATACAGTATTGTTTTTCTTAATTTTGCCTGGCCATGCTAAAATATGCCTTTACCGAATCACCCCCAATACACCCGATCTCATTTGTTAATTTTAAAAAAAGCTGGCAAGCCAGCATGTAAAGGGAGCCTTAATTTTTTTACTCAGTAGTACAGTTGCCTGGATTGTCGCAGCCACTTTTCTGAGACTGGTCAGTTACAGGCGGTCAATGACAGGTCCACTCAAGATATCAGTGGACTGTGATGGGAATGCACAAGGTTCAGCACACTGAGCCACAATCGAGCATTTGGAAAGAGAAATTAGTTCTATAAAACCAATTAGGGAAACGTTATCCCTTACAGTAGAAGCCTTCAGTGCTCATTCCCCAAGCTGCTGATCCTTCTCTGGTGTCTGCTTTGAATATGCAGAGGGTCTGTTGTTTCCACAAAATAATTATTGCCTGGGTATTCAAGTAAAAAAAAACGTCAACGATAACTTTGTTACCAAACTCTTAGACGCAGCAAAGACTATCATTGAGTGAGAGAATGACCCCAGGAAATAGTGTTCCCTCATTCAATACATCGGTCTCACGCAGCACCATACAGCACTCCTCCATGTGACTTGACAGCAGATTTACACATGGCAATTACGTTGACCAACTGAGAGCTGAGATAGGTTGAGTGAACTTAACAAATAGGTTGTAAAAAAAATCCTCACTTGGTTGTGGCCAGGTTTAAATGGTAATCATGCTACATTTAATGGGCAGTTTTTATTTGTTTTCTGTTTTATTATGAAAGGTGTTGTGGCTGACTAGAGATATATATATATATTACAAAATGAGTTCTGTATAAATGTAACATTGAACTGAATTATTTGTTTTTTGGGGCAACAAAAGTATTTTGTTAAGAATGGTCAATTGTAAAGAAATAGCAAATACTGTACTGTATATACATCAGTAGTGACCTGGTGTTTGTAAGGTGCACAAGCACGCAAGAAACACACGGTGTTCCTTAAAAATAACAGTATAGCAGCCTCCATGCACGTTAAGTATAAGAATCTTAAGAATGCGGCATACGAAAACTGTGCTTAGAAATGCTTTGATCAACGTTCAGATTGTTTGCACAAATTAAACACTGGCAGTCATGGATGAGAAGTGGAAAGGTAGTTGGGCATGCTAGGACACGTCAGCCCATATCCAGCTCACAAGCAATATCCTCGGTGGCTATTTAACGTCCTGAGCAGGACTTGTAAAGAAACTGAATCTAAAGCACAACATCCTGTCCCTCTAGTGCTCGGAGAATAGCTGCATTCTCGGGTTGCTGTGTTGCAGGGATGTCTCATTTATGCAACAATGAGCGCAAACTTGTTGCAAAAATGCTCTGGTGGTAGTTCAAATAATGTGTTAATAGTCAATTCTGCAAAGTAAGTGTTGTGTGTTTCAAGACACCCAATGCGTGTTTTATAACTCTTTTATGTTCAAGTGTCTGCAACTCACCATTACAATGCAGGTATTTAAAATTCAGCTCTGTGGCACGGAGATGGTGAAATCTTATAAAATACTACGAGAAGGTTGTGAGTTCAAATCCCAGTGGGGGTTTGACCCTCAGCCTCATTATTATTAATATTTAACTAGAATGACAACTCCTTGAGATTTATTTGTCATTTCCAGGCAGGTCCTAGCTAGTTGCCAGCGATTCGTCGCTTCAATTTCTCATCACAGAGATTTAACGGGTTCTCAAGTGCAGCGAGTTCAGCCCATTCACCATTGCTTGTACAAAGCAAGGCAGTCATGCAGGTCAGCTTGAGACTTTTATCACCTACTCATACTATTCTTGGCAAGTTGCCTTTTGAATCTTAGATTCTTGGCTATTTACACCAACCAGCCCCTAATAATTGTGAGTGTTTCAGTTTAGTTTATTCATCTCATATGCACAAGTGATGAGCTTTTATCCACAAGTGAGGAAGCTAGTAAAATTACATCAGCTAGTCTACATTGTACACCAGCAGCACCAGGTAACTCTACATAACCTTGGATGAACTTGAGCTGCTCCATTGAGTTCCTTAAGAAGCTCCCAGCACACGGAGCGTAACATCGGACATCATGCCAAACAACGTGCATTACAACCTAAATATTATCGGAGAGCAATACAACACAACCATGCAAACCTGTATATTATCGATTGTAATTGCCTGTTTGTGCTATGTGCCTCCATGGTAAGCAGAGCACTGTGGCAGATACAGGATTGCAATTGCTCATGTGTGTGCAGGTCTGCTATGGGGAGCGGTAGTGGAACGGTTAGCGCACTGCGATACGAACCCGGCAACCCGAGTTCGATTCCCGCTCACGGCCAACCAGAAATGATTAGATCTGAACCGGTCCTGGGCCTCCCCTAGGTCGATTCAGCCTCAAATGAGTACATCGCTACTGAGGAGACAAAGGGGGTTGGGTGTAGTGCTGACCACCCACCCCCTCGTGTGCTGTGCAGGCCCTCATAGGTGCTCGCGAGCAGCACTTACCCCAACAGTCTGTTAAGGCTATACGGGATCTTTGTCTTTTTTAAATCCTTTATATTAAGTTCACTTGCTTGCATGCTTGCTTGCTTGCTTACGACCGTGCAAATCTTTCGGTCGTTTTTTAACCCACTTCCCGTGATCCAATCGAGCTGACATTTTGCACACAGACTCGTTGTGCGTGACAATGCATTTTCGTGAAAAAAAATTTCCAAAATTTTACACTGTTTAGGGAAATTTTTTTAAATATTTAATTACCAATTGTTTAATGCTGCCAGACAATCATCTGACCCATAGGTGGCAGCCATCTCAAGCCAGAGGACGAGAGGACTCTAGCCGCCCCGATGCCACGCATATAAAGGATTTATAGTGAAAAACTTTGTTTTTACGGGTAAATTTTTTGCAGGTCTGCTGGAGGGCTATGTCGCGGAGAAGCTCTCGCTGCAGGCGGCGCTACAGGAGCGCGAGGCGAGCGAGCGTGCTCTGGCGGGCTCCCTGGAGGCGGCGCGTGGCCGTCTCACCGAGCTCGAGACGGAGCAGCAGCAGCTGGACGAGGAGCGCCGCCTGCTGGAACGGCAGAGGCACGCAATGGCCGCCTCCGCCACCGGCGCACAAATGGGTGAGGGCTCATCACGGGCACAGGATCACATCAAATCACAGAGTGCTCGGCTATGTAGTAAGGACACAAGCTCAAATTGCATGTGAAGGTTGACTTGGTTCATTATCTTTATAAGTCAGGAATATGTGTACCACTTTTTGGGAAAGTCGTCTGTTCTGGAAATATTTACCTCCCCCACCCCACTCATCTCGACAATTGAGATGAGCTCAGTCCCATGTTCATTTGTGCAGGGACAAACTTCGACTGAACCTGGAACGATCTTGGATGCTCTTGCTTCTGATATTAGGAAGCCACTGGAGCTGTACACTTTTAAATCTACATTGAAACTAATTTATTTTTAACAGCTTATTTTGATAAGTTTGTTGTCTTTACCCCGCACCTCCCAGTTAGCACGGTTGGCTACATATGGTGCAAAACAAGTTCAACATACATTCAAAACAAAAGCAACTGCGGCCGTTCTCTGCTAGGTGGCAGTGATGAGGCTGTGGTATTCGTGCGAGAGTACGTGCACTTTAAGGCCATACTGAGCGATATATGACTAGCAGACATTATATATGGAGACAAATTCAGGATTTACAGGGCTCTTAAAATGTCATAGTTTCCATTTTGCCACTCAAGGCACTGCACCTCCTTACACTTTTATAAAACACTACGACATCCTGCACTTCTGCATTGCACTCTTTGCAGGAAGCAACACTGCGAACGGTCACCTTCACACTTCCTGCCTTGTTCCTCAGCATTTCCTTTATTTCCTTTCCCACTGGATTCAGCCTTGGAGTTGTCTCGCTTACCCCTGTCTCCTCTCCGTGCCCCGCGCACTCTGTCCTCCTCCTTCTAGTGAGCGTGGGTCCCGGTGATGGTTCTGCTCCTCCAGGTTGGTTTGGCTGCCGCACGCAGAGGTGTCCCTGGCCCGTGCGTGCCCTGCCAGTTGCTTCACGTGAAATGATTGCTCAGATCAAGACTGCTCACATTGACCTAGTCAGCCAGATTCTGATGAACGCAATCCTCCCCTTAGTCACCATTAAGTTCCCTTACGGTGGCTCAGTTGACTGATTAATGAAGATTCTGACCTGGTAGTCGTAATGAGGCAATCCCGAAACCTATCCTGCCAACGGAGCCATCATTTTTTGGGGTTTGGTCAAATGAGTACCACATTGAGGGAAAGTAAACAGTGGTTGTCTTATGAATGGTCTTGCCACCGCCATATTAATGTGTGATTTTATCTGTAGTCAACCATGAGGGTCCTGTGCGTAATGAATGCCGTCCCTTGGCTTTTTTTTTCCCTTGAATACCACAGGCCTCTATGATTGGTGCGTAGGTAATCACACACTATTTTCTCGTTGAATCGTTGATCCAGTCACGACAAAAGAGTTGTTAGCAAGAATCGTCCACTCTTCAACCACGTGTGAGCAGTCTGGTGTGGTGGTGGTGCGGTCCCTAAGTGAGGCATGCGTTATGCAGTCTCACTGCCAAGTGTGTGCTCAGCAAAAAATACATCTGCCACAGGACTGGGCACCAACGCTATGGAAACTGCCTGCCACTAACCGCCCGTTGGTGCTTGAGCTGTCCTCTCGGCCTGCCGGTGTTTAAGCTGTGCTAACACGCATGTGCTGAGGGCCCCTGTCGCTCACCGCCTCCAGCGTCCCTCCACACTAAACGGCACGGACGGAGCGCGAAGCTGCAGCCTGTGAAGTTGGAGGCTCAGTTTGTTTACTAACTTTTGGTTTTGTTTCTCTAATTGACTCATTCATACTCATAACCATTGCAACGATTCGTCACTTTGGCACAGAACAGGAACAGAGTTTGTTGTAATTTGTCAGGGTGTAGATGTGTTGCGTAGAATATATGTATGGAAATTATTACTCTTTTTATTATCCCAGCGGGTGGCAGAGAATGTAACTCACAATTGGTGGGTAACTCTGCACATTGCTCTGTGGTTGATCAAATCGGACTTACTTGGTGGTAAGTAAACTGCGGTTGAGCACTGAGAGTCTCTAATAATGCAAAGGAGTCTCTGGGATAAATTAGACTGTTAAGATAGAGTGAGATGGGGTGTATACCACCCATCTTCAAAATGTTTACAACCCCCAGGAATGTCAGTAGCATGCTCTTGACATTTTCTAGGCTCGTACGTCTGCAGGAAAACTAAGTTTGTCTGCATTGTTAAGGAGACCTATTGCATGTTAGTTACTGTGCAAAGTTTTATTTCTGAACGTATTGTTAACAAGTACACTTTTAAAGCAGTGGCTCGTACGATTCTCTAGAAGCTGTGTAATCACTGACAATTGCCTGCTATGCAAAAGTGAAAGAAAAGCGGCCGCTTTACTTGCACATTCTTACAATGTGAAAAGCGGCTCAGATTCCAATAGTTTTGTGCTAAATTGGATAAGAAAACAAGCGAGGATTACAATAAAACTATATCCACAGGAGTAATAATCAGGAAAGCCGTTTTATTAAAAAATCTCAATCCTATTAGATAATTGAGCATACATTAAAACAACCTAATTTGCTACTTTTGTTCATAATGTACCTATCAGTGTTGTAAAGTCGGTTTTGTTTGAATACCCTCGCGCCACATGTTTCTGTTTGACACGTGTTGATGTGCCCACAGGGCTCCTGCACGAAACGGAGAAGATGGCTCAGGAGAAGCGTCGGGTGGAGCAGCAGGCCGAGCGGGGGGCCCAGGAGCTGCACGGCCGTCTGCGTGCGCTGGAGGTGGCGCTGGACGAGGCCCTGGTGCGCAATGCGGAGCTGGAGAAGGAGCGGCATGCTGAGGCCAGCGACCTCCAGCAGCAAGTGCTGGCGTTGGAGAAACAGCTGAAGCACCACCGGCAGTTCATGGAGGTCAGCGCCCAACTCATTGTCGCGACTCCACTCTTCATGGAAAGATGTTCTTGCCTGTCACATCGTGTTACGCGTGGCAATGGCTTAACAGCCAAAACTCTGCAAATTAGACTCGGAGCTGTTTATACCCGTTCAAGGTTGGCTCGTTTAAGCAATGTTTAGTAGACAGTGATTTAGGAAGTGTGTTGACCATTGGACAATTTTTTAGGGCAACTCCTGACCTGTCTGTTGTCCTACAGTTACCTGAGAAATATTTTTTATATGTATATATATTCCAGATTTGCATTAGTACAAATCTGTACCAATGCATGACTGTGCCAGTGGTATAAATTAGAACAAGTTTGATTTGCATTGAATTGCGCATATAGCATAATACATTTGTGTTTGGATATGGTTTAGGAACAAGCGGCAGACCGCGAGCATGAACGGGAGGAGTTCCAGCAGGAGATCAAGCGCCTGGAGGGGCAGCTCAAGCAACAGAACAAGGCAACGCCTGCAGAGAGGGCCAGCCGCGAGGTGAGTTCCAGCTTCGTGGCGGCACTTCGACCTCACACCAAGAATGACCTGGGTTCGATTCCCGACTCGGGTGCCTTTCTGTATGGAGATTCTGTTTTCCTCCTGTTCTGCATGGATTTATTTTTCCTCTCGGAGCTAAAATAAAACAATAAAATGTCACCGGTATTGGCCAAGCATCCCAATGCTGAAAAATTATCTGCAAATGACTCAATTGGCAAAACACATTGTAACATTGTCCCCTGCTTCCAAAACTTGGCAGGACTTTCCTGAAACAGAGTCTTGGGACTCTCAGTGAGGCTTTTCTGAATAAATAAGCTTAATCATAATAATACTGGCTCCACGTGCTGTTCCATCACGTGCTCAATGAGCCGCTCATAAGCGGCTCTGCTCAGCACTGACAGTATTCTACAGCTCTTCATAAACCAATATGATTAACCCCAAATGTGTTTCACTAAACGTGAAATAACCTTACTTAACCATAATAACTTATGGAAGGAGACTACCAACGTGGTGATTACTGAAGGATTTGGTGTTTGAGACAAGCAGGTGGTGAATGAGAGGGCTAAAGAGAAATCCTGTGGATTGAAAAGAGACGAACACAAGGAGTGAGTGTTGGACGAACTGGCACTGCGAATGCTTATGTTGGGAATGGTGACTGAAGTTTATGATAGCAGACTGAGAAAAGGCATGACAGCCAGGATGTATGTAAATATGTTGAACTTCTTTCACACCCTACGTAGCCAGCTGCGGTAATTGGAGGATGGTGGCTTTGTGAAAATGTGGGGAGTAGATCACTTGAGAGGCTTAGCCTGGATATATTGGGAAGTATCAGGTATAGTATTCAATGAAGGAGCATTTGGTGGTAGCTTCTTATATGTGAGGTTGAAATTACATTTGGTAGCATGGTCACTTTTCATGGGGTGAGCCATGGGAACCTGGCCCGGTGGCCTAGAGGCACGCGGTCACAAGCACCACGTGCTGGTTATCGCAGGCCGGCTCCTATAGAACGCACTCTCCCTCAAGTCTCCAGCAGTCTCATTCTCCCCTGTGTCCTCTCTGGATACCACCACAAACCCTTCTCTTAAGCTAACTCTTCCATCACGGCTGCCCTTGATGCATCTTCCCTGAAAAAAATAAACTCCGATAGCTCTTTATTTATACCCTGTGGTGTACTCCTAACCTTCTACATTGCACATGATTATTTTTGTTTATATTTTCCCTGAAAGATGGTTGACTTCGTCTGAGTGCGTATGAGTTTATATTATACTTTGCTGTATATATTTATAGTGATTTGTTTTATGTTGAAAAGCAACCTGGGGTTTGCCTCTTTTACACCAAAATAACATTGTTCCTCAAGGCTTGTGGGTGAAGAAGCTGAAATTTTATTTAATTTTAGCAACAAAATGGATGCCTTTCTATTTACTTGCCAAATTCTGCTGTAACATTTATTTATACGTACGTGTATTACGCTGAATAGTGTGAAAAATATTGCAAATTGGTAATGTGACATTTCTCAAAGGAGTGTGCTACTATATTCATATGGCGATTAGATTTTGTGAAATGGTCGTAAATGTCTGTCTGGAATTAAGCTCCCCTTGTACAATTTTACAAAACAGTGGTTGTTTTATTTTTAATGACTATACCGTTGTAAAACTTAAAGTAAAGCTAACTCACAAACTAATTGTGTTGAATGTGTTTTGTTATGCTTTCCTTTGGAATATAGATTCAGGGTTTACAGGACCAGGTATGGTGGATTTTATCAATTGCTACTATATTCTACAATTAACCTCTCCCTTCAGACTTTTTGACTGCCCTGATTAATCAGCGCTGCCCAGACCACTGTGATTTCTCTATAAATGTGGCTTTCCTCCATAAGCAGCTGTGCTCTTTGTCTCGGGCCCTTTGATTGTGTCTCATCGACCACTACGAGTCACTGCTCCTGTGCCTGGGCCATCTGATGGGCCATCTCCTTCACTGCTACGGGCTGAGTCAGTCTTGGTCTTGTTTTCTGATGCCTCCCGAGCAATCAATGGCTGTTGCCTCATCATGGGTCCTGTGCTGCATGAGCGCTGGTCTGGTGCCCTTGAGCTGCCTTCGCAATGCCTCCCCGGTCTCACAGCTGCCACATCTCCCCTGCAAAGGGTTTTGATGACTGACTGCGAATTGTAGATCGTTCTTGAGCTTTGTAATTAAGTTAATGCTGTTACTGTACAGACTTGCATAGTCCTGAGTAAAAACAAAAACGAGTATTGTAAAATATTGTCCCGGTATAAGCAGATGTGCATTATGTTTATGTATATTTCAGAATTCTTTGTTGCCCTGTTTATATACTTTTGTATTTTAAAAGATTTTTCCTTTCTATCTCTGTGGCTTATCATGTGTTTATATCACAGTATTCGTCCCCATGCCTCGTAATTCCTCTGTGTTGTTGGAAACCTGTGTGCGTCCCCACAAACAGCGCCTTGCGTATCCACCCACCCTCTGTGCGCGTGGAGGTGTACATTGCCCTGTGTTTCCTTGTGCGCATTGCTCTGTGTGTGCTGCCGTGCGTGCTGCATGTGCCTGCCTGCGCTGCTGCCGCGTCAGGTGGAGGGCCTGGAGGAGGCAGTGCGAGTGCGCCGTGCTCGTGAGGCCGAGCTGCTGCGTGAGCACTCGGAGCAGCGCTCGGCGCTGAGCGATCGAGCCGAGGAGGCGGAGAGGCAGGCCCAGCGAGCCACCGCACAGCTCCAGCAGCAGCTGCTCAGCCTGCAGCAGGCGCGCGACGATCTCGCACAGGTGCGTGTCGCTCCCCCGACGGGTGTCATCGTCTCTCGCTGCTTGCCACATTCATGGCAGAAGATGGATGGACTATATTTATAGCATCTTGGTGCTCGTCTCTATTTAAGTCCTCCGAGCCAGTGGGAGCGATTCATTCGGTAAGATAACCACTTCGTACAAAGTGATATTTCATATCGAGAAATCAGATGGATTCGGCTGTGTGCGCCTACGCACACACGTGCCATAATCGTCCGTGATGTTGATCGATCCCCGAGTTTTGAGCTCGCGCCGTCACGTGACCGTTGTGCTGCGTGTGCCCAGGACAACGAGGCGCTGCAGCAGCAGCAGTACGCGCAGCTGACGCGCATCTCCGCGCTGCAGGCCGAAGTGGACGAACACCGGCACCGCTCCGCCACCCCGGCGCCTCCGAGTGCAGTCTCCATGAGCCCCACCGACGCTGCCACGCTGCGTCAGCAGCTGCAGGAGGAAAAGGAGGCGAACGAGCGCAAGAGCAAGGAGGTGCCCGAGCTGCGCGTCCACACATTCGGCACTGCTCCTGTGATTGCTCCACCACCAGTGTGCTGCACTGTGTTGAGTTCTCTGAGCAGCGTGATCGAACTAGATGTGTGCATTGGGGCTGTGTGTAGCCTTGTTCCATACATCTTGTGAGTCCCTCACTCTCACTCTCCCTCTCCATCCCCCTCCCTCGTCTTCCCCCTTCCTCTCAGTCCCTCCACCCCTTTTTTTCCATACCCCCACTGTTTCCCTCTAGATCTCCCCACTCCATCCCCGCTGCACATGCGCTGTTTCCCCACCACCTCTTTCTCTGTGCCCCACCCCCTCCTTCTCCCCTGCCTCTCCCCTCCCTCTCCAACTCCACAAGTAGGATAAGTTAAAATAATTAATTAACCGGTATGCGTCTTGTTGATTTCAGAATTTGTTCAAATGAATGACACGTATCTAATGATGAAAAGTGAATTGAAAATCCTACCGGAACTTCCTTTTTCAAAAACAGTCTGAGCTTATTGTTTTATCTGTGGTCTGTTACTGTGAATGAATCTGCGATGGTTAATTCCTCACCTCAGATGACTCATCTGGAAGAACAGCTGGAGCAGTTTCGTGAGGAGCTTCTCAACAAGTCTGAGGAGATTGGACAGCTACAGATGCAGCTGGAGATCCAGAGGAAGCAGGCAGGCCACGCGACGCAGCTGCAGCAAGGCAATACCCACATGAAGGTGCTCCCCACACTCACCACGAGGATTTATCAACGTGCTCATTGAGCAATAATTGGTCATTACTTATTACCACTGATATTGAAAAAATGTATACATTATGCATGTCCGTCTGTTGATCAGAATATCTGTAACATGGGGTCACAATAACTCTCATAAAGATAAGCCAATATGAACAACATTTTACTATAAAGTAGTGTTGCTGTTAGGGACTTAGCCTTTTGAAAACCAGGTGATGGTGTCACGTCATGCGCTGTGTGATGTAATCTCATGCTACACGAAAGGTATGATTTACAACAGATAAATATACTTAAGGTTTTGAGCATGATGGTGGAAATGTTGTCTTACTCATCAATGTTTATACACCACCTCCAGAGCTGCCTCTAAAAATATATTTGGTTTTCTTTCTTGTGGTGAAGAAGGTAGAGCTGTCGGAGGCTGAGGATGCAGGAGGTGACAGGAGAGCGGGAAAAAAGGAGCAGGTGCTTTTGTCACTGCCGGACGCTCTGCTGCAGGAGAAGAACGCAGAGATCGACCAACTGACCTTGCAGGTCCAGCAGCTGACGCACGCCCTCCAAGCTGCCCCACCTAGCCAGGTGATGACCTCTCATGCCCTTCGTATCAACACGAGACCAGACCAAGTCAATTGACAGTGGCTCCCTGCTCTAAAGAACATTGGGCAGTACTTATCTCCATTGGTGGTCCTAAGGCACATGGAAGAGATGGCCATTATAAAGGTTAGCAGTTGAGATGTGCAACATTTCCCTATTTTGAATTATGGAGATGGTTTGACTTTTGGTTTTTATGAAAGCGTCGATTATTGAACATTTTTCCAAAGACCTAGAAAAACTGAGGGGCACAGATAAAAAAACACACTTGCTGACCTCTGCACACTGCCTCCTCTGCCCCTGGCCTCACAGGCCTTGCAGGATGAGAATGAGGAGCTGCGTGCCGAGGTACGGTGTCTGCGGAGCGACGTGGACAGACTGCGGCGGCAGCACGAGGAGGAGTTAGAGCGCACCCACGAGGTGATCGCGCGCATGCAGCGCGAGCTGCCCCACGCCGAGGCAACTCTCCGCGCCCCACAGCCTCACGCCGACTCACTGCTCTCCGAGATGGAGCAGCACAGCCTGGAGGCTCTGGCACGGGACCAGCCAGGCCAGAGCCAAGCACAGCCCAGTGGGGGGCCGTGCACCCCAGAGGAGCAACTCGCAGACAATGCAAACGAGCAGGAAAAGAAGCAGGTGCTAGAGGAAGCACGGAGGAAGTTGGAGGCGCTTAAAGAAACCTACGAGGTTGTCGTAGAAGAGCACAGGTTGCTGAAGTTGCAATTGGCAGAACGGGACAATGATAAGTCAGCGCTAACGGAGCAGCTGGGAGAGCTGCAGAGAACAGTGGCATTCCAAGCGGTTGCAGAAGAGGAGAAAGCGGTCGCTCAGCACGAAGCCACGGAGGCCCTTCAGGCGCAGGTACAGCAACTGCTTGAGCAGCTGGAGGAACAACGGCAGCTGGTTGAGCGCCAGACGGAGGCTCACACACACACGCAGCAAGAGATCTCTGCCACCGCAGCCGAGGAGAAGCGGCAGCTGGAGGAAGAGCTGGTAAGCGAACACACTGGAGCTGCCATGTGGTGCCCACTGTGTCGTGCAGCACCTTGGTAATTGTTAATTTTTAGTTTGGCTGACGTGTTTATTTTTGCCTCTACATACTCCTGACCCCCCGATTTCACCATGAAGATTAAGTAAATTGTCAAAAGTATTTTGTTTTATATTTCGACTTTGTGTTGCCTAAAAGTGCCAAGTATAAAGCATCTAGCCCGTTTACATCTCTAGCCCGTTGGAGTTCTAGTTAGAGCTGGTGTTAGTCACTAAGTCACTTACAGTTGGTGTGAAGTGGGACGAGCATATATTTCATGTCTACTAACACTGCCAGTTGTCCATCACTTGATGGAGCATCACTCCTTATTCTATGCTGTTCACGATGTCTGGAATTCCCTCCCCGAGTCTCTCCTTCCTGTTCTAGTTCACCCAAATAGCCGCTAACTATTACTCCCTCCCCACTTCAATAACCACCACTGTAAACTTTTTTCCTCAGTCAAAATAAATCTCTCCCCTTTTCTCTGATCACAAGCACGTTCTTCCCAAGCTCTAATGTTTCACTCATCCCTTTTTATACAGCATCTTGAGATATCATCGTGTTCACAGGCCTCGTAAACCCAAACTGAGCTGTTTCCACATTGTCTTTTGTAACTTCCAACCAGGCGAAGGTGAGATCAGAGCTGGGAGTTGTGAGCATGAGCATGGAGGAGCAGGCGTTGGCCCTGACCGCACTGTCCGCCCAGATGGAGTCCAGCACTCGCCTCGCAGACGCACGTGCGGCGGAGGCGGCCGGGCTGGCAGAGCGACTGCAGGTGCACCTTCCACGTGTCGAGGGGACCAATGTGCTTGGGCAGTCGTGAGAGTGTCGCAGATGTACTTGGGAAGTGGAGCTTGCAATGCGTGGGGCATGTGCGTAGGGTGGAGGAGGGAAGGTTACCGAGCATTACATTGGCACCCAGAATTTGACAACGAAGGGGAAGATTCTAGATTTTAAGTTTTCGTGACTGCAGGGATCCATACTCTTTGGTTCTTTCGGTAAGTCACGTAGGTATAAAATAAATTTAATCACGACGTTTCGGGCGCAACACAAGTGCCCGTCATCAGGTGGAACAACCACAGCAATAATAATAACATCCTTCCAATGATTGCTCAATTTGTATCCATCTTCTCGGTTGAAGTTATGTCTGTTTATATATCTGGATGGCTTCATGAACAAACCTTTGATGGTAGCCCAAAGACGTAAAGCCACCTGGTGGGATGTTGTAAAAGCAGGGTATGGAGTTCAGGCATCAACTGTGAAATCTGTGGAATTTGCTAGAGGAAGGAAATGATGATGAGGTGTTCTCTAGCCATGATAACCCCTTGGCCTTGCATATAATTGACCTAAGATCTAGTATTGAGGCTTAGACTTTCCATCATCCCTCTGGGATCATGAAAATGAGTACCACTTTGTGGTAAGTCAACAATTATCCTATGGAGTGACTAGCCTCCATAATGGAAATATGTAATTCCCACTAATAGGTGAGAGCCACCAATTACCCCTTTCTTGTATGAGCAGGGAGACACTTTGTAATTGTTGAGAGCAGGAGGTTTAATCTAGCATCCCTGCATTGCTGGTTTAATACTCAGACACATACACACAGCCCATTGCTTCGAATCTAACGCAAAGGGTGTTTACTGCAGGAGGAGGAGGCTGCGATGGCAGAGCTGCTACAGCAGACAGAGGAGCTGCGTGCTACCATCACCGAGAAGGAAGACTCCGTGCAGCAGCTGAGCGGGGAGTGTGAACGATTACAGCAAGAGCTGAAGCGGCGGTTAGAGGAGGTGACGTCGCTCACCGTCTCCTCGCGGCCGGCCTCTACACGTCCAGCCGGAACCCAAACTGAGGCAGGGGAGAGCGTGACTGAGGAGGGAGAGTGCTCAGACAGGTCTTCATCCCTGGCATCAGAGAGCTCATCCCTTGGCCTGGGCATGGCCAGCAAGGTAAGATTGGCCAGTGGTAAACATACAGATCGATCAGTGGCCTTTTTCACAGATTATTAAATGTCATGCGATGGGGCATGCCCTAAAATAGAACACTCCGCAGGTGCGATTGGGGTTCATGCAGAGATAGGGGCAGTTAGGTGCCAGTAGAAGGAGAAAGTAAGATGGATGATGACCTGTCTGTGGAGTTTGAAGTGTTGTTCCTGAATAAGCCAACCGGCAATATATACCCATTGTAATTTATATGCATTTATTATCCCCCCCTTCGCACGTGAAGGGCTCACAAGTGACATCATCACAGCTTTCCCTCTATTTAAAGAACGAAACAGGAGGATTTCTCCACAAATCTGGCTGTCACCTGATGAAGCTAGTTGTAATTACTGGCGAAACGTCGTACTCAGATTGTAAATGTCGGGTGGTGGCGGGTTTAACGACACATTTATATTTACGAGATCTAATCCAAAAAATATATATTATGCATGTTATGTATGCTGATGATCTGGCAATTGATGCTTACTCAGGAGGAGTTGAAGGCACAGCTGCTGAACCTAGAGCGTGCCACTAAGAGGGTGGGGCCTTACCATCAGCCCCACCAAAACTAAGTACCTGCCTGGGTATTTTGTGTCATCAAACACTTCACACCCTCAACTCCCCATTGGTAATGGGGCAGTTGTGGACATCGTGGAGAGTTTTCCATACTTGGACAGTGTGCTTATGACCAGCTCCGGTTTGACAGCAGAGGTCTAACTCCAAATTAGTCGAGCGGAGTTATCTTTTCATTGGCTGCATAATGCTGTGTGGAAGCTACCTGGTCTGTCGCTCCACATGAAGCTTTGAATCTTCTCGGCCAAGGTCATGTCCCTTCTCAATGCTTGTGCAACGTGGACCTCCCTAATTTAACATCTTCACTGGTTAGAACATTTAGGCTGGCCTGCCTATGATCCATCCTGGGTTTAACCAGGATAGATTGTCTGAAGAGCTCACAAATCCTTGAAACATCTGGACAAAGTCCCATCAGAGAGCTCCTCCAGCAGGCAAAGCTGCATTAGCTGGATAATGTAGCCCGCATGCCCAGCCATCGCATGCCTAAACAGCTTTCGGCCAGATAGAAGGGGCTAAATGGGCATGGCACGGGCTAGAGAGGTGATGGAGTGATGTGGTACAAGAGGACGTGGAGCTGAGTGGACTTGCCAATGACTGGTACCAGCGGTGCCAAGATCGGCCTCTGTGGGGGAAGCTCGTAAAGGACACTACTGGGCAGTTGGAGGCAGTCGCCCTCCAGCAACAACGAAGGGCAGAGGAGTGACGCTTACAACACAGCAAGTTGGCACAGTAGGGGACACAGGTGGTGCATCGGCCAGTCATCTCAGTCACTCAACCCATGGAACCTGGGTCTGTCCCGTGACCTGCCAGCGGTCGTTCGACACTTCACGTGGCCTAAAAGTGCATATGAGCTGGCACAGGCGCCGTGGTGATGTCACCGTCACTTAGTGGCGAATGGTGGTGGTTGTTATTCTGGGTGTATGTGCGTGGGTGCATGCGAGTGCATGAGTCTGTTTGGGTACATGTGTGTGTGGGTCACTGAAGAGGGTACATTTTTCCCACTTGTGTCCAACACCAGTAATGATTATATTTGAACTAGTCCTGGGTTTCCCCTAGGTCCATTCAGCCTTAAATGAGTACCTGGTGCGGTGCGTAAACAGCACTGAGGAGACAAAGGCGGCCGGGTGTAATGCTGGCCACCCACCCCCTCATATGCCGTGCTGGCCTTTAGGTGTTCAAAAACAGCACTTTCCCCAACAGTCTATTAAGGCTATCTGGGAGATCTTCATCGTCGTTTGGGTGAGTTAGTGCCGTGTGTATTTGCAGGCAGGGGCCATGGTAGAAGCCCACAGCTCTGTGGAGCGCATGCGCTTCCCAGTGTCTCCCTCCGCCTCGACACTTGGGGGCTCCACACTGTCTCCGCTCTCGCTTTCCCATCACATCAGCTTGCCTGGTGAGAGTGGTGAGTCGGTGCCCTCGCTCGCACGCACGCCACTGCCAGTCATTGTGTCTTCCTGCTCAAGTGAGAAATGTGGTGCCACTTGTCTCCATTGGTCACCCATATCCAGTGTAAATTCCACATTCCAGTGACAGATGTTATAATTTCCATAACTTGTAGATGTTGAGTTAATACTGTTGAATACAAATTCTAAAACTAAATTGTCAACTTTACAAGTATGTTACATACATCGCTATCATACACTAAATGCTCAGTAATATACAATAAGGCTGGCAGCAACATAAGTGAGCATTCAATAATTTATATTTTCCTATATAGCCACATGGTATTTCAGCATCTACAAAAATATCAACCCTCGGTTTAAAAGTAGGTACAGCACTTGTATCTGTTGGAGATTCTGGAAATTCCACTTTACCTTATTATAACCAGCACACACATGTTGTGTCAACATTCAACTAACATTTTGAATCTAGGCAAACCACCATCATATGCATGCACATGAGCGTAAGCAATATGGCATTGACACACATGGCCAGCTACTGGTAAATGTTGGCAGGTTACTCAAGTTAATCTGCTGAACTGGGCGTGCTAAATATACAGTGGCTGCACATGTTGTGGGCAACAGTGGCAGAAGAGTTTGTACGCTACAAACCTGGTGAGCCGAATCCACATCAGTGAACCTGTCTTAAGTTTCCTTCTGTGTCAACTCAGCCTTCATTGAGTACCTGTGTGCACATGAACACTGAAGATACCAAGACTGTCGGGCATGACGCCGGCCATATACCGCCCCGTCGTCCCTTGTGCTCGCTGTTAGCACTTGCCCCAACAGTTCTGTTATGTTATACGGGGAACATTTGTCTTTGTGTGTCTCTGTGGCAGAATATGAGAGTCTAAGCTGCAATCTGAAGCGGGAGCTGGACATGGCGGATCACCTGGACTCACGGCTTGTCGCTCACCTGCGGCACCAGCAGCTGCAGGCCTTGGGCTCGGACGAGCGAAGCAGTGGGCGAGACAGCCCCTCTGTATTCGAGGCGTCCTCGCTCAGCGAGCCTGCCCTCTCCACCCCACTGCAGGTCCGCGATCGATACCTCCACAAAAGTGCCTGACATCAGAGTAACTTTGCAAAAAAATTTTTGAATGTGTTAATGAGTGCATTCTGCCCTTTGGCAATGTTTTAGAGAGTAACATTTCTCACATGTGACTTTAAAAATGGAGTATTCTTATGGTAGAGCTGACTGGCTCGTGGTGGTTAATGCCACATGCGAACGGTCTGCCAACACCACTGACATCCTGAGTTTAAATTCGAGTTTAAGGTGCCTATGATTAAATTGTATTCTCAAGTGTAGCGAGTAAATGATTAACCAAATAAGCCAACAACACAAATAAGCCATCACCTATTTGTTTATTGACATGGCCATGAGGATGAAAACCACTTGTGCTCCATATGCTCATTGTATTGCATGATACAAATGGCCCTCTTACTTTCTTCTCAACAAGTTATGGAATATTATAAAAACCATGAACAAAGTGGAGCAGGAGAGTGTTGTTAAAGATTTAATGCGTGCATTAAGGTGTGTGTGAGATGCGTAGCGGCTCTGAACTATATTATTTTTGAACAATTTTTCCCTTTTATTTTAGTGGAACATCATTGAACTCCTAAATATTATTCGCAGATAATCATTGATAACTTCCTTTGATTGTAGAGCCTCAATATAGATGAACAACTCTGTGGGAATAATTACTCTGAAACCCTTATTCTTTACATTTGAATCCCAGAGCAATTATTAATCCTACTCTGTAATTACTTTTGCCTTTTCCTTTCTGATAGAATTGTTGCCACTAATTAAAGTATAGAAATCTCTCTTTTTCCCATTACCTCATCGAGTTCAGCTATTCCGAATTAATGTCTCCCAATAATGTCTGCAGATTAGCAAGATTCTATTAATCTCACAGAACCTGTGTGTTGTATGTAGCAGTGGTTACATTCATGAGGCATTATATTGATACTCAGTGATTCATTGCTCCAAGCTCCTTCACTAAACCAACTGAGGCTATAGCTCATGGATCAAAAACGTTTGGGGACTAGGGGCCGTAGCTTAGCCATAACGTAGAACAGAATATCCGCTTCTATGAATATCAATCAAATGAGCACCACCTATCGGTATACCATTTGGAAACACTCTGTAACACTTGCTGTTACCGACAGGACATCCTGACTGTTCTCCACTGGGAAAGTGAGAAGGTCCTGGCTCTTTCTGAAAACACACAAAGGCCGGCACGGGAGCCGTTGGAAGGTGCAGATGCCCAGCAGGGGGCAGGCACGGGCCCTGACGTCACCAGCACCTGGCTGCAGGAGAAAAGGGTGCTCCTTCAAAACATAGCTGCACTCAAGGAGCTCCTGGCTCAAATGTCCAAACAACCAAGTCACGAGGTGAGGTTGCATTGTTAATGGCTTATGAGTGACATGCTTTGTTTACAGTAAAGATGCAGCTCAAAAAACCAACAGCTGTTGTTTGTAAATGTATATCTGGACTGGGTGGGTTGTGATTTCGGTGTCCTTCACAGGACGCAGCTGAATCTGACTGGAGGGGGGAGTTTATCCGTGCGCTGCTGGCGACATTCGATGCAGAACGGCGCGCGCTGCTGGTCTCCTCTGCTGCCCAGCCTCCCTTGGGCCATGCGCCCACACACGGAACCACAGCACAGCAGCTGCTGCAGCTTTTCAGCAACATGGTGTGGCATCATACTAAGAGGGCTCACTCCAGCCTCTAGCCCATGTAACATCCCACAGAGAGAACTCACTCCAAACTCTCGCCCTGTAGGCAATACCTGGCTGCAGAATTTATGGGCCCTGGTTTATGGTCCACATTAGTACACCGTGGAGAGGAGTATCGATGTGACTTTACCGAAAGACCCAAAGAATATGTGGAGAGGAGCTTTACCAATGGGCCTTTTTTGTAATTTAAAGCTTCTACTGTACCCACAATTACCTTGATAAGGTTGCTAAGCGATTGACAGAAGAAAAATACTAAAAATGTAATCAGGTGGGAAGATGGAGGAAGGTGGTGCACTACAGAAAATGAGGAAAGCAGCAAAGTACTTTGTACACTAAGATCAGGAAACCAGCGCCGTTCCCTTGGCTCGTGGCTAAACGCCATTGAGTGGGATTAGGGGTAGAACTAAGGTCAGGATTAAGGTTAGGGTCTGCGTTGGCTTCACTTAACTGCATTTACACAAGGCAGCTCATTCTATGCAAAGCCCAGTGTTTATCAGCACGCAAGTAATGTGAGACCAATTCAAACCAACTTCGTTCTGAACCCTGCTTAGTTTCAAAAATATAACGAGATCGGGGGCTCTCTGGGTACTAGTGTAATGACAACTTGACACTTGTTTTGAGATGGTGTCTTTATTATAGAGAGACATGTTCACTCGAACAGGCGGAGACCCCACTGCAACAGCCCCGAGTCTCCTGTGCATCTCCCTTATATACGGACCGATGCCACGCCCCTATTCCCGAACTTTCTCGCTGGCTCTAGACGCTCCCTCCACCAGCAGACTCTACCGTTCTCTTCCGTCACGTGGCCACGCTCCTATTCTCGATCATTCCTATAGCCACCAGTCCCTTCGTGTACTGCAAGCTGACTCCCCTTTCATTACCTCCCGTGGCCACTAGCCCATTCGCACTGTAGGCTGACCCACCTGGCATTACCTCCCGTGGCCACTAGTCCACTCACACCACAGGTTGACTCTACTGTCGTTACAGTAGGATGGCGACCACCATTCACTTACAGGTTGTCATAGGGCTTGTGGGGATACGGGGTGGGCAGCAACATTATTGAGCCTGTTGGCACTCGTCTTAGAGCACTAATCTTGGGATTGCATACAATTTTAGTTTGTTTGTCTAGGGTAGATACAATAAGTACCACTTTGTAAGATGTCACTATTTGTTGTGCTATGGAGAGACTGATCCTTCATAATGTGGAATTTTAAGCACTGGTTCAGGACCTCTGTTCGCCGTGAGCACCGCTACTAAGCTTTTTTGAGCCTGCGGGACGCTGCATGGCATGGTGCTCACGGGCAGCTTTGTGTGAGGAGCAGGAGCGCATGGAGACATCGGTGCTCGCGGGGCTGGAGGCTGCAGAGCGAGCGAGTCTGCTGTCTGAGCTGGGCACGCTGCGCTCCGAGGGCCGGGTCGCAGCCCTGCAGCACCAGGAGGAGGCTCACCGTCTCCAGGCGGACATGGCGAGCCAGCAGGATCAGAGCGCCGTGAGCAAGGGGGCGCTAAAGCGGCAAGGTGCTGGCGCGCACTCGCACCACAGTTGGTGAACGAGGGAGTACCCACGCTTTAGCCAACCGCATGCACGTCGTGTCTGGTGGTATACATTGTGGGTACTCCTCCTCCAAGACATCCGGCCAGCATGGAAGAGTAGGCCAATTTTCCTTGAGAGGGGCTTTGTGAAGCTCCCTCTAGTGGAGGCCTCTCTGCCAACAGTGGTATAAATAAGTGCAAGGTTGAACTTTACGTTTAATGTCTTCCACACATGAGCAGCAATTACATGTTCAACCAATAATTGTGCGTGCTGAGTGGTTGAACGCAGCACCCTGGTGAATGCGCACGACTGGCAGTCAAGTTGTAATGTGGGAAACGTGAAGAATATGTTATTATATTGGTTTTGAGCCATCTGGCCAGGATTGGGCAAGGACGTTGCTCACTTTTCACCCAGGCTACTGGAGAGAACAGACTAGGTATTTCTTAAGTTATCACTAAAACAACGAACAAGTATATATTTAAGAATGCACAAGTAATAAAAACAAATATACTATATTCTTGGTTCTTTCGGTAAAGTCACGTAGAAGGGAAATAATAAAATAATAAAAATATAAAACAATAAAAATTCTCACGACATTTCGACTGCAACACAAGCAATCATCATTATTTTATTATTGTCCTTCTACGTGACTTTACCGAAAGAACCAAGAATATGACTCCCTGCAGTCACGAAAGCTTTAAATCAAAACAAATATACTATTAAGAATAACATTTTTGTTACTTAAAATGTTGTGAATTATTCTCATGTTGCCTGGGATACTGTTTCAGTATCCAACCAAGCTATTTAAAAGACTGTTAGAACCAACTGATCTCCAAGAGTAAAATGATTGCAATTTAAATCCAGTACTTAAACGCCATATATCTGGGTGTGTACGATAGTTGTCACTGTAAGGCACCGCGCGGTGATTTCGATGCAAGCGTGTGGTGTACCGTTACTGCGCCCTGTGATGCGGTGTGCTTTCGCCGCTGCACATCGCTCTTCCCTCGCCACAGTGGAGCTACTCGAGTGCAAGCTACAGCAGGAGCAGGCTGTGGGCGCCGAGCTGCAGACGGAGCTGGGCGTGGAGCGAAGCCGCGGTGCCACGCTGCAGAGAGAGGCGGCTCACGAGAGGGAGCGCGCCGCCGCGCTGGAGGGGCAGCTGGCACGCCTGCAGGCCGAGCTGGACAGCGCGGTGGGCACGTGGCACCAGCATGCCGCCCAGGCTCAGGCGCTGCTGTAAGTGACACCTCACTGGCACTTATTCTAATGTGTAATTTCTCAATCAATTTCCCAACCAATACAAGTTGGTCTTTTAAAGCGTCTCGTAATGCAAAAGGGGATTGTGTGCATATTGGCAGCTTGTAAAAGAAGAAGGGATTTGTCTAGGTTATTTTAACCGTGGGAGAATGTTCAGGGAATCTAAAGGGCAGGGAAGGTAATGTTACAGGTGAGATTGAAAACCCTGCATGAGGAGATTCAGGCAGAGGAAAAGACTAAAAATTCACATTTACGTGTCATCAAGTACAGTATTGCTGCCTAGGTTTCTCCCACATCTGTATGCATTGCCTGTGTGAATGTGCGAGCACAGAGCTGAACTGCAGGAGAAGGAGGGCGAGATTTCTCGTCTGAGGGAGGCACTGAGTGCAACCAAGGTCAACTTGGCCCAGGAGAGGCGGAGCGGTGCCGATACCCAACCCTGTGGCCTGGGGAGCCAGGGAGATGCCGGCACGACTTTCACGGTGTGTAGAGGCCAGTGCGAAAGTCAACAATGTGACCGAAGGTTCACGAAAAGTTTCTTTTGTTTTCCATATTTTTACTTAATTTAACTTCTTTTATCCAAATGTATGCCGTGCCTCGTGGCATATGAGGTAATCTAGTTCCTCCACTCCCGATCTTTGCCATCCTTTTAGCGTTGACCCATATGGTACGCCCCTCCACGAGGTAATCTTTCATGATGCCCTTCCACATTCTTATCCATCTCCCTTTTGCTGTTCTTCCTGGTTGTATCCATTTCATGCACTCTTCTTTGCTCTTCATTCTCTTTCCTTTCTCATTGACTTGACCAAACCATTTCGGTCTCTTCATTCCTCTATCTTATGCAATGTCTAAGTTTGAGGTTGAGGAGACAATGTGTTTTACATTCCATTGCCTTGACAGGCTGTGAGCTGTTTTTTGTTTCCGCATGATAAATGTGTGTTTCTCTGCGATCATTGGCAGCAATTGCATGTGGCGCTGGAGAAGGCCACAGCGCACTCCACACAGCTCTCGTCCACCCTGGAGCAGGAGCGAGAAGCTGCCGTGAGGCACCAGCGTGACCTGGAGGCGGAGCGGAACAGCCTGAAACTGCGCTTGACCCAGCTGCAGGCCGCACTGGCCGCTGAGAAGCAGCACGTAGGCGAGCTGCAGGTCGCCCTCACAGCGGAGCTCGACCAACGGGAGAAGGCCCCGAGCGGCAGCGTGGCGAGGCCAGTAGACAACGTGTGCAGCGGAGATAGCGGGGAGAAAAGGGCCGCTGCTCCGGAGCCGGTGCTCGTGGAGGAGCGGGAGGTGGCGGCGCACCACGAGCGGGGCCTGCGGGAGGAGGTAGAGGGACTGAAGGCCGATGTGGCGCACGCCGGCCGTGAGCTGGAGCAAGAGCGCCGCGAGTGCAAGCAGCTTCGCAGGGTGGTACAGGAGCTGCAGGCGCAGCTGGAGGAGGCGGCCGAGGCTCTACGGCAGGAGAAGCAGCTGGCGGCACGCACGCTCGCGTCTGCGCGTGCTGCCAAGGAGGAGCAGCGCAGTGTGCAGGAGCGGTGCCGCCTCGAGCACGTGGTGCACATCGAGCAGCAGGAGCAGGAGCTCAGGAGAGCCAGGCAGAGGCTGGTGAGGCATTATGCACATTGCTGCCATATGGCTCCAAAGAGTTTTAAATCAAAGTGTCTCTGTACTCAATTAACCCTTGGAGTGGTGTTCTTCGGTTTTGTCAACCCCAAGCTAGCTGTGAACTTTCCACGTTGGTAGGATGGGGGGATCAGTTTTTACAAAGGATAACTCGTGTGGACTTGTTTGAAGCACTGAATTCACAATGTAAATGTGTCTTTTTGAAGTGCCAGAGACGCCCTGATATTTTTAGCAGTCTGCGGTAAGGCTTTATAAAATGAGCATGAGATTTTGGTTGCCAGTTGTGGTGGTATGGTTGTATGAACCATGAAGAGCAGCTTCATGGTCATGTGTGCCGACGTTATGGTCCCTATCTGCCAAATTTAATGAAGGTACTTACAAATTAGTTGATTGGGAAGCCAAAATCACCCTTCACTGGCCGGTGCTGCGGTCACTTTGTCCCACACAGGGACAACTGCCACTGGGGAATTATCCCCTACCACATGGCGCCTCAAGGTGTCTTGCATGGGAGGTGTGGTATGCATATTAAGTGCGAATGATATCTGTGACGTGAGCGCCAGTGTGGTCCTGTGCCGCAGCTGGAGCTGGAGGAGTGCTGCCGGCGCGAGCAGCAGGTGGTGCTCGAGTTGCGCCAGACTGTGACCTCGCAGAGGAGTATGGGCAGCACCCCCCCCGCGCTGCCCGCCGTGTCTCTCCAGGGATTCGCTGGCACCAGCCTAGAGAACACCATGCATCGCCTGCAGCTGCTGGTGCTCAGAGTCCATGAGCTGGTAACGCGCATCAGCAACCGGTACGTGGCAACTCACGGTGGAGATGAAAATCCCATCACAGCATCCACGTTTAAACAAATGTGTAATAGTATGATGTGTAAGGGTCATGTGTTGTGGTGTGTTGTGTAGTGGTGTGTAGGGGGGGTGTTTTGTGTTGTATGTAGGTTTGGTGTGTAGTGGCGTGGTATGTACGGGCGTTGTGTGTAGTGGTGTGGTGTATCGGGACGGTGTGTAATAGTGAAGGTTGCTTGTCGACCAGGCTGATGGTGCTGCTTGGTGATGGTTCGGACGAGGAACTGGAGCAGATGCAGAGGAGCCTCAATGACCTGAGCAATGAGCTGAGGCAGATGCAGTCCACGCTGCCGAGCTCCACCAAGGTGCCTGGACCACCGGACCCCTCAGCAGTGTAGCCTCACTCCGCCTTGTGTCACAACGTGCTGCTTCCATAGTAACGTGTTTCAGATGTGGTAGTGGTGACATCACAGTGCAATGGGGATAATCTTCAGCTTTAATGATTACGCCATATGATGCAATAGCAAATGGTGTCAAAAGCACCTTTGGGATTCTTGCGTTTTGATGTTAATGCATGAGGCTGAGAACCGATTTTAAGTGCAGCATTGCCATGGGTGAAGCACCTTATCTTTATAATAGTCTTCATAGCCTAGTCTTCATAGTCTTCTTTGTAACAGCCTTCAATAGTTGCATGTCCAGTGTGCAGCATTTGCGTATCCAAGTATACATATACATTTGTGTGTACGTGTTGTGTGTGTGTGTGCATTGTATATATGTGTGGGGAGCGGTGGCGCATCGGTTAGCACTCTGCGCCACGAACCCGGCGACAATAGTTCAATTGCCACTCACGACCAACACCAGTGACGATTATATGAACCGGCCTTGGGCCTCCCCTAGAACAACTAGGCCTCAAATTAGTACCTGGTGTGGTGTGTAAACACTGGGGAGACATGTGGTTGGGTGTGGTGCTGACCACCCACCCCTTCATGTAGCATGCCGGCCTTCATAGGTGCTCGCCAACAGCACTTGCCCCAACAGTCTATTAAGGCTATACAGGGGATCGTTGTGTGTGTGTGTGTGCATTTGGTGTATACTTGTTAGATGTTTGTATGTGTTTCGTGAGCTTGTTGTGTATGCGTAATGTTTATGTGCTTTGTATGTGTGTGCTTAGGGCACGGGCCGAGTGAGCCTGGAACTCTCGGAGCGGCTGCTGCAGCAGAACTCGGAGCTGACAGGGCTGGTGTCTCTGCTGACGCAGGAGAAGGAGGATCTACGCAGCGCCCTCTCTTGTCTGCAGCAGGACGCCCGGCGGCAGCAGCAGCAGCGCGGGGTGGCCCTGGTGCGTCCACGGCACGCTCCGTCTTGAAACGCACCCCGCATGACCGTCCATTCACGCAACCCACGAATTACTACATTAAGCACAAAGATCAAGTGTCTGCACACTCAAACAAGCCGTGGCCAGTGCTCATCTCTTGGCAGCCCTGAGCCAGTGATGGAAATTGAGCATTCATAGGGTGAGCATCGGTCTCCGGAGGATGAGCGCTGTTGACTGCTTGTGAAGTGGTACTCATTTGCATGACCAAAAACAGCACTTCCTGTAATGACTGTCAATAGCACCTCGCCTCTCTGCCTGCACTGGTGTGGTGGCAAATGGGTCTATGGTGGTCACTGTTAGAGCCGATTGCACAATGACCATTCGCTGACAAGGCCCATACAAACCAGCACCCATTCATCTAATACTGCATCTAATACTTACGTGATGGACAACATCTGCACCATACTTGTCGGTGCTTTCATTGTGGACTCGTTTCCAGCCACAGTTGGAGGGTGAATAAGCACGTTTATTATTTATTTCATTTTCTTTCTATGTGACTTTAACGAAAGAACCAAAGAGTAATTCCTGCAGTCACGAAAGCTTCATATCAAGTTTGAACCACCTCTATGGGGAGGATTTCCACACAACTCATACTTAATCTTGATTTGAAGCTTTCGTGACTGCAGGAATCCATACTCTTTGATGCTTTCGGTAAAGTCACGGAGGTAGGAAAAAATAATAGATCACGACGTTTCGATCGCAACACAAGCAATCGTCTTCACCTGAAGACGATTGCTTGTGTTGTCTTTGGAAGAACGTAATCAACCAGGTAAAGTGTTAACTGTTGTGTTAGCCGACTATTCTGTGTTGCATTGCATTACATTTAAGTTTACTAGGTTTGTTTTCTCAAACTTCCAATTTCTCTCCCCCTACTGCTCTCATTGACATGCTAACTTCTCTGCTACCCCCCCCCCCCCCCCTCTATATATAATGCCTCGTCACAGAGGCGTTGTTTCTCTGTGTGCTTCTGTGTGGGTCTCTCTCTGCGTGTGTGTCTCTCTATGTGTCTCTCCACTATGTGTGTCTCTCTGTGTCTCTCTCCATGTTTGTGTTTGTCTTTCTCCATATGTGTCTTTCTCCGAGCTTGCATTCATTCATACCTGATGACGGTTGCTAGTGTTGCAATCGAAACGTCGTATTCTATTATTTATTTTATTTTATTTCTACGTGACTTTACCGAAAGAACCAAAGAGTAATAAGCACATTGTTTGTGAGAAAAGCACCTTAACCAACCAGTGTCTAGCCAACCAACCGATAGTAAAAGCCTTTTCTCTGACCCTATTCTTAAAGCCGAGCTCCACACCTGCCATTTAACCTCACCCCCTTTTCACTTCTTCGGTCACGCTTCACTCTTAAAGTTGGGCGATTTGTGGCTGAGCAGGGTTTGTGTTTTGCAGGGCGTGACGGAATCACAGCGGCTTGCCGAGTGGCTCAAGGAGAAGCTCTCCCTGCAGGCAGCACTGCAGGAGTCGGAGACAGAGGTCACACGGCTCCGTGCTCAGCAACAGAGAGAGGCTCTACGCAGAGGCAGCCCCCAGCCAGATGTGTCCAACAGCAAGGTAGCTCCTGCATACATACTGGCAACCATACCCTCATGCACACAACTGTATATTGTCACACACTCGCAACAACAACAACAACAGCTGCCAGTTGCCACTAAGTGATGGTGACACGTCCACAGCGCTTTCACCAGTCTGGGTGCACTTTGAGACCACATGAAGTGATGAAGGCTCTGTGATAGGTCACTGGACAGAACCAGGTATTAGGGTTTCACTGACTGAGGTGACTGGTAAATGTACCACCAGTGCGGATGTTTGCACATACCACACCCAATAAGCACGTCAGCCTAAGTCAACCTAGGAGAGGCTCAGACGGAGTCAAGTACCACATTTTCCATTGATGTTCATGGCCAGACATTGTATACAGGTGTCCACTAAGACACACACAAACTCGCATACAAATTACTCATTTGAGAAGAGTCTGATATGTGAGATTTTGTTCAAATACATAGTTGCTGCATTTGCGGTGTCACCCACGTGTCTGCGCCTCACAGATGCAGCGTCTGTATGGGCGTTACCTGAAGGCGGAGAGCTTCCGCAAGGCCCTCGTCTATCAGAAGCGATATCTGCTACTGCTGCTCGGTGGCTTCCGCGACTGCGAGCAGGCCACGCTGGCGCTGATCGCCCGCATGGGCGCCTTCCCCTCGCAGACCGACAGCAGGCCCCCCGGCGCCCACTCCCGTGCCTTCACGCGCTTCCGCTCGGCCGTTCGCGTCGTCATAGCCATCTCGAGGTGACGTAGAGCACTCTGCGGGCTGCGGCATGGCAACGCTGTTAACTCCACGCTCCAGGAAATGGGTGCATTGCATTCGCAGGGCGGTGCAGTGCTAACAATTGCGTCTCGCATCAAGAAGGGCCTGTGTTTTATACCTGACTCAGGTGCCTTTCTGTGTCGAGTGTGTATGTTCTCCCCATGTTCCTCGTTGATTTCATCCAGGTTCTCAATTTTCCCCAAAGCAAAAAAAATAACAATGTTACTGGCATTGGCCAAGCATGCCAATGCTCAAAGATTACCAGCCAAGTCCTGAATTGGGATTACATGTAGTAACATTGCTCCCCTACTGTAAAAACTTGCCAAGACCATTCTGAAGACAGTTTTGAGGCTCGGTGAGGCTATCCTGGGTAAAAAGGGGTAATCGTAATAAAAGCACGGTGGGTTTGTGATTGACTAAAAAACCCTCTTGAAAGAGTATGTTGGAGTTAAAAGATGGATGTTTCAGGAATTAATAACGTCTGTCTTATTGTATGGAAGCATCTTTCCTTGTGTAGTGGGTTCACAAGCGACAGAGACGGTGTAGTCGAGGCACACTATTTATTGTAACTCAACACTTGGCACAGGGCAACGTATACAACACTTGAAGGGGTAACGGCCCCTTCACCCGTACTGGACTGGAATACACCCCTAGGCTATCTGCCTAACTATTATGCTCCCAGGTCCTCCGCTAAGGGTGCTAGGGGAGGTTTTCTGACCCGGCCCTGGTCAAGGCACAGGTAACGACAGCCAGACAGACCCGGCTCTTAGAAAAACATCAGCTCTGAGGCTCTGGGGATGCGCCACTGGCTTGCTCTGCCCGGTCCTGAGAAGGACTGCAGGTCAGAGGAGTTCCAGGGCCTATCTGCCCGGTCTTCGGTCTTCACTGGCTCTTTGTTCCTTAGCTCCCCAACACTGCTCCTCCAGCCCTCTCACTCCCCGCCTGGTGGGGCTGTGTGGGATCACAGCATCCCCCCACAGCCCCCCAGGGTGGTAACCGTTTGTGGACATGGATGTGGACACCCCTGTGTACTTGTCCGTTTCCCTCCCGTAACACCCCTACACTTGTATAACATGTATATCGGGCACGCTTGGAATTGTATGACAACATAGCGTGAGCAACTTAGAAGTTCTGAATAAGAGGCGGTGCGGAGGTTCCCACACCTGCAAAAACGAGGTGGGGGAGGTGCAGGCCATCACACGCAGAGAGGCCACGTCCACCAACAGCGCAAGGCCACCAAGCGAGTGCTGATTCATGGGAAGAGAAGAGCACGCAGAGGGCTTTCATTCGCCTATCTCACCAGGGGGTCAACTATAAGAATACCCAGTGTGAAAGCGACTGTGGAGATGGAGTCATGGACGATTCTTGTCCATGAGACCGCATTATACAAACGTTCATGAGCATTATTAAGATCTCAGGCTAACTCCCAGATAACTTCCTTTGACCTGAATTTTGTGTTTTTTGGGCAATTAATGATGCCACCATCTAAACCAATCGCAGCATCCTCTCTAAAAAGGTTTTTAATTATGAAAACATAGTTTCCTTGTGGCAATAACATCAGCAATGCAGATTAGAGAAATACAGGCACTCACGTGTAAATGCCCATTTTTTTATTTTCAATCATAAAAAAGTAGTTCTTAAAACATCTCCTTGGTCTTTTTTCCTGGAAGTTATGTCAGCATTTAATTTGCATAAAACAATCATTTGCATTCTGTTTAGTTTTATGGGGTAATGCGCTTCTATGCTCCGACTGGGATTGGCACTCACTGCACTCCAATTGTGAATAATGCACTCTGCCACACCACCACCCGATACGGCGATTGGCCATGCGTATTGACGCTCACTGTATCGCAGCTCTGGAAAGCGCTTGTTGCTGCTAATGCTGCTGCTTTCGTGTTCAACAGGCTGCGATTCATGGTGCGTAAGTGGCAGCGAGCGACGAGGAGCCACAGTCCTATGGATCGCGGCGGTGGCAGCGCCTCTGGTGAGCAGTGTCCTTCACAGCACCGCTAACCATGTCTCCTCTACCCTGCTGTGCACCACAGCACCGCTAACCATGTCTCCTCTACCCTGCTGTGCACCACAGCATCGCTAACCATGTCTCCTCTACCCTGCTGTGCACCACAGCATCGCTAACCATGTCTCCTCTACCCTGCTGTGCACCACAGCATCGCTAACCATGTCTCCTCTACCCTGCTGTGCACCACAGTTAGCACATAACCATGTCTCCTCCACCCTGCTGTGCACCACAGTTAGCGCATAACCATGTCTCCTCTACCCTGCTGTGCACCACAGTTAGCGCATAACCATGTCTCCTCTACCCTGCTGTGCACCACAGTTAGCGCATAACCATGTCTCCTCTACCCTGCTGTGCACCACAGTTAGCACATAACCATGTCTCCTCTACCCTGTTGTGCACCACAGTTAGCACATAACCATGTCTCCTCTACCCTGCTGTGCACCACGATTAGCGCATAACCATGATCGAGTGAGGAGTGATTAGAAAGCCACTGTCGTTGGCTGCGACTGAAAGTGTCCATAACAATTTGATGAATTTAGTTTAGTCCAACTGTTAACACTATTTTCAGTAAGGTTATTCATACAGTTGTCAATTTATGCGCTGATATATGGAATGTATTTACGTGGCTTTTTTAAACACTGGAAAGGTTTTCATGAGATTTGTTTTGACTCTTTTGAAATGCTGTATGTCACAATGTAGTAGGGCTGCAATTGCCGCATTCTGTGTTGATATTTTATGGAATGTAAACTGTTCACACGTGGTGAGCGATACAAGCAGTTTGTTTGTTAACAGTATTACCCTGTTCTGTGAAGCATCAGTGGTAATGGAATGGTTGTGTGTGTGGTTTTATCATTACTTAAATCATATGGCTTGTCAAGCACTCATTCATATCACAATAATCCAGTCACAGTCCCTCCTTTCTCAGACGAACTCCTCCCCTTTAGTACTCCTGAGCCACCAGTGAAAAGTACACATTCCTACGGCAAAAGCGATTCTTTCTGTGAGACAACTTTTATCATCCCAAAGGGATGTTGATTTGAGGCAACCTCTGACTGGGATTTCACCCCTGAACCTGAGTGTGAGTCGAGTGACACTCGGTTGTCTAGATTATAATAAGACTTTTTTTTTTACGCAGGACTTATTTTACGTGATGTTTCTGCAATGGGTTGTTTGAGCAACTTTTTATTGACGTGTGGAATGAAACCATTAAAGAGAAAATAGGTACATATCAGGAGATAACAGTCAAGAACCTCACAGACGGTCCAGGAGCCCAGGACCTCAACCCAGCAGATGCAGTGGAACTTGAACTGATGACATGCATGTGCTGCCACACATGTAATGCCGGAAGTCTAGCACATTACTGTCTCCTTATCCAATGATTTTCAAGGAACTGAAGATATGGATGATGGATGCGAGTTGCCAGGCGGGAAGGATGACGCAGAGCGAAGGTTTTCCTGTTGTGCTGTGTTGTTAAAATCAGCACGTGTGTTCTGGGCTTTACGTTTTAATCCGTGCATTTCTACAGATGGCTCTGTGAGGGCAGAGTCTCCTCGCCTCCTCTCCAACTCCTCCGCCATTAACTCCCCGCCGACTCGCGACCGACCACACGCTGCCTCGTCGCGATCGACGTGCGTGCAGCGGCAATTTAAAGCCTTGCATGCACACACACACATTGTTGCATATGACACATGGCAACCGACATTGGCAGATGCTTCTTGCTTCATAAGGCTAATCAATTCGTGTCAGAGCCTTGAGCTGCCACTGCTGCGATGATGGGATTGAATCCAGGTAGCCACTCTTGTGACAACCAGACTCAAGTGTAGTGAGTTTAACACTCTTGACTTTATCATCAGCTGCAGAGAGACATGATTGATGTGAAGCTACCACTCTTCACAATCACAAAGAAACACCGTCTCGTCTCACGTCCTATTGAAATTATTCTGTAAATGGTTCTATGCGTCATCTTTTGGGGCAGATTTCACAAATGATGTAATGTTATATTAATTGAGGGACTTACTTAAAGACATTTATTAGCTCCATAAAATGTGAAAATAACTAAATAAATGCTGACGAACGAGTTGCTGTGCTGTGTGCGGTCACACAGCCAAGGTGTCAATGTTGGCAGCGGCGCTCTGGGTGTTTAAACCGCGTCTCTGGGTGTGTGGTTGATGCAGCCGACAGCAGGCAGCGTCGTCATCACCTTTGGCCCAGCACATAAGCCCCTCGCCTGCACACGTCACCTACACGTCCCAGACGCAGGACCCCGAGCGTTCGCTCACTGACTACATTGGACGCCTGGAGGCCCTGCAGCACCGTCTGGGTGGCCTGCAGCCAGGTAAAGTACAGGGTCGCAGCCACACGCAGCCCTCCCCACGCCGTACCACTGGGACAAGCCAGTACTGTGCAGAATCCTCTCTGCTCACGTGAGCAATGGGCAATGCTCGACTTCACTGGCAGCCTTAAGGCAGTGTTGGAAATTCTACATTCCTTTGACAGAGGCTAGTCTGTGTAAGATAACCAATAAAGTACCACAAATTGGAACACAAATCGGTATGTATTTTACTGACCCTAAAAAGATGTTGGGTTGTTACCCCTGACAGATGTCCATGTGCACCAATCCAATTGTCACATTCCAAGCACACTATCATGCGACTGGTTCAGGTGTCATTTAAATTGAAATAGCAGGGAATGAGCAATTAAAACGACAAGAGCCACTCACCTTGTTATAAAAACAATGCATGTTATGCTACAAACAATACCACCATACACCAAGGCTCCTCGTTGACCCATCTATGAGCAATGATGGTCTTACATTCAAACCATTTAACTTTTTCAAAGACAGTGTTGCCCTGCTCAAATGAGTGTGGTGCTCAGGTCCATTGGTGGCCCTCAGTCAGTTTTGTAAATTCTATTGTCCCATTGTCCGTACCATTTTCTCCATGGAACGATTGCTGACCTTTCACAAAGTGACACTAATTTTACTGGTAGGAACCTCCTGGTTACACCAGCCCACAGGGGATTATTGTGTCCGTCGTGCAGGGAGGGGCTGGGTGGGGAGGGAGGGGCTGGGTGGGGAGGGTGGGGGGGCTGGGTGGGGAGGGGCTGGTGGGCAGGTGGGAGGGGTGGGGAGGGGCTGGTCACCCCGTGGTGCCCATATAAAACTCAACGTTTAACCTACTCACGCCGGCTTGTGCCCGCCCTCAGTCGGGCATATTTGCGGAATAAACCACGCCGTCGTTGACCCTGGCCATTGACCGAGCAACCCAACGTTCCTACCAGCTTCCTCTGCAGGAATGTATTATAAGCACTGTGGAGGGGTCTTAGTTAAAGGGCTCTACCAGCACCACATAACCGATCTATCATGATTCTCAAATACAGGGGTGGCACACACAGCACATTTAATGAGTGATATAGACAGCATCTTACCTGGCTGTACGGTGCGGCATCTTCACATAAAGGTAACACAGCCAAGAATAACGTTTGACAAATCTAAATCCAAAAATGGGAACTAATATTTGTATTCAAAGGCAGTAAAAGATGTGGATATCGGCTGGTTGGCCCATAGGCCCTCGTTTAGTGAAACTGTCGTGACAGGATCGCCAAGTTCACGGTATCGCCTGAGCAGCCGGAGGTGAGACCTCAGCCTTGGCACGGATGGTGACCCAGGACTACCACCCATAATGGCCAGCCTACAACCAGTGAGTCAAGCGAACGGGACCCACCCAGCACGAGGATGTCCGCAGCAAACAGCGCAGGGCCTCTGAACTAAAACCACGAGCCCCTGCACCCCAAGACACGCACGGCTTCATCAGCACGTTTGACGATGGATTTCTAAAAAATAAATCCAAATGGTCAGTTTTTGATAATATTTATCTGTTATTAATTTTAGCATGTCACAATACATTTTGCTTATGTTTCTCCTGTACTCTTTTTGTGTGTTTTTATTATCATACAATTTGCTGTTTCTTTGTACAGAATGAACTGTATTAGTAACACTATTAATGCATACTCTACAGTTAACAGTCCCTCCTCTCGAAGAGGTGAGTGCAAGGGTGGGAGGCAGTGATGAGTTATTATTGCCCCTGTGTGAATGAGCTCTCATCCTGATCTGATGAGTTCATGTAATGTAAACTAAGCAGAAACGTAACATAAAACTAAGTGAACTGAAAGTGACAATTTGACCAAATGGTGCTGTTGCAAGGTCAGATGTACAGATATGTGAATGGTTGTCCAGACAGGCACGACTTTCGTTTCTATAGTCACCCCCTTTAATGTGCTCTCGTAACATAAAATGAGAAATAAATTACAGATCAGTGTAACAAAGTTGAAAAGTGTGCAAAGAAGCATGGAAAGATATATGGTTAGAATTACACAAATAGAATCACACATCTGAGGATTATAATTATGCATTGATCTTGGAACAAATGTACATGAGGGATATATTGACTCAAAAGCGGTTTAGGTAAAATACATCATTGGATGGATTAAAGGCTGGTCATGCAAGTCTGGTGATGCAATGGTAGCCAAATGAGAGAACGTCCCTGCGAGGATGACCACCTGATGACATCAGCTCAGGTGCCAGAGCCAGATGGATTGTGCCACCGCAAGTTATTGCAAAAGCGTGGGGAGGCTTCCACCAGGAGGTAGGCAATTTAATAAATATGGGGATTTTATACCAATCTGAAGTTAGTGAAGCGAATGTTTTACTCAATACTGGAATGTTTCGACCATCCCTTGTGTGGAATAGGTATTCTGCCATCAGAATGTATGTTCTGGTAGATCATTATCTGTGCTGTGGGGCTGTCGGCTGTGTGGTGGCGCCAATGTGTGGCAGATCGCAGGAGTGCTCTTACCGCATGGCAATTTCTCCACGCGCCTCTGGCTCATGAGGTTGTATTTTTGTAAATGTGTTGGAAAGCTAAGTTTTTAATTCTGTTCAAGAAATAAAAGATACAAATCAAAAGTTTTAATGGCCTTTTGGACCGTGGCTGTGTTTTGCGGATGTTTGGTCGGTGTCGTCATATGATGGGAGGGGGCCAGGCGATATATTATTTTGTATTGAGTATGAGGAAACCAAAATACCTTGAGAAAACGCACATCCATGAGACGTTCACGGGTACACACAAATCAGTTAAACAATGCTCTTTATACTGGGAGCAACCCACTGGTTCCACCAGCCCACAGGGGATTATTGTGTCCGTCCGTCGTGCAGGGAGGGGCTGGGTGGGGAGGGGCTGGTCACCCCGTGGTACCCTTATAAAACTCAACGTTTAACCTACTCACGCCGGCTTGTGCCCGCCCTCAGTCGGGCATATTTGCGGAATACACCACGCCGCCGTTGACCCTGGCCATTGACCAAGCAACCCAACGTTCCTACCAGCTCCCTCCACAGGAATGTGTTCCCAATGGGTTTGCTAGTTTCACATCTACATGATCCATCAATACTCGTCCTGAAAGTGCTTAATCGCAAGCATATGCCTGGCTGCAAAAAGCGTGTGCTTTTATCACGAAGAATGTGGGTAAATAAAAGACCATATCCATATGTATTAACCATTGTTAGACATGGCATGGATAACATACGAAACAAAGTGTTTAGAAAATACATTCCTCTGTTTTGGGGTATTAACAAAATTTTACCACTGTCCACACAAAACAGATCAGGTCCTTAAGTTTACAAACTAAAATGTTAACTGCAAATTGTCTACAGTGAACTGTACATGGGAATACAACACCATTTTACCACCACGTTGAATTACACATTTCCTTTCATGCACGTGCCCTTGAAGCCATGTATACAGGTCTCCCTCGATTCATGCAGAAAATGCGCATAATCATGAAACTGCCTGGTTCTTAACCTCGGTGAGTGTACTGGCAGTCTATAATGTAGATTAGCCTGAAAAATAATTAAAAAAACGTTTCAATCGCAACACAAGCGGTTGTCATCAGGACGATCGCTTGCTTGCCATCGAAACGTCGTGGCTTTTTAAAATTATTTTTTAGGCTATAGTCTACATTATACGACTGCCAATACACTCACCCAGCTTAATAACCATTGCTACAGTCTACATTATAGACTGCCAGTACACTCGCCAAACTTAATAACCAGGCTAGTCTACATTATAGACTGCCAGTAAACTCACTCCGATTAAGAACCAGGCTTAAGTATTTTTATAATTTTTATTCACCTTATTTTTATTAGTATTTTTCTATCTACGTGACTTTACCGAAATAACCAAATAATATGAATTCCTGCTGTCACGAAAGTAAAAAAAAAACTCCAATGTAAACCACGGTTTATTTTCTTCACGCCATTTAGCCGTTACTTTACAAGGCAAATGGACCTTCACGTTAAACTGAAGACTTACAAGTAACAAACTCAATTTATTTCATCCATCGTCTACGAATGCAATGCCATTGCACAACGTATGAGATACAATAAAGACAGCAGGCTTCACGTTTATTGCAAAGTACAGTATATCCGTGTGGGTAAATCATTCTGGATTAAATGTTTAATTTAACATTTAATTTCTAACTTCAACTTTGTAAAATATGCACAAACTTCCAAAACACTTTGTTTGATATATTAAAATAAATTACCACAGTAACATGTAAAATTAGCACATCAATTATTCTCTAACACACTTGTATTTTATCTCTAAACTCTGCTGCTGGCGCCAAGGCAGAGCTGAAGTGTTAGCTGGCCCATCATGAAACCGAGACAGCACAGCACCGAATCATTGTGCATCAACACAGAATTGTATTTATTGAATGACTCCACAAAACTAGTGGTGATGTCTTGAATAGGCCTCTTCCCACAACTCATCTCAATTTCATGTGCAGATGAGTGCTTCACTTCGTGTCTTGAAATATATACATTAATGCATCCTACAAGGGCTGGGATTCACAAAATCAAGGGCCGAGCTGTATTTGACAGCTTTCACAAGTGTGTGCATCGTGTTTGTGAAACTTGCTAAATATCACATGTTTCAGGTAGGAACACCAGTTCCACACTGCCCACCAGGGATTATTTGTCTTTCGTGCATAGCCCCTCTCAAACATGTACGCTCCCGGATTGGTTGAAGTGCGTCACGTGACCACGAGCTCTCTGTACAAATGCGCTGTCCAACCAATTTCCTACCTGCCCACTCCAAAGGAACGTGTTTCACCACAATAGGGGCCGAAACCCAGGAACCGAGTGGTGCTGGCTCAATGTGGTGACATAGCCCTGAGAATCACATAATTTTATCGGTGGAGAGGCATTTTATGTTTGAGCAGGGTTACATGTGTGGTGATCAAGGTTGACACCAAGGTTGACACAGGTCACACAGGTCACACAAGCTAGGGGAGAGGTACGTACCGGTCTGGACCGGTCCGGACCGGCAGGGACGAGAGGTGGTTGGAACCGCTCTGAGGGGAGGGGGCTGGCGAGAGCCAGGGCCCCGAGACACCCCCGCCCCTCAGAGAGAGGGGATATAAGACGGCTCCCGGAGAGCGGAGGGGGTCGATCTCACGAGAAGCTGAAGGAGGTGCGGCCGGAGATCCTGGACCCCCAAGCCTCGAGGATGCCGCCCGGCTGGGACTGAGTGGGCTGAGTAGCTGTAGGCTAGGGAAGGAGAGTAACTGAGTAGCTGTAGGCTAGGGAAGGAGAGTAACAGAGTAGCTGTAGGCTAGGGAAGGAGAGTAACTGAGTAGCTGTAGGCTAGGGAAGGAGAGTAACTGAGTAGCTGTAGGCTAGGGGAGGAGAGTAGCTGAGTGGCTGTAGGCTAGGGAAGAGAGTAACAGAGTAGCTGTAGGCTAGGGAAGGAGAGTAACAGAGTAGCTGTAGGCTAGGGAAGGAGAGTAATGAGAATAGAGCCGGAGGCTGTACCTCCCTAGGTTGTGTGGTTAGACTGTTCCCCCAGTGAGTCCGGAGGACTAGTGTTATTGGAATAAAAGCGTGTGGCCTCTACGAAGTCTCTGACTCATTCAAGAATACTACATATGTACAGTGTGGACAATGAGGTGTAGTCTCTGCAGTGAACGTGTGATATGGTTGCACAAGTGCTGGACGGCAGCACAGGGAGATGTGGTGAGTGGGTTGATGTGGACCGAGCCCCTGGCCTTGACGCAGGTGGTCTGATCAGTGGGACTTGGGCTCAGCGGTCCCTGCGTTGGTAACGGATGATGGCGTTGCTGGGCGTATGGATCATGGTGGTGTAGTTGATCTCGGGGAAGTGGCCATCCACCAGCTTAAACTCAAACATGCGCAGCAGAGTGGACCAGATCGTCTTGATCTGCACATAGGCAAAGTTCTCCCCGATGCAACGGTGGCGTCCTTCACACAAAAAACATGCGCACGCAGATATTAAACGAAATTTAAAAAGACAAGGTCAATGAAATGCCGATTAAATAAATAAATGCTCTCACCTCTTGACACTATCACTGTACTGGATACAACCACTCTTAGGTATGTGATTATATGAAAGAGTACGTGACTTGCAACTGGAAAATGTTGTTTACAGCAAGAACCAACAACCACATTATGAGGGCACGGGAAGTGCATGCGTGAACGTACCAGCCCCGAACGGCACATAGGAGAACTTCTCCGAGTTGGAGGTTCCTTCCTGCAGGAACCGGTCGGGGTTGAAGTTGCTGGGCTGGGTCCACGCAGAGTTCAGTTTTTGGTTCACCGTGGGTGACACGCACACCTGGTGCCCCGGTGGTATGGTGTAGCCACACACGGTCTGCACAAGCACAGCAAGCATCACACATATAGGAAGTTAAGCTTATCCAAAATTCCACATAGCCAGCATTGTCAATATATAAGGAATTCCAGGATTTACCTTCAACACCTTAAGCTTTGTGTCAACAACAGTTATAGCAGTGCTCATCTCTGTTGGTCGCTTTGAGCCAGTGTTGACAAGTGCAGATTTCTGTGGCAGGGTCCAGCCTGTCTATAGAACAATCACCTATAGGAATTACACTTCATAAATCCAAGGCAGGCAATGCCACCAACTATGGTAAGCTTGGCAAGTGACTATGAGTGACAAGGGTGAAGTTTCCCCCAGCATTGGTGACACCTCACCATGGCCTAAAACAGCAGTGAGATCAAGGATGTGGCTCAGGCTCAAGAGGCTGCACCTGTGGGGTCTTGGCCAGACGCATCATGGTCATGATTGGCGGGCGCAGGCGCAGTGTCTCCTTCAGACAGCTGTCCAGCACCACGAGGTCCTTGAGCTGAGCACATCATACCAAAACCACGTAAATATCAGATACACATCATATACACATCTCAAACACAGGACACTTATTACATGCATCGCACGATAAACACGGACACCGCACACTCATCGCACATCAGCAGCAGCGTTATCTTCACGGCATTGGCTCTGGGTGCATACGGGCGTGAGGACGGCATTAGCGATACACAATCTGAAACTGCCCTATGTCCACCAATGTTTAAGGCACTGAGAAATGATAAAAAAAATTGGGCATTAAAAATAATTGATTCAAATGCTTTAAATATTAGCTGCAGGTCGACAGGATGCAAGATAAGACACACGCACACACAATGCAATGGAGAAGCAGTATGCTCTGTTAAGTGCGTTCTGCAAGGCTGGGTGGCGATACCTGGTCATACTCCACAGGTGGCAGCTCATCCCCGCACGCGGCCTTCTGCTCGGCGTAGCAGCGCGCCTGCAGTGCAGGGTCGCGTGCCAGGAAGAAGCCGAGCCACGCACTTGTCGTGGACGATGTGTGCTGCCCGGCCAGCAATAGCCCGATGAGCATCCCCACGATCTCATCGTCCGACAGCGTTCGCCCATCCCTGACGCGCGCGCGCACACACCACGATAGACATTTTATGATGATGATGATTACCGCATTATTATCAGTTTCCCATAAGTTTCTAATTGTATTTTCTATTTTCTAGTAATGATTGTGTGCATTGATATACTTCCTGTACGAATTAAAATTACTTAAAAGTTCTTCAAGTGGAGTCAGTCAAAATGAGCCTGTCATAATTAAATTATTGCAACGTCACCACTGGCGGAGCTAGTTGGGGAGGTGGGGTGGCACGTGCCCCCCAATGATCCAATCGAAATCCCTAATTTCGATCGGATCATTGGGGTTTATTAGTAATAAATCGGCATTTTGCGACCCCCACTGCCACTGTGCAGCATATTATTACGTGCCAGGGACTATGAGATGATAGGACAATAGTCTGAGTCCATAATTGGCAATAAGTAACGGCAAAGCAGTTATAAGTTACTCAGAATTGTGCGCAGTTGCATTTCCAGTACATGACTTCCCTGAAGGCATTCACCTTCAGCGAGCGCGATGCCGATCACACAGGTCGAATTCGACCCTCGATCAATGGCTGCGCCATCGCCGCACACGCGTCGAATTAAAAGCAAGGGACAAGTCCTTACTTACTAACAACTCCTATCATTGCTGGAGGGGTTTCCCCCCTACCTGAAAATCCTGGCTCCGCCATTGAATGTCACAATCCATAATGCTTGTAACAAAAATTACGTTAGAACAAAATACTTAATCAAGCAATTAAAGGAGCTATGAAAATTGTCAACTGCGAAGCCTTCATTTTCTCCAAAAATGTTTTGTAAAGAACGAATTTCATTGGTAATAGCTATTTATTTATATCCTGAAAAATATCAGGAAATAAAAAAAATTCTAAAATAACCACAATGTAATGATACTTTTACAACTGGACGACACAATGATCTTGGATCTTTTTGTATGAATGTAGAACTTATTTCGCCCTGTACGTAGTTATCCGTGCTAACCGTGGCAACGCAAAACACACAACACTGCATTGCCACAGCCCACCAACAGCAGCAAGGCTCCGCACACGGCAACCTTCATTTAGATCACACCGCGCTGCTGCCTCTCACCCAACACGTGGAGAGGCGGTGCCATGCAGACAGCGCTCGACTCACAAGCAAAAGCACGCGAGTTCAGATCCCGGTCAGGGGTCAACTTTGTCGCAGCAATTGTTAGTTACAGATACAGGCCATTACAGAAAACAATGGACAGAAGTACAGGCACACACGTATAAGCAGAGGCACCGAGATGTGAGGGGGAGGGGGCAGTACTTGTAGGTTGCATCAATGAGGGTCTGCAGCATGTCGTCTTGCTTCTCGGCGTCACGCCGCCTCTTCTGGATGACGGTCTTGAACACGCGCCGCACCTCCTGGTGTGCCCGGTCTCGCTTCCTGAGGCGAGGGCAGCACGGAGAACAGAGGCACCACCGCTCAATATCATGGGTGTTCAAAAGGATGAGTGATTGCAGGTGATGGATGTTGAAGATGACAGTGGTAAACACCCTGCATTGTTATATCACCACCTCATATGTACATGCACAGCCCTTTCGTCAGTACACTGCTAGATGAGGACCTCCCCACACTGTGGGTCATGGGGGTTATTTTACTATTTCATCAGACTGGTCAATGCAGGTTTGTCAAGGCAGGGAGTACATGTAGTAGCATAGAAGCACAGTACCACAACATTTTTCTGTACTGCCATCTGCAGACCACTACATAAGTGTCTTGAAGCCACCTGTGAAAACCTGGCGTGCATGGCGGTTACCCGTGCACACTCTATCCAGGCTCAAAACTGCCTGGCTTCAGAGATCTCAAGAGATTGAGTGCATTATGGGTGATTTGCTTAAGCTCACCACCTCACACCAAAACTGGACAGTGCTTCCCCATATTTAGATGTCCATTGGAGGCTATCCTGGTCTCATACGGGAAGGCTCAATCATCTGTACTTGTTCTCTACTGTATGCCCCTCACTGGGAGATTCATAGTTTCCATCCTGAGAGGAGCTGCCGATGCATCTTTGGGCAGATCTTTTTGGTGAGCAACACTCTTTCTTGCCGTCTGCTGTTTTGAATCACAAGTATAAGGTTGTCTGCCTTGTAAGTGCCTGGCCAGAGCTCTTACCGGAAGCTGGGCAAGGGCAGCCACCCAGGAAGCAACCAGGCGGCATGAGTGAAGCCCCCGTCGAGGTCGCTGTAGAGCTGTGCGACGTGCTCCGTGAGCATGGCACGGATCTCCTTGCCATGCAGGCAGCGGCTCGCCGTCAGGATTATGAGTTCCGAAAGGGCCTCAAAGAAGTCTGCAGCACACAGGAGCATGGGAAAACGAATTAAAGAAGAATAGAGTGATACGTGCTTAGAATTACATTGAGATACAGAAAAAGCATTGCATGGATGACAGAACATACACAGGATAAAAACATAATTCAAAATATTCAGAAAAATAAAACCTAAACATTTAGCTGCCGAACATATTGCCATCCATAAGAATAGAATTGCTCTATCGGTGCGTAGAGTGTTCTAAGCACAGCATGACGGCTGGACCTAAAGACAAGTGAAGCAACAGAAAACGTGGTGAGCGATGCGGAGCCAGGACGCACCACGCTGCCCCTTCACGCCCCAGCGCTCAAAGTAGTTTCGTGTCTCCTCCTCGATCATGTGCACATGCTGCCGGAACTGGGAGATGTTGAGCCCAGTTTTCAGCATCTTCTTTTGCTCCAGGAACACCTGGACATGGTAGAGCACAGGGCGACATAGGCATTACAATAACATACTTTGCTTCAGGGGCATCGTGACCTTGTATTTCAGGCTCCGCTGTCACTTAGCAGTCCAGCCAAACTAGACGCACAGCAAGGGACGTGACTGGCTAGTGATGCGATATTAGACTTGGCCGGGCGTTGCCACATCTCGTACCGGGTTGGGCACGTCGTAGGCCACTCCGGGACCGAAGACGGGCGTGGTAAGGCGCGAGTAAACCTCCTCGGCATTCAGGTCCTCGTTCTTGCTATTGAAGAGCAGTGCGGCTGCGTCAGGGCCCAGGAGGTACGTGAACGTCTTTCCCACCATGGTGAAGCTGAACACGGGCCCATACTGCCCCACGACAACACAACAACCACAGGGACAGGCGGCGTACAGAGATGTCGAGGTCAGGTCATACAGAGAGTGCAGAAGCATTCAACGTGCTGTGTATGAAACTTACGACTGGTCCCTGCCTACCCGTATGATATCTTGGACCTTGACGAAATCTTACTCGAGAGTTGCGTGAAATCTTATCTTAAGATGTCTTAAGTCGTTCTGCACTCCGGACCCCGAGCTGGCATCGCCTTACCTTCTCAAAGGCGTTCTCCAGGAAATCGATGGGATTGCGTCCGAATCCAATGGCGTGGCCCAGGAAGGGAATGTACGAGGGGATGTGAGGCGGGTGCTTCTGTGGAGACATACGCAGTCCTGTTCACTGCACATTCCTCATGCAAAAACGGGGATATCACCACACGAGCAGTCCGCGTTATATCATGACAAAGGATAGCTGCGATTTAACAAATGCATACCGAATTCGTAGGGCAGTGCAATCTTTCGTGTTAAACAGTGGCCCACAGAAGGGGGTATATTAGAACTACTTCTGAGCTCCCTCGAAGTGACCTCTGGTCAACACAGTCAGTAGGGGCAGCACTTTATACCCGCCCGACTAAAGATAACCATTTTCATCGCATGATATTTCAGCAGATGCTGTAGAGTATTGGAAATTATCAGAGCTGGGAAATTATTGAAATAACGGGCAGAAACCTCATGTTATGGCATGGGGTTTTTGTGCAGTCATTGGTGACGGGGCTGAGATGATTAACTCTGCACTGCACTTGAGAGAACACGGATTCGAACCCAGGATCTCGGTGATGCTCGGCTCGGCACTCTTCACATCCGAGCAACACGGCCATCGCAATAACCACCGTGGCGAAGTTGAAGGGCGGCGTGCAGGGAGGCGAGATGGGCAGGGAGGGTGGGTGGGGGGTGAGGTGAGATGCAGGGAGGCGAGGTGCATGGAGGTGAGGTGATGTGCAGGTTAGAGAATTGACGTGCAGGAAGGTGAGAGAGATGTAGTGCAGAGGGGTGAGAGTTATATTTGTAAAGAGGGAATGTGCAGGAAGGTGAGGTGCAGGGAGGTGAGGTGGTGCAGGGAGGTGAGGTGGTGCAGGGAGGTGCGGTGCAGGGAGGTGGGTGATGAGGGAGGTGAGGGTTGCAGGTGAGGGAGATGCACCACATCTCACCTGAGCTTTCCCTGCTCCGCGACTGGCGCCCAGCACCACCGCCAACATCAGCGCGGACGCGGCGAGCGCCCAGGACGAGGGGCTCATCTGCTCCAGCACGGCGTTGCCAGCTTCCATCACAGTGCCCAGCATCGCGACGACGACGACGAAGAGGAGGAGAACGAGACGCGGCGCACAGAAGGAGAGACGCGCCGGTACGCACGTGTCGCAGCACCTCTCACTGCTCCAGCCGCCTCACTGCCTCACAGCGCGCTCCGCACACTAAAGAGTCCCTTTCACTGCGGAGCGGGACGCGGTTGGGGGCGGGGCCGTTATGGGCGAATCACCGGGGCCCCGCGCACGGATACCTCGGCCTCGCGTGACGCGGCGGCGCGCGCCACGCGATCGCGCGCCGCTCCTGATTGGCCGGGCGGAGGCGCGCGCTCGCCTCACGCGACCGCCGCGGCACGGTGACGTCACGCCAGTGGGCGGGGCTCGGGCACGGGCCCCGCCCCCACCACGAGAGCCGCGGGGCGGAGTCGCGCGGCAGCAGTGGCGGATCAGTGAATGAGAGAGGCGAGGAGTGAGTGAGTGAGGCAGGGAGTGAATGAATCAGTGAGTGAGTGAATCAGTGAGTGAGGCAGTGAGTGAGTGAGGCAGGGAGTGAGTGAGGCAGGGAGTGAATGAATCAGTGAGTGAGTGAATCAGTGAGTGAGGCAGTGAGTGAGAGAGGCAGTGAGTGAGTGAGGCAGGGAGTGAAGCAGGGAGTGAGTGAGGCAGGGAGGGAGTGAGTGAGGCAGGGAGTGAGAGAGGCGAGGAGTGAAGCAGGGAGTGAGTGAGTGAGGCAGGGAATGAGTGAGGCAGGGAGTGAGTGAAGCAGGGAGTGAGTGAAGCAGGGAGTGACGCAGGGAGTGAGTGAGGCAGGGAGTGAGTGAGTGAGGCAGGGAGTGAGTGAGGCAGGGAGTGAGTGAGGCAGGGAGTGAGTGAAGCAGGGAGTGAGTGAAGCAGGGAGTGAGTGAGGCAGGGAGTGAGTGAGGCAGGGAGTGAGTGAAGCAGGGAGTGACGCAGGGAGTGAGGCAGGGAGTGAGTGAGACAGGGAGTGAGTGAGGCAGGGAGTGAGTGAGTGAGGCAGGGAGTGAGTGAGGCAGGGAGTGAGTGAGGCAGGGAGTGAGTGAGGCAGGGAGTGAGTGAGTGAGGCAGGGAGTGAGTGAGGCAGGGAGTGAATGAGTGAGGCAGGGAGTGAAGCAGGGAGTGAGTGAAGCAGGAAGTGAGTGAAGCAGGGAGTGAGTAAGGCAGGGAGTGAGGTAGGGAGTGAGTAAATCAGTGAGGCAGGGAGTGAGTGAATCAGTGAGGCAGGGAGTGAGTGACGCAGGGAGTGAGTGACGCAGGGAGTGAGTGAATCAGTGAGGCAGGGAGTGAGTGAATCAGTGAGGCAGGGAGTGAGTGACGCAGGGAGTGACGCAGGGAGTGAGTGCGGCAGGGAGTGAGTGAGTGAGACAGGGAGTGACGCAGGGAGTGCATCAGGGAGTGAGTGAGACAGGGAGTAAGACAGGGAGTGTTTGAATCAGTGAGTGAATCAGGGAGTGAGTGAGACAGGGAGTGAGTGAGACAGGGAGTGAGTGAATCAGGGAGTGAGTGAGACAGGGAGTGAGTGAGACAGGGAGTGAGTGAGACAGGGAGTGAGTGAATCAGGGAGTGAGTGAGACAGGGAGTGAGTGAGACAGGGAGTGAGTGAGACAGGGAGTGAGTGAGACAGGGAGTAAGACAGGGAGTGTTTGAATCAGTGAGTGAATCAGGGAGTGAGTGAGACAGGGAGTGAGTGATACAGGGAGTGAGTGAGACAGGGAGTGAGTGAGACAGGGAGTGAGTGAGGCAGGGAGTGAGTGAATCAGGGAGTGAGTCAGTGAGTCAGTGAGTGAGGCAGGGAGTGAGAGAGGCGGTGTGTTGCAGGGTGCAGCAGCAGACGAGCGGCGATGACGGAGGGCACGTGAGTGGCGCTGCACACCGCACTCACTGCCCGCGCCTGATGATGACAACTCCTCGGTTACACACATCGCCTCCACCTCAACCACATAGCCCAGGCCTCCTAAAACTGTAGATTCGCTATAAATAGCGCCACATATCTACAAACTAAGCCTGGCTGCGTCTACAAACTAAGCTAGTCTGTATAGTTTGTAGATATGCACAGTTTTAGGAGGCCTGACATAGCCACACTCCGCATGGCACAATCGTGAACACAACACGCTTTACACGCGCGCGTTGGTGGGGTGACAGGCGGTGGCATGGATACCGTGCAGGAGAAATCCTGCAAAACACACCGACACACAACGCGAACTAAATGCCTTCCCAAAACAAACACAACACACAATGTACACAACGTGAACTTCCCAAAACAAGCACAACACACAATGTACACAACGCGAACTTCCCAAAACAAGCACAACACACAATGTACACAACGTGAACTTCCCAAAACAAGCACAACACACAATGTACACAACGCGAACTTCCCAAACCAAACACAACACACAATGTACACAACGCGAACTTCCCAAAACAAACACAACACACAATGTACACAACGCGAACTTCCCAAAATAAACACAACACACAATGTACACAACGCGAACTTCCCAAAACAAACACAACACACAATGTACACAACGTGAACTTCCCAAAACAAGCACAACACACAATGTACACAACGTGAACTTCCCAAAACAAACACAACACACAATGTACACAACGCGAACTTCCCAAACCAAACACAACACACAATGTACACAACGCGAACTTCCCAAAACAAACACAACACACAATGTACACAACGCGAACTTCCCAAAATAAACACAACACAATGTACACAACGCGAACTTCCCAAAACAAACACAACACACAATGTACACAACGTGAACTTCCCAAAACAAGCACAACACACAATGTACACAACGCGAACTTCCCAAACCAAACACAACACACAATGTACACAACGCGAACTTCCCAAAACAAACACAACACACAATGTACACAACGCGAACTTCCCAAAATAAACACAACACACAATGTACACAACGTGAACTTCCCAAAACAAACACAACACACGATATACACAACGCGAACTTCCCAAAACAAACACAACACACAATGTACACAACGCGAACTTCCCAAAACAAACACAACACACAATATACACAACGCGAACTTCCCAAAACAAACACAACACACAATATACACAACGCGAACTTCCCAAAACAAACACAACACACAATATACACAACGCGAACTTCCCAAAACAAACAACACACACAATGTACACAACGTGAACTTCCCAAAACAAACACAACACACAATGTACACAACGCGAACTTCCCAAAACAAACAACACACACAATGTACACAACGTGAACTTCCCAAAACAAACAACACACACAATGTACACAACGCGAACTTCCCAAAACAAACACAACACACAATATACACAACGCGAACTTCCCAAAACAAACAACACACAATATACACAACGCGAACTTCCCAAAACAAACACAACACACAATGTACACAACGTGAACTTCCCAAAACAAACACAACACACAATATACACAACGCGAACTAAATGCCTTCCCAAAACAAACACAACACACAATATACACAGCGTGAACTTCCCAAACCAAACACAACACACAATATACACAACGTGAACTTCCCAAAACAAACAACACACAATATACACAACGTGAACTTCCCAAAACAAACAACACACAATATACACAACGTGAACTTCCCAAAACAAACACAACACACAATATACACAACGTGAACTTCCCAAAACAAACAACACACAATATACACAACGTGAACTTCCCAAAACAAACAACACACAATATACACAACGTGAACTTCCCAAAACAAACACAACACACAATGTACACAACGCGAACTTCCCAAAACAAACACAACACACAATATACACAACGCGAACTTCCCAAAACAAACAACACACAATGTACACAACGTGAACTTCCCAAAACAAACACAACACACAATGCACACAACGCGAACTTCCCAAGACAAACAACACACAATGTACACAACGTGAACTTCCCAAAATAAACACAACACACAATATACACAACGCGAACTAAATGCCTTCCCAAAACAAACACAACACACAATATACACAGCGTGAACTTCCCAAACCAAACACAACACACAATATACACAACGTGAACTTCCCAAAACAAACAACACACAATATACACAACGTGAACTTCCCAAAACTAACACAACACACAATATACACAACGTGAACTTTCCAAAACAAACACAACACACAATGTACACAACGTGAACTTCCCAAAACAAACACAACACACAATGTACACAACGTGAACTTCCCAAAACAAACACAACACACAATATACACAACGCGAACTAAATGCCTTCCCAAAACAAACACAACACACAATATACACAGCGTGAACTTCCCAAAACAAACACAACACACAATATACACAACGTGAACTTCCCAAAACAAACAACACACAATATACACAACGTGAACTTCCCAAAACAAACAACACACAATATACACAACGTGAACTTCCCAAAACAAACACAACACACAATGTACACAACGTGAACTTCCCAAAACAAACAACACACAATATACACAACGTGAACTTCCCAAAACAAACACAACACACAATATACACAACGTGAACTTCCCAAAACAAACAACACACAATATACACAACGTGAACTTCCCAAAACAAACAACACACAATATACACAACGTGAACTTCCCAAAACAAACACAACACACAATGTACACAACGCGAACTTCCCAAAACAAACACAACACACAATATACACAACGCGAACTTCCCAAAACAAACAACACACAATGTACACAACGTGAACTTCCCAAAACAAACACAACACACAATGCACACAACGCGAACTTCCCAAGACAAACAACACACAATGTACACAACGTGAACTTCCCAAAATAAACACAACACACAATATACACAACGCGAACTAAATGCCTTCCCAAAACAAACACAACACACAATATACACAGCGTGAACTTCCCAAACCAAACACAACACACAATATACACAACGTGAACTTCCCAAAACAAACAACACACAATATACACAACGTGAACTTCCCAAAACTAACACAACACACAATATACACAACGTGAACTTTCCAAAACAAACACAACACACAATGTACACAACGTGAACTTCCCAAAACAAACACAACACACAATGTACACAACGTGAACTTCCCAAAACAAACACAACACACAATATACACAACGCGAACTAAATGCCTTCCCAAAACAAACACAACACACAATATACACAGCGTGAACTTCCCAAAACAAACACAACACACAATGTACACAACGTGAACTTCCCAAAACAAACACAACACACAATGTACACAACGTGAACTTCCCAAAACAAACACAACACACAATATACACAACGCGAACTAAATGCCTTCCCAAAACAAACACAACACACAATATACACAGCGTGAACTTCCCAAAACAAACACAACACACAATGTACACAACGTGAACTTCCCAAAACAAACACAACACACAATATACACAACGCGAACTAAATGCCTTCCCAAAACAAACACAACACACAATATACACAACGCGAACTAAATGCCTTCCCAAAACAAACACAACACACAATATACACAGCGTGAACTTCCCAAAACAAGCACAACACACAATGTACACAACGTGACACGACTAGCGGCGTGGGCATCTGATGTGTCGTGTGTCGTGGCCTCAGTATGCCGGGTGGGGTGGGTTGGTTGGGGGGCATTTGGGACTGACACTCCGTCTGTACTCGCTGGGGATGTCGCGATATGGCAGCAATGATTACGATTTACGTTTTTGCAAAATATCGTTGCGCATTCAATTTGTGTATGGGGCCGTCCATAAATGACGTCACGCACCTATGGGGGGGGGGGTTGCGAAATGTGACGTCACATAAAAATGCACAACTTTAAATAAATATAGACAACGCGTTCTACTTAATTAAATATACTTTTTAATAAATGTTTTCTACTGCAACATCAGAGTGCAGCGCCACATTAAATACGCACTACAATGACAATTGCTTAAAGCGATTTGAAGCATGATAATTGTTTTTTTACCCTTTTATCTGGAAACAAAACTGACACCTTTTTTATACAAGGAGTTATGTTTGCATAGACCACAATACCTGCGGTCATAATGCAAACTAAAAACATAACTCTGATAATGTATGCACTGTCCTTGAAGTTGATTGCTCCACACCCGAGACAGCTTTCCTTAGAGCCTAGTCTCACATGGGTTGGACCAGATGACGCCACAAGGCGCACAACTCAAAGACAATGCACCATCAGAGTATGAGAGCTGTCATCTGGTCCAACCAATGTGAGACTAGGCTCTAAGGAAAAATGCCAGTAAAAATCTCGCGGTTTAGAATTTTATTGTTGGAACGAATGCAGTTGAAAAAATGTCATTTTTTTATTTGTCATGCGTAGGGACAGATATGCAACGGAAGATTATTGTTGATTTTGTTACCGTGGTTAGTTTGTATAAAATTTTATTTATCTATAACTTGAATAAAACAACAACAAAAATCTAAAGACAGTCATCAAGTCGTATTTGTATAAGGGGTCGTCCATAAATGACGTCACGCGATTTTGGACGATTTTTTACCCCCCCCCCCCTCCTTCATCACACGGCGTCACAAAAAGTCAGACCCCCCCTCAAATATGACGTCACAAAGCTCTGCCCCCCCCTCCCCCCATATTGTCACTGTAGTGCGTATTTAATGTGGCGCTGCACTCTGATGTTGTAGGAGAATTGCGCATTTTGATGTGACGTCACATTTCTCAAATCCCCCCCCCCCCCATCGTCACAATTGTCTGGACGGCCCCTAAGCAAAAAAAACTCTGGCCTGGTCTTGACTTCTTGGTCTCATGAGCAGTCAGGCTTGATATTTATCTGGAAATCCAATCAGCTAATAGACTAAAGAAACCGTGAACACTATTTATATGTGGATAGAGAAAAGATTTCCACTCATATTTGCTTGTATTTTTTATATCAATAGATTAGCTTTGTCTGCATGTAACATTGGGTCATGACCCCTCGTAACTATGATAGAATACTGTGCATAAATACATTTTAGGTATAATTGTATTATCAGGGATTTACCCTCCAGAAAATATGATGAACATGCAGCCTCAAGAGCACGTTTGTATTACTAGTCGCTGCACCACAAATGATGAAACCGTATAATTTCCTTTCTATCAATTACATTACTCCGAAAAAGCAAGTTGCAAAGCATTCATTTTACAAATGACATCCACGTGAAGACGGTGTCACGGTGTCCGTGTGTGTGCAGCACGCTGCTCCGCCGGCGCGGGGGCCCCTACCGCACGGAGCCGGCGTCCGAGCTGTCGCGCTGGCGGCTGAGGAACGAGGACGGGAGGCAAACGTGGAGCTTCGTGGAGTGCGGGGACGGCGAGGGGCGGCCACAGAACGTAGTCGAGCGGCACGCCCTGGGTCTCGACACCGTGAGCGCCACTCGCCCCGTCACACGGAATGGACAATGGGGCACATTTCACTGCTTCACGAGAATGGGTGTAACGATACGTGGATTAATATTGATCATTAATGCTCACGGTGCACGTATCCAAACATGTGGGTAACAATAGATGTTTTTCACCTTGTGAAAATTGTATGCAGATGCTATGCTAATTTTGCACATTTTTACGTCAGCTAATGCGGTAAACTAAATTGTATAAACGAGACAAAAAAAACTATAAAAACCACCTCAAACATGACATAATGCAGAATTCTTGAAGCTAATCTTAGCCCTATATTATGGCAATTAAATGTAAGTGCATGAGTGCTTGATGCAACAACTTTTATGTAACACATTGAAAGACAAAGCAACAAACATGAATACGAGAGTGTATGGGAGGCATTCTTCTGTGTTGGCACATTTTCATGGCACGGGCCAGTATATTCAGAACCTAACCACTGTTGATTTTCCACACTCATGGTCCCCAGAAATGAAAAGCTGAATCGACCCCCCAAAGTTCCCAAACTCGAGTCACTGGACCTCACTCCAATTGGCTAGGAACCGCAGCAAGTGGACTGGGACCACAGTTTTGAAGTGCTGCATTGGAAGTTGATTTGTGAGTCATTTCTGGTGACAGGCGGAATTTGCCGGGAATCTTCCGCGAGCGGCAACGGCACGGGAGGCGGCGCGCAATGGCATGGCCTTCTACAAACTCTTGCAGACCGAGGATGGACACTGGTCTGGAGACTACGGGGGGCCTCTCTTTTTGCTGCCAGGTGCCCTCAAAAAGTCAGAGACAAAGTGTTACCATGATGAAATAATATTCTTGGTTCTTTCGGTAAACTCACGTAGAAGGGAAATAATAAAATAATATAAATATTTAACAATAAAAATTCTCACGACGTTTCGACTGCAACACAAGCAATCATCATCTGGTGTGAAATCCACACCTGATGATGAAATCCACACCTGGCTGTGGATTTCACACCTGATGATGATTGCTTGTGTTGCAGTCGAAACGTCGTGAGAATTTTTATTGTTTTATATTTATACTAGCAGAAGTACCCGGCGTTGCCCGGGTGAAAAATATATTTCTTAATAACCTTACATATATACACAGATGGGCTGCTACCCCTAATATGTACGGCCTATAGTGTGGTGGGGTGTCGAGGCCTAGTACCGTGCAGAGCCTCCGGCCTCGCCTAAATTGCCCACCCGGCTGAGGCTGGGTACCGGGGCCGTTACCCCCCCCCCCCCCCGCGCTACAATAATACTGTCTAATCGCTATAATTTTATTATCTACCGACCCTATAATAGTAATTGCACACATTGGGGTGGGGGGGAGTGAAGAGGACGTGAAACTTTGATGAATTTACCTCAGAGTCGCGTGTTAATGCGTGCGCATATTTTTAACGGGAATTAAAAATGGCGTCCACCCCGCAGCGAATGCGTCGCTACCCGTTGCCAGGGGCAACCGCCGTGGAAAACCAAACGGACCAATCGCGTCTCGCAAATCCCTCACATTTCGTCCAATGAAACTGCGTATGGTCCGGCGACACACAGACAGACAGACAGACAGATTTGCGATTTTATATATATAGATTATTTTATTATTTCCCTTCTATGTGACTTTACTGAAAGAACCAAGAATATGAATACCTGCAGTCACAAAGCTTTAAATCAAAATGATGAAATAATGCTGATATCTACTGGCGACTTAAAGCCATCAATGGAAATTCCCCATACCTGAACAATGGCAGGAGCCGTCGTCTGCTTTGGTAATGTGGCAATTACACCACGCAGGCTCAGGCCTGCCCACTCCGATTAGAGCTGCCTCATTGTACATTTTGAAAGAGACACGCTTTGACTTTTGATAATTATATAAGTATTTACTTTTCAGCAAACTGCGCTAAATCACCCATTAATCCACTATGGACAGGTTATCGATATCCACGAAAAATCTATTTGAAAAAAATGAGTGGCTGTATTTTCATGGATTCTAATAGATATTCAAGATATTAAGCAGTTTGCAACTTGAGACAGATGGATGTCTTTCACTTTCATTTACGCTCATTATCGGCATATACCCAGCTAAAGACTTCCGACAACAGCCCAGAGAGATATATGAGTCCTATAATGGGTCAAAGCAGGTTAGAGTGGTTTTGGAAATTGATATTGACAATGAAAAGCAGCATACCAATTTTCTTTAACAATAAAATCTTTGATCAGTGTATATTTATCTGCTATGGCATGCATTAGAAACATGGACACTGGCAAAAAAATGGAACAGATGCTGAAATATGTTCAATGAAGTATTAGGGGGTACATGTTTGGAATTTCACTTGGAGAATGTGCATGTTTGGAATTCCACTGAGAGACAGAAGCAACATGGATCAGAGAACAAACAGGTTTTGAGATCTGATATTGACTGAAAACTAAGCTGACTTTGGCAGAACATGTAGACAGAAGAGATGATGGTCAGTGGTTGAAAATAAGAATGGAGAGTGGCAGCCAAAAATGAAGTCATCCAAGAGGACTTCCTATGCAGAGAGAGAACATTGAGATCAGCTGGTTTTCAGGAGCTAGGTGGATCGTTTCATCGTGTAACAATGAGGGATGGACATAGCTTGGACAGGCATTCATGTAGCAGTGGATAGGTCATGGCTGATGTGTTATTGGTGATAAGGACTGGTGCACTGAGCTGCTACTCATATTGATGTGGTTTCCATGTGCCAGGACTGCTCATCACTTGCCACATTGCTCACATCCGCCTGGCCGAGATGCAGAAGCGGGAAATGGTGCGGTACCTGCGCTCAGTTCAGCTACCTGACGGAGGCTGGGGCTTGTGAGTGCACAAATCGACAGACACAGCCCACAACAGGGCTGACTTCACGCAACACAACACAACAGGGCTGTCTTCACACGGTAAAATATTTTGTAATAAGGAGATAATCACATACATTACATTTATCGTGTACATAAAGAAATCGGCACCATTTATTTTGTAAAGTGTTCTTTAGTTATTTTTCCCAATTTTTTGGTAAGACGGGGGTGGTCAAGCATGGTGCTGACCACACTACTGTATCACGTGCCGTACCGGCTTTAGTAGGTGCTCGGTAACAACAAAGACAAAGCTAGACGCGGCATCTGTGTGTGTATATGCAGGCACGTAGAGGACAAGTCCACAGTGTTTGGCACTGCGCTTAATTACGTGGCCATGCGGATCCTTGGCGTGGACTCTGACGACGCAGACCTGGTGCGGGCCCGTGCGAACCTGCACGCCAAAGGTATGCCTCTCCAGCAAGGCGCACGCGTGCGCTGTGCAACGCAGACAACCACTGCTTTTCCTGTTTTGTATAGCCTAGCAGTGCCCACAGTGTTCATTGACAAGTATATCATCTTCTATCCAGTCACCCATCACCCTCTTACATTTAACACATTCCTGCGGAGGGAGCTGGTAGGAACGTTGGGTTGCTCGGTCAATAGCCAGGGTCAACGGCGGCGTGGTGTATTCCGCAAATATGCCCGACTGTGAGGGCGGGCACAAGCCGGCGTGAGAAGGTTAAACGTTGAGTTTTATAAGGGCACCACGGGGTGACCAGCCCCTCCCCTCCCCACCCAGCCCCACCCTCCCACCCCCCACCCAGCCCCACCCTCCCCACCCAGCCCCTCCCCACCCTGCCCCTCCCCACCCTCCCCTCCCCACCCAGCCCCTCCCCACCCAGCCCCTCCCTATACGACGGATGGACGGACACAATAATCCCCTGTGGGCTGGTGTAACCAGGAGGTTCCTACCAGTATAAAGTGCATAGCCTGAATTTTCTCCGAGCAATACAGTTCCCACCCATAGGCAATAAATATCCAGAGAATATAGGACCTCAAAATATTCTGGAGACTGGGTAAACAATACATAAATATATAATTGTCGGTCCTATGGAGCGTATGTGAGTCTCTCTTTGTCTTGTGCGGTGGAACAGGCGGTGCTATTGGAATTCCATCGTGGGGCAAGTTTTGGCTCGCTGTGCTCAATGTGTACAGCTGGGACGGCATGAACACCCTCTTCCCAGAGATGTGGTGCGTTACACACCACCCGATCCTCTCTCCACTGCTTACCATGGGAATACGCTGCACTGCAGTGAATGACGTGATCACACACACATACACACCCGTTCCCCATGCTCACGTGTATGCTGCACCACGCTGTCGGCTTCAGGCTGCTGCCGCGGTGGTTTCCCGCGCACCCGTCCTCGCTGTGGTGCCACTGCCGCCAGGTCTACCTGCCCATGAGCTACTGCTACGCCGTGCGGCTCTCGGCCTCCGAGGACGACTCCCTCGTCCGTAGTTTGCGACAGGTTCGTGCGCGCGCGTACGCACACTCCGACATCTTCACAAGAGATATAAGCCAGCGTGCCCACTCATTCAGGCAAGATTGAGGTAGTGCTTGCTCATCTCCATTGACGGCCCTCAGCCAGAAGCAGGGACCTGACTCTCCAAACGACCATCGCTTTTGACTTCATGTGAATCTGTACTCGTTATATTGACACCAAAAGGGGGAGCCGACCCTTGACCGGAATTGGAGCTTGCAATTTTCCCATTTTGAGAAGAGAGCAGCTTATAGAAAATGGGATATTTGTATGCCTTTGACAAGAAAGGAACATAGTGGCAATTTGGCTCTTGAAATTCGAGTTATGCCTCTTTGTCAATTCATTGTTGAATGAAGGTCTCCCCTCCACTACCGTGTAGGTTTTTGAGATTTTTTTAGGTCAAAGGTCGGCAACCAAAATAGCAAGAAGAGCCATTTTATCGAATTCGGTCAAAAAAAATCAACATTTTAAGAGCCGTAATGCATGTAAACAAGACGGTCCTTAATAAATAACGTCGAGAAACAGTCCTTAAAGAGCCGCATGCGGCTCCGTAGCCACAGGTTGCTGACCCCTGATTGAGCTGTTCTTTTACCTGGCTGCTCCTTACAAGTTGATAAAGAGGTCGGCCCAGGACCAGTTCAGATATCACCTGCCACTGATGTTAGCCAAAATATTACCCTTCATAGTTGGACGAGAGTCAACGCTCGCATGAGCGATGGGCAGCGCTCGCCTCCATTGACACCCTCAACGCCTGTAGAAGAAATTCCACATTCCTATGGCGGTGGCCAATCTGTCCGTAGGCCAATGACAGAAGTGATGTGGTGACATCTCATTTGCGGTCAATTCAGCTCATCATCTTCTTGGTTCTTTCAGTAAAGTCACATAGAAGGGAAGTAATAAAATAATAAAAAAATAAAACATAATAAAATAATAAAAAAGAGAATTATTATATTATTTTATTATGTTTTATTTGTATTATTTTATTACTTCCCTTCTACGTGACTTTACCGAAAGAACCAAGAAGATGAATCCCTGCAGTCACGAAAGCTTTAAATCAGCTCATCACTTGAGGGTTGACGAAGTACCGCAATTGTGCTTAGCTGGTGGTTGTCCTTATCATTTGAAGATATAATTTCAAACACGAGCTCAGGCACTCCATCGGTGATGAGAAATCTCCAGATTCTTATTTGAGTAATGGAGCACAATTTGAATTTGTTTTACTGCCATGTAACGGAGCAACGCGCATTGCCAAATGCCAGAATGTTACGCGTTCTTACCGTGTGAATGTTTGTTGTAGGAATTATATGTGCAAGACTATGCGACGATAGACTGGCCTGCTCAGCGGAATAATGTGGCACCGTGTGATCTGTACACGCCGCACAGCTGGCTGCTTGACTTTGCATATGGTATGTGGTACACTTCCTACACATTGTAGAAAGCAATACATTTTACTGGTAGGAACCACCTGGTTCCACCAGCCCACAGGGGAATATTGTGTCCGTCCGTCTGTCGTGCATCCAAAAATGGGAGGGGCTAGGTGGAGAGGGGAGGGTGGGGAGGGGCTGGGTGGGGAGGGTGAGGCTGGGTGGGGAGGGAGGGAAGGGTGGGGAGGGTGGGGCTGGGTTGGGGGTGGGGCTGGGTGGGGAGGGGCTGGTCACCCCGTGGTGCCCTTATAAAACTCAACGTTTAACCTACTCACGCCGGCTTGTGCCCGCCCTCACAGTCGGCCATATTTGCGGAATACACCACGCCGCCGTTGACCCTGGCCATTGACCGAGCAACCCAACGTTCCTACCAGCTCCCTCCGCAGGAATGTGTTGTACAACACAAACAACGTATATTATAAAAGTTGAAATATATTATCGTTAGAACAAGAAGAAGGGTACATTTATTGATGCATTAAAATGTGTTGATCTTAGGGACTCAACATTATCGTCATCAGCCATGGTAATTCCACTGCTGGATTAAGTCTTCCCCAAGAAAACTCAGGCTCACTCTTCTCACGATGTTGCTCACACCTTTGTTTATCCCAATATTAATTTTGAACCTAGGCAAAGGAATGTGAAATTTCCACCAGCTGGTCATAGAGATGTAAATATGCAACCTCCCAGCGATTAATTGACTTGATTGTAATTGAATTCTCACGTGTTCCAACCATTTAATTTGTTCTGTCTTCTTTTTGTTATGTCAATATCCCAGTAGTTGGAGTAGTGTGATATTGTCTTGGCTATCGAAAAATTACATTTCAATGATGTTGCGCATATCTGTTGCCTTTGACGTAAGGAAGTATGGGGCTATCCATTTAGTCCGTATGGAAACATCTGTCAAAACTTGACCCCTCCCTGTACGCACGCGTACTTTTTACCCTCCCCCCCCCCACCTGCGTACATACGCTTGACGCACCCCCCCCCCCCCCCGAAACCTATAGAACGACCGATATTGAATCCACGCAGAAACGATCAAGGATTAATAATATTAACGTGTTTAAGCAAACAGATAGTCCACCGCCAGACTATCTAACTCATTTGAAGGCCAATGTAGACAAATTATTATCGAGGCTTCATCCCCCCCCCCCCATTTCCTATGCGTACGTACATTGTCAGTAGACCCCCCCATACGCAAGCGTGCACATTTGGGTTAACCCCCCCTCCCCTCCATGCGTACGTACTAAATGGATGGCCCCTATTGGTTATGCTGCTCATGCCTACCACCCCCCGCCCTACCCCCACAGGGTTTCTGAATGTGTATGAGCGGCTGCATGTGACGAAGCTGCGCAAGATTGCCATGGAGGAGCTATACGACCATATTTGTGCTGACGACCGCTTCACAAAGTCCATCAGCGTTGGCCCTGTGAGCTTTTGCATGTGGAGCTGTACCCACAGACAGATTAGATTCCATAAATGTAAGGCATTTATATGAGAAAATAATATAAAAACATGTTCATGTACTTACCAACAAGCATTTAGTGGATCTCCTCTCCAGTGGGAGCCTTCATCCAGTGGTGGGAAATCTACATTCCTATCGCAGATGCTGGTAACTCAAAAAGTACAATGACTGTTTGTGTCCCACAAGATGGTATGCATCTCAATTCTGGAGGAGTCATGGGCTGAGTCAACCCTCCACCAGGATTTGATCTCATGCCTCATCACCACTCGGCTGAATATCTGCGTGACTTATAAGGACGTTACACGATAGTGCTCTTTATTATTCAGTAACGCGTCGATACTTTTTCAGGATATTTCACCAATCTCGTGAGTATTTTTTGCAGTTTAGAGGAAACGCGAGTATCTGGAGAAATGTTTTCCAAACGAGAGGATAGGACTCACAGTTATTAGCCTTGGAGCACTTGGTATGTTTTTCCCTAAACTAATATTAACATCTTCCGAGATACATGAACACATACAAGTAGTAACATGGTGGAGCAGTGGCATATTGCTTAGCGCACTGCGCTTTGAATCCGGCAACATCAGTTTAATTCATGGCCTTGGCGAACGTCACTTGTGAGTGTCGTCTCTAAGTGCAACAGCATCGGAATGTGGATCACACCTGGTTTAATTGTGTCAGGAGACCTCCAGTTATTAGGTTGAGAAGGGGCTATAAGCTGACATTGGAGGGAGTCTTTTTTAGAAACTGTTCGCAGATTTTTGAGTGCCACCTCATACACAGATTTTCACTGAGTATCCTGATTTCCTTTGGTGTTCGCAGCACTTCTTAAAAATAAATTGGCCAAAATCCCAATGAAGGACCCTCCTGAAAAAGTCTTATGACTCAATTAGGTTTTCCTGGTAAATAACTATAAATCAACAATAATGATTTGGACCTATGATGTTAGTCTTCTATGATGTATTCTCTTTTAAGTCATTGTTTATGATGACAGCAGTGGGAAACAGTAGTTTAGTTATCTAATGTGCTATTGCTGTGAGCTCCTTTGCTGGGTCTGTGATCATTCTGCTTATACCACATTGCGGGCAGATCTCCAAAACCATCAACATGTTGGTGCGGTGGCATGTGGACGGGCCCACCTCTTCTGCTTTCCTGGAGCACGTGGAGCGGATCCCTGACTACCTCTGGTGAGGGACAATGAGAGCAAGAGTGACTCCGATTGAGTTTGTAAATGTTGTGGAGGGGAGAAAAGCTTGACACTGTGAGAGGGATGACACTTTGAAAAGCAACATGAACTGGCAGTGAAGAGTTCACACTGTCACCGCATCCTTCCTGCTGATCCCAAAATTATTTCAAAGTTGGCACCCAACCTCCAAGGTCCACTCTTACATTCTCTCTTCCCCTGGTCATCGATCACTGCGTGCCACTCCACTGCTCGCCTGGATAACCTGTGCTCCATCCTGCACACGTGCAGCATGCATCACAACCTCCTTGTCTAATTAATTATACAATTGCTCTCCTGCTACATACTCCCAACTGTGAAGCTCCTTTATCCTGCCATGAATGATGAAATCTAAAATGTAGATGGAATAAGACCATGGGGATTTTGTTTTATATGAGCCAGCACCTGGAACATTTCAAAACTGGATGTTGTGTCCTTTATTCAGGAAAGCCTCAATGAGTCTGAAGACGGTTTCAGGATGGGACTGAAGTGGGATATTTGGCCATTTCCATACTGGGTTTTCTGTGAGAAGAAATTAGGGTACTTGGACAAAATCCATTCATACAAGGAGACAGTACTGCATTGCGATGAGACTGGAAACATTTGTCCATCTCACAACCTAACATGTTGGGAGTATCACCGCACGTGGTTATATGTCCGTGATTCACAAACCCCACCTCCAGCGTTAGATCTCTACCATGCCATGTGTGGTGACACTGGTCCTGTAGATTTGATTGTGAAGTCACTGGCTCAAGTTTTGGCCGTGAAGTCTTGGCTCTGCTGTGATTTGCTATGTAATTTGCCATGAACTGTTTGCCTTGCTGTGTGTCGTGTACAGGATTGGGCTGGATGGAATGAAGATGCAGGTATTTCAACTCGGAGCAAGCCTCTCTCTTTAACTTAAACCCTTTGACTACATTACAGCTGTTTGAGATATGTTCTCACTTTTGCAAGATAGATTAGGATAATTATTAAATAGGGGTTGTGTTGAGTCGATAGTGGTTGGCCTATATAAATACTGATCTCACCCACAATAAGGTGGAATTTCCACCATTGGTTTGGTAAAGCTATTAGCGATGAGCAACTCCGAATGCACATTTTATCACAGAGACAATATTGCATTTTACTCTTACTCAAAAATAATATGCAGATTTTTTTTTTTGGGGTTGGTGTAGAGGGGGGGGGGGGGAGTGGAGGTGCAGTAGTTATTGCACTGCACTATGGACATGTGGCAGTCTGAGTTCAGTTCCTGGCCACAGCTAACATTGGTTCAAATTATATCTAAACCAGTTCTGGGTTCCTCCTGCACCATCCAGCACTAATCTGCGTGTTAAGGTATGTCACGGCATGGATTTGCCGTTGTCCATGATTGTATTAACAAAGGGCTGTACATTATGAATGCTGTTACATAGTTTAACCGACCTGCGATATGTACTGTGTATTTAACATAGACAGTACACTGTGTGCACTGGTGTGTGAGGTTTTAATTTGCCTTAGATAAATTCTATGAGAAATTATGAGATGACCCTTTTGTTGTCGCTCTTTTCTCGCTAGGGAACGAATGGGTCCCAACTCTGGGACACAACTTTTGCAGTGCAAGCTTTCCTAGAGGTGAGCCATTAGTCAACAGCGCACCACTTCACACGAGCCTTCCACACACTGCCTACAGTTCTGAAACGTGCACAACACTGAAGGAAATTTCCACTTCCACACAATTACACTGACCATGCCTGTGAAGTAAAAGAGGCACTGTGCACTGATGTGTGCATGTGGATATGGGGAACAGTGGAGTATAGTCATTAGCACTGGGCTCTAAAGGTTTCATTTTTGGCCACGACGCCATACAGCAGTGGCCACCGGTATATGAACCTGTCACACCTGTGGTGGACAAGTCGGCATACAATGAGTCCCCGCTGGTATGGTGCGTTAGCATTTGCAAAATACTAATTTGCACTGAGAGATAACAGTAACTGGGCATGTATGGTCCTGCCCACACTAACCGCCATGTATAGTGTCGGCCTTCATTAGTGCTCTAATATCATTTGACCAAGCAGTTTATTGAGTAAATGGAGATATTTGTGTGGTCGTGCAGCGGTTAGCACACCACAATTGGAATCTAGCAATCCGGGTTCGATTCCTGCTTACGGCCAACAATGGTGATGAGTGATTATCTGAACTTTTCCTGGACCTTGCCTAGGTCAGCTTAAATGAGTACCTGGTGCAGTGTGTAAACATCAGCATTGGGGAGACGAAGGTGACCGGCGTGGTGCTGGCCACAAGCACCTCCAATTAGGAAGGTTGGCTACGTACGGTGCTAAAGAAGTTCAACATACGTACATACATACATACGACCTTCTTGTGTGCCGTGCTGGTCTACATTTGTGTTCGCTAACAGCCAGCACTTGCCCCAAGAGTATGTTAAGGCTATGTGTGGGATCTTTGTCTTTGTTGTAGGCGGAAGCTCAAGACATCCCAGAGCTTGAAGAGTGCCTTCGTCACGCACACGCGTTTTTGGAGCTCACCCAGGTGAGTGCTCTGGGCTGGTAGGGTCTTAGAGGGGAACCACATTTATCTGAGGTGAGATGCCAGATGCCCAGATATTCTCAGTAGTAAAACAATAGATAAGTGCTTAGAGAAATTGTACCAAACTTGAGGAATTAGGAGGTTGTGTGGTTAATAAAGATACGTATTTCGTTTTCCTTGATACGTATTTCGTTTTAGTTGCATTAAAAAGAGTACTAACAATGAGTAGTGAAATTAAATTAGGTATTCTAGTCCTTAATAATGGCTCAATAGGTGAAGCAGCCTTTACATTCACCAGAATCCACACAGCATACCTCAATAGCTGGACTCTTGCAAAACTCCACTGGAAGGGTGCAAGTTCCGTGGGAGCAGCCAACATATATGGAAACTGCACAGAAGCACTCAAAGTGAGCAGAAACTCTGAAGAGCCACTCGTAATCAGGAACCACACAGAGCCACTCAAATTAAGCAGGAGCCAAGCAGAGAAAGTGTTTTTCCTTCTGAGTTGTTTGCTGGTCAGCTTCTAAAACATTTGTATTTGGAAAGTAATTGTGAGTGTGTGCTGGCAGATCCCTGAAAACCCTCCGGATTATCAGAAGTACTACAGGCAGATGAACAAGGCAAGTTTGTGCACACGTCATTGTTTACTTTGTGTATATCCACTGATTTACACAGGCAGGCATCGAGTACCTTCCACGATCAAATGTCATGGAATGGCATTTGGACGGCCAAAGAGTGATTCGAATTGATCAGAAAATTATGATGATGACAATGTTGATATACTGAGTGAAATCTGGACCGGGATTTGAAGTTAATTGTGAGAGGAGCACTCGATCCACAATGTAAATTGGCCACATGAACAAGATCTTGACTTAAAGCTTTCGTGACTGTAGGAATTCATATTCTTGGGTCTTTCGGTAAAGTCACGTAAATAGGTTCAAAGAAAATAACAAAACATAAAAGAAACTACGACGTTTCGATCGCAACACAAGCGGTCATCTTCAGGAAAAGGGGGTTAGTTTCCAAGGCAAACTATTTATAAGGGTTTGAAATGGGCCATGAATGATGAGATCAAAAATGTAGGTGGAATAAGACCATGGGGATTTTGTTTTATATGAGCCAGCACCTGGAACATTTCAAAACTGGATGTTTTTGGCATGTTCTCCCCGTGGTTACTTGGATTTTTCTCCGGGTACTCTGGTTTTCCCCTCCACGTTTAGAAACGTGCATTTAGAGTATTTGGCTGCTATACATTTCCACATAAGTCACTTCGTTGAGCTATCATTCGTTGCCAGGTCACTTCTGAAAAAGAGCTACATAGCTCATTGGGCTTCATATGGTTAAAATAAAAAGTTTATAGTTTAGTATAGTGTGCAAAAACGTGTCTATATGGATGACCTGTGTGTGTGTTGTGCAGGGTGGATTTCCGTTCAGTACACGGGACTGTGGCTGGATCGTTGCAGACTGCACAGCGGAGGGGCTCAAGTCTGTGATGCTGCTGCAGGAAGCTCGCCCTGGTCTGGTGCAGAACCCCCTGCCTGCATCACGCCTGTTTGATGCGGTCAATGTGGTATGTAACTAGACAACCACTACACAGCTTAAACTGCAGGTTGAACTAGCTGCTAAAGTACAGTTTTCATGCATGACAACTGCTCTGGATGTGGGCGGTTAATTGGTCAGGGTGGATACATGACAGATATGGGACATTGTACCGTACCACAATCATGCAACGATGCCTCAACCATTCTTAATTTCAGAGAGCGTGATGGTTATACTGGTAGGAACCTCCTGGTTACACCAGCCCACAGGGGATTATTGTGTCTGTCCGTCCGTCGTGCAGGGATGGGCTGGGTGGGGAGGGAGGGGCTGGGTGGGGAGGGGAGGGTGGGGAGGGGCTGGGTGGGGAGGGTGGGGCTGCGTGGGGACGGTGTGGAGGGGCTGGGTGGGGAGGGTGGGGAGGGACTGGGTGGGGCTGGGTGGGGAGGGACTGGTCACCCCGTGGTGCCCTTATAAAACTCAACGTTTAACCTACTCACACCGGCTTGTGTCCGCCCTCACAGTCGGGCATATTTGCGGAATACACCACGCCGCCGTTGACCCTGGCCATTGACCGAGCAACCCAACGTTCCTACCAGCTCCCTCCGCAGGAATGTGTTTCATGATGACATTAGAAGATATTTTTCAAATATTGTCTCAGCAGGGAATCTGTGTTTGTGCGTGTATGTATGCAGCTTTTGAGCATGCGTAATGCAGACGGGGGATTTGCTACTTACGAGACCAAGCGTGGTGGACGGCTGCTCGAGCTGATAAACCCCTCGGAGGTGTTTGGTGAGTTTGTTACACATCCTTCACCGTTCTCACTCATATTTGACTGACACTGACCTAATTGCTGCTCTTGCTCAATCACAGCAGCCTGAGCATGATATTGTTGTACTTGAAGCATGCAATTCATATTAGTATGTTTGGAAGTTAACATATTTTGGTTTGCTGTTTCTCAGTACTCTTGTTAGAGGAACACGGCCTGATACGTTACCCTGCTATTTATAACTCCTTAGGGAGTGCCGATGACTACGGTGGGTTTTCCAGTCTGCAATGTTGCCTGATGATGATGATGATAATGCGCGTGCGCATGCAGGAGACATCATGATCGACTACACATATGTGGAGTGCACGTCAGCGGTGATGCAGGCACTGCGCCACTTCCAGGAGGCGTTCCCCGACCATCGGCACCACGAGATCCAGTGAGGAGTCATGCAGCAACACCTTCACACACGCTCGCACAACGCCCAGCGTGTAAAGCTGCCATCGGCCAGGCATCACGGCACATGGCTGTGAGCCAGAGGCCTGGAAGAGGCTGTGTAGATCATGCAGGGGGCGGTATCAACTCCTGATAAACTATGTTGATGAATAAACTTGTCCCATTAATTTGCATATTTGTTCTGGCTCTGGTTTAGTAGTCCCTTAAATTCATTGACCAAATGACGGGGGGGGAGAATATCTAAGTAAGAATGTGCTAGAGGCCTGGCGGGGATGGACATCAGTGACGTCGTCTCCTGGGCAAACCCTATTTGGTGGAGTCAGGGAAGTAAAATCCCCACCTCGGGGCGCTCCAAAAACAGCAGGCAATAGCTACAGCTGACCATGTGGAATGTCCAAGTGCTCGCTCGGGACAGGGGCTGCCATTCCTCCGTCAGAAGTTCCACCAGTGGGATACAGGACTGGATCAGGCTCCTGTCTTGGCAAACCGTAGGGAGTCCTCTACTCAGGGCAAGATGTTAAACAACCACTAACAGGGAATGGCTACTTCTTCCATAACTCCTCTGCATATATGGCAAGACTGTTGTGGTGTCTTCGGTTCAAATATTATTTAAAGCCCTTTGTCAATCTATGCTGAAGGTCTCCCAATACTCTGTGGGTCATCAGGGTTGTTTGAGCAGACTTCACCACGCTGGTCACTGGGGGTTGGTGAATGAGGTTGCCCAGGACCAGCACAGATAACACTCACCAATGATGTTAGCCGTGGCTGGGAACAGAACTGGGGTCACCTTGAGCTGCGAAGGTTTAATATCAGAACACGTAAAGAAGATAAAATGCATGGTAATGTCTTGTGAAGACAATAAGTGCTGAATAGTCAGTGTGCTTTGTCACCGAGTTGTTTTTGCGCAGGGATACCCTGGAAAAGGGGCTGGAGTTCTGCAGGAATGTGCAACGGCGTGACGGCTCCTGGGAGGGGTAGGTGCCTTGCCTTGTGTCCCTATTCACATGCAGTAATTCACCATGGAGATGAAACACACACGTGATTATTCAAGGTTACGTCACGCTTACAGTGCATGTATAAGAGCTTTTCTTTTGTGGGGACCATCACATCCAGTAAGGGTGTTGATCCCAATAGGATTTACATTCATTTACATGTCCATTCCCATAGGAGCTGGGCTGTATGCTTCACATATGGAACATGGTTTGGACTGGAAGCATTTGCTTGCATGGGTCATCGGTACCACGATGGGTGAGTCTAATTCACACAAAGCCAAAACAAAGTGATGCCTACAACCCATGTATGTACATCTAGCACATAATGGATGCAATGAATAAGATACCTGAAATTGATCGTATTATGGCACCAATATATATGCTCCATCCATGTGTCTGTCGGTTTGTCTGCCTTTAGCAGTACATGATAACGGATACAAATGATAAGACTGAATGAAATTGAAGTGTAAATTTCTGTTAAGAACCTGCGCTATAGAAAATGGGGGAAATGTATTGATGAATTTCCCCCACGGCGATGACATCCATGCGCACACTTTGCTGCGATCACTTGATTGCACGTGTTGTCATCTCACCACCGTCTCATTCTGTGTGACATCGTCTCGTTATATGGCCTGAAAGCCAACGTTATTCTTAATCGTAATTAAGTTGTAATAGTTTCAAGGTAAAAATCTTGTCTACCTCTCTGTGCCCCCCCCCCCCCCCATCCTGTGCAGGGGTGCATGTGCGGAGGTGAGCTGCGCCTGCACATTCCTGGTGTCAAGACAGATGTCTGACGGAGGCTGGGGTGAAGACTTTGAGTCATGTGAACGCAGAGTCTATGTGCAGAGTGAACGCTCACAAATCCACTGCACAGCCTGGGCCCTGCTGGGACTCATGGCAGCCAGGTGGGATCACTCACTCGGAGTAGTAGCCGTGCTTTATCTCTCCCGCTTAGGTAAAGGTTGTGTTGAGCGCAAAGGTAGCTTTATTATTTTACATGGACTTTAATGCCACAAGTTTGTTATTTTTGCTATACATTTTGAAAATGCTAAGAATATACGGGTCACTGAAGATTTGAATCTTCTGAACGTCTTTACTGGCTGGGTATGCTCATGTATAATGTGCTTTGCTGTGCTCTGTGGATGATGGTGTGTCTGTTAGGTACCCCCACACAAACGTGATTGAGAAAGGCATCCGTGTGCTGATAGAAAAGCAGCTGCCAAATGGAGATTGGCCCCAGGTAATTGCGATGGTTATTTTTCCTGGGTGAGGAATAAAATATCAGTTCTGTCAGTGAGGGATGTTACCTGGATGTTTATATAAAATATTTATTGACGAACTTACCAAATAAACCAATGCATTCTCCTAGATAAAAGACTGTGGGTGACGGAGTGGCTTTCAAATGCATTGGATGTGAAGGCGGTATATTGTATTTAATCACGGAACCTTGCTGCATGGTGTTTGACTTTACATGGACTGTTACGTCTTGTTTCAGGAGAACATCGCGGGCGTGTTTAACAAGACGTGCGCCATCAGCTACACCAGCTACAGGAACGTGTTCCCTGTGTGGGCACTGGGGCGCTTTGCTCGGCTCTACCCATCCAGTGTGCTGGCTGGCAAGGTCAAAGTGTGACCTTCCCGATAGCCAGACGGGCGCTTCATAACTGAAGGATCTTCTGTCATATTCATTGGGAAATGTGCTGCTGCATTTATAAAGTGGTTACGAAATGTTAAATAAGCTATTAGTTGTGATAAATAGTTTTCCTTTGTCAGAAAAAAATTATTCATTATCAAGATATTTTCATAGGTCTACTGTGAACACACCCAGTCAAAAGCTCTCCAAGCTCAAACAAGTTTTGGGTCGTGACTATCTTGGTAGATTTGAGTCAGGAGTGATTTATATCTGTACTATGACCAATATCCTGCAGTGGAGCAGTGAGTAGCCACCGAGAGCTTAGGTAAAGCCCTCCGAACGGGCTTTACCTAAGCCCTATGAAAGGGAAGTTTCAGATAAAACTCAATACAGTATTCACAATTACACTGTGGTGCTGGTTAAGTGGTTGCAATTGGTTCCATTCTACCTTGATGGAATGCCAGCCAATAGAGAATCACAAAGTTTGCAATTTTTCTCGAGTTGTTTTGTCTCCACGATTGAACCTCATTCCATAATCTCTTAGTCCACAATGTAGAATAAGGTGTGGAGGGCAGGGATAGGCATAGGAGACAGGTGGCTCAGATTAAGAGTGCTTGGCTCTTTTCAAACCTATTTACCAGCTTGCATTCGTAGCACGTGGTAGACTGACACAATCAGTAAAATTGTTCCCCTGTGCATCTGCTATTGGCATCCATGTGCTCTTATTTTTGGACATTCATTTAATCTGTTAAACTTTTGTTACGTCAGCCGCCAAAGATATTATTTCAACCCGCCAAAATAATTGTACTCTGCCGACCTTTGATTATAGGACATAAACAGGGCAGGGCCACAGAATTGTGAAATTTCACAGTATCTTACACATGCGGCAAGGGAATTTCCACTATTCAGGTGGCACATGTAAATTCTGGAACATTATTGTGCCCGTTTCATCCGTGGGAGAATCTGCCCAAGTGCATTTGTGGATAGCAACATTTGAACGACTTATCAGAAAGTGTTTTCTTAATTACATAGTGTAATAATTGTTAATTATTAGGGTGTAAAAGTCAATGTTTTGTCCCTCTTAATATAGAAATTACTTTCCACACTTTTTCAACAAAAAGTATATACACTAAGTTTGATAATTCTGTTTTAGAGAATGGTGTAAAAAATAACATTTTCATGTATTAAAATAAAACGTGATTATTAGTTGTGAGGTGTGAAATTGTCATGGAGAATATACTCTTACAAAATCAATCAGCAGACAATAGATCTCCATCACCCATCTGTCCTCCCACATAATAAACAAAGCATGCTTTACGGCTCTGCGAAGGTTGCATTTCAGCAGCAGTTGCCAAACATCGAGATAATTTTAGTCCTATGGATGCATGAAAACTACAGAGAGGAGTCTAAATGGTCTATAAAAGTCATTCTAGATTTGAAGCTTTCGTGACTGCAGAAGAAAGAACCAAAGAGTATAAAAGTCATGTTTGAGAACATGAAGGTAAGCACACGGGCAGCTTAATGAAATTCTTGTCATAGCGCTGAACTTATCAGCTCAATATTTATTCAGTTCATCACATATCAAAATATAATATGGTACTCCTTTATCCAAACAAGTGAAGGCTCTTCATCAATGCGTGAGCAAGAAATCGCAGAGCTGCACATTTATATTATATCCTTACCTGAGCTCTGACCCTCTTGGCCAACCCTCACTGACCAGTGTCGTACGGTCCGGTAACTACCATAACCGAAACGGTGTGGGGGAGGCCTTCGTCCAAAGGTGATTATGAATGCAGAATTACCAGCACTTGTCAATGTGATGACAGCAACACATGACTTGTGTGCGATTGAACACGTCTGCACAGCTTCACAAGCAGCACACACAGGTGGACAGCAGCAGTGAAGTGATACTCTGCTCATTTAAATGGCCACAGCATAGTGTGGGCACAGCAAACGCCAGCCATTCCACAACTGTGATAGGATGGCACAGTGAAATCTCCTACTGTTATAGCACAATATTCAAATTTGACTGTTTTTGGGCACCATATTTTAAATCCACAGGTTTGACAATTGTATGCTTTCGCTCTTTCTTTGCACTGAAGGAAGGCCACTCCTTGAAGTGTTAGCTTAGATTCTTTTCAGTGATTTTCATCCTATGCTATACCACTGTCCACAATCCATGGTGTTTAATGGATGTGGATTTGAGTAACACTTTTATAACTTACTAGCTTTACTACCCGGCTTCGCCCGGGACTTGGATTCACCACGCCCGGCCGCATTTGTTTCCCCAGTGGCAATGTTCACACCACACCAGTTACTCGTTTGAGGCTGAGTCGACCTAGGGGAGGCCTAGGACCGGTTAAAAAAATCGTCACCGGCGGTGGCCGTGAGCGGGAATCGAACTCGGATCGCCAGGTTCGTAGCGCAGCGCCTTAACCACTACACTACCGCTCCCCCCACACGCGCGTCCATAGGTACACATACACGCGCTTGCTGCAGACACACAACTTTCAGGGTGCGTACGGCAGTAAACGACTGAAATAATAAAGCAATGCTGCGCGAAGAACGCCTTAGACCTGCAACACATTTGTATTTCACTTTACCCGCGATCAGCAGGCACACTGTGTTACGCATCCACATACAGGTCACATGCCAGATGTGACGTCACAGCTCACTTGCCGTGCAAATTAAATATGCATTATTGAGCCCCCCCCCCCAAAAAAAAAAGTGTATTTTTATAATTGTTGCATGGTGTACAGTCTGGAAAGTACCCACATGGCAAATTTCAAGTTGCATGTCAGGAAGCACGCTAAACATTTTGAACAGATACATTCACAAATTTCCCGTTTATTATAACTTATTACACTTGTTTACAGAGAATAGTATTAGTGAGTCTCAAGACTCTTACAGGAGGGTCCTGGTACATTTCTGCAGAAAGGGATAACGATTGCTGTTTCCCAATAAACTAATATTCTCATTATTTTTCAAAGTTAGAAAATTTCGACTATGACACCAGCAAACAATGACCTCTTGGAATTACATCACGGAATCTTTAACATCGACTGTGAAGCAGACCACACCTATTTTTGCGGATTGTAGATCCGACGTATTAATCAGGGTGGCCTACCAGATTTGAACAGCGAAACGCGCAACTGCTGGGCCATGTCACCACCACTTAAATAATATGGACTAGAACAACGTGGTGATATTGACGGAGCTTTATGTGGTGCAAAAGCACCGAGATCCTGATGAACATCCAAGATCACTTCTCAATACTCTACTGACACATTCAGAAATGAAATAATTTCTGCATAAAGGACAAGTGAAAAAAGGTACAAAATGTATGTATATATGTACACTATGTGTTCCAGTAGGACACCTATTATAAACAAACACTCTGGGTTCAAACTCGTGAGCTCGTACTAAGCTTGTTGTGTGCACCGTTGGCAAGCAGTCCTCCCAGTCTCGGTCACAGCCGCTCACTGCCACCTTCTGAAGGTGTCGGTGTCTTGGGCTCTTGCTGGCTGCTCAGCTTGGCCATTAGTTTGATGATGAGGCTAACCTGTCGAGCGCACAGACAGCGAGAATGTGAGAGGAGACAGTGACCACTGAAGAAAACGCGAGAGAGAAACACTTGACAGCAGAGCTAGGTGGATCGTGTCAGTAATCCAGTGACTTGTAGGTGGAGCTGGTGGATCGCACTGGGATCATGTGCAAGACATCTTTCAGGGACAAAAAAAGTGCACGTCAAGTTTTTGTCAATAGTAGCTCTGAATCAGTGGTGTTATATTCAACATGAATCTAAGACAGGGGTCAGGATCTATATATGACAGGATGAATGATGCAGATACTGTTTGCCATGTAGAAATTCCAGGAATCCAAACAAGCAAAATTATTTAAGCGATGTGCATACAATGGTGGAAACTACGCGTATCTCTGTTGCGCTGCACCTGCTTAGTGTAGACTGCGTAGTTGATACGGTCATCCAGTTTGTGGATGTGCAGGCAGGCCTCTCCCACGGCTCGGTCCCACGTCATCTTGGCATAGCAAACACTCAGAAGTAGCGCCTAGCGCAGGCACACGTGGCATTTCAGTTACAGCACATGGGTAGACAAACATCAACAGTGCACATGTACAGCATTTGCAAACTGCACACACGGAAACATCACTACTTATCCAAAGAAATGCAATTTGCTACAGATGAACTGCTATGTATGCAGGAAAGAATGTTTTGAGGTGTCACGTATGAGATGGTTTGTGGTTAAGGAGCTCCCCTTGGATCCCATGTGGTGGCCTGTGGCAGTGATGGTGAAGTTGTCAACACAAAGTGCTTTCCTGCTCTGCTAACACGCTGACCTTGAGCCAACTGTTTTCTATCAGTGTCTTACCATAAGGATCTGATCACTAAAACCCTTTTGGATCTAAACCCACAATGATTTTTACGTGAGGTGTTTTTCGATCTGATTCTTTGTGGCGGAGTGTCATCCTTGATAGCGGAATGGTGCAAGTCGGAGTGGATGACGGGAATCCACCACAGCGTCATAAGGATCATTTCTAGATGGTTAAAGCCGACCAAGCAGGCTCCGATCTGTCTCACACACACACACAACTACGCAACCGCATGTGCACGTGCCCTCTCACGATAAGCATAGAGTGGGATTCACCTTGGTGTCGGCGTTGAGGAGCTGTACTCCGCGGCAGCTCACGCCCACGATCACGGGCAGGGCCTTGTGCCCGGCGGTGCCTGCTTTGGTGTAAATGTGGCCCTGGAAGAAGGCCGAGCCGTAGGTGGGAAAGGCCCAGCACGCCTGCAGGAAGCGGCGCTGCAACTCGGCGGGGCTCTCCTCCCCGCTGCTCGCACGGCTCAGGTGCTGCATTCACGCGGTCAGTGATCAAAGTTTCACAGTCTGCACACAGTCGATAAATGCTACAATTTCTTTAACTAAACCTTTTTTTATGTTACCAGGTAAGGCCCACTGAGCTATATAGCTCTTTTTTAGAAGTCACCTGACCACAAATGATAGCTCAATGAAGTGGCGTATCATGTGGAAATCTATAGCAGCCATATTCTGTAAACGCATGTTGATTCAACATGTGGAGGGGAAAACCGGAGGATCTGGAGAAAAATTCACGCGACCACGGAGACAACATGCAGGGTCGGGATCGAACCCACGACATCCTGTATACCAAAAGAGGTAGTTAACATCTCGCCACCGTGGCGTCCAATGCACACAGCACACCCACATACAGCACACATGGTCAATACACACTTCTATACAGTGAACACACATACACACATTCATCCAGTCATCGCACACCCACATTCACATGGTCAATGCACAGATTAACAGTTAGAACACATTAGTACAATCAACACACTCACACAGTCAACACACATTCACACGTAATTTGCACTTGTGTTTGAAAATGAGAATTGTCCGCAATGGCAGTCCCTATGCAGCAGAGCTTTCTGTAAGCAAGGGTAAAATTGTTATAACCTTGTACTCATGCAATATGCGATGGATCCAGTTGTGTGCCTTGTTCTTCAGTTTGTTGCTTGAAACAAACAGGTTCAGGTTTTCCTCACTGATAACACAAAAACAAAGAGAGACATAAGCCATGCAACCAAAGCTATGGACCATACAGTGAACCAGTGTAGTCTGTGCTCCTTCAATGGAAGACAGATGATGGATGATGATGATCAAGGAAAGATCCTTGTTCTTTGAAAAAAATATATGTACCCAGAGAAACCTCAAAAACGTGAGGAAAAAACTCAAAGGTCCACACAGTTTGAGTGGCTGCCCAAATGCTGTACCGCCGTCTCAAGTCCACGTTGAGGCCCAATAGGTTTGGAGTCTCACAGCACACATGCTCTCAGTGTGATCCACTAACCCCGCTGCAGGTGTGTGGTATCCCGCCTGACAAGGTAAATCCTACTCACGGTTTGAGTATTAGGCAGCCCGTGCCATGCAGTGTGCAGTTACGTACGTGAGGAATCCCTGCTTGTGCTTCTTGGCATCGTAGAGTCCATAGTGAATGAGAAGCAGAAGCGCAGCAAGTCGTGTTGCCTCCACGCCCGTGCACGGGTACATGCCCTCCAGCAGCTGCACGCGTGCCTCCTCAAAGAGTACGCCCAACGCTGCTGGCTCGCTCACCTCCACACGCACACGCACAGCACGGGCAAGCACCGTCACTCACCATCGCCAGCAAGCACCGTCTCTCACCACAACCGGCTCACTCACCTTCACACACTCAAAACACACACACACGGCACGGGCAAGCACCGTCACTCACCATCGCCAGCAAGCACCGTCTCTCACCACAACCGGCTCACTCACCTTCACACACTCAAACACACACACACGGCACGGGCAAGCACCGTCACTCACCATCGCCAGCAAGCACCGTCTCTCACCACAACCGGCTCACTCACCTTCACACACTCAAACACACACACACGGCACGGGCAAGCACTGTCACTCACCATCGCCAGCAAGCACCGTCTCTCACCACAACCGGCTCACTCACCTTCACACACTCAAACACACACACACGGCACGGGCAAGCACCGTCACTCACCATCGCCAGCAAGCACCGTCTCTCACCACAACCGGCTCACTCACCTTCACACACTCAAACACACACACACGGCACGGGCAAGCACCGTCACTCACCACAACCGGCTCGCTCACCTCCACACACACGCACAGCACAGGCAAGCACCGTCACTCACCATCGCCAGCAAGCACCGTCTCTCACCACAACCGGCTCACTCACCTTCACACACTCAAACACACACACACGGCACAGGCAAGCACCGTCACTCACCACCACCACCCACCAACACTCACCACCACCAATCCACCTACAGACAGTGTAAGTGGATTGCACCATGCGGTCCCCACCTGAGCCTCGGCCTCCAGGCTGAGCCGCACGTCACGCCGCAGCATGAGCCGTGGGGGGTCCTCCTCTTGGGGAGGCACTGATGTGAGCTCTGCCACTATCTCGGCCCAGTCCCGCACGTGCTGCAGGGGCTTGTGGAACGGTTTCAGCTGCAGCGCTGTCAAACACATGGCGCCATGCTCACTCGCTATGCTGCGTCGGGCAAGGGCGCTGCTCAAAAAAAAAACCGTCAAAATGTTTCACCGCTCAAATAAGTGTGGCCCAGTGTCTCCCAGTGGTGGCCCTGAAAATTCCATGCTCAGTCTCCCCAAGAAACAACCACTGTTGACATCCCTCAAAACGGTACTCATTTGTGGTACTCGGTTTACTGACACTCGATAATGGGACGGGTTGACTTTGAGCAGCACTGGGCTTTCACGATATTCCAATTTGGAGTTGAAAAGCTCTTACACAGCACAACCTAGCTGCATGTTGGGTCTGGTGCCTCTACTTTGAGTGCTAGATGAAACTCACATGGGATGAATTTCCCCTGACCATGATTTAATCCCAATTCTGACTTGAGTGCTCCAAATACATCACTTCCCGACTGAGTTACAGTGATATCAGGATGTCATCATGGACAAAGTCGTTGATGCCACCACACCATGCTAACACTTTCTACCTTTTGCCAAATCTCGCAGCTGATGCACAGTCCACATGCAACCTCCAAGATCTGCCCTAACAGTCCCCTACCATTTGCTCTTCAGTCTTCTCCTTTGTGACCGGCCTAATGGCAACGATTTCAATGCCTGCCTCAGTAACCGCTCCTCTCCCATCCTTCACGTACCACCCAACAAAAACCCTTTTGCTCAATATCTACAAAATTTACCTGCCATGTTCTCTTGTAGACTTCAGCATTGCCTATCTTGTCTTGCCACAAATTCCTCGCACTAAATAGGGAATACATAAAACTGACACTTTGGAATGAAATTCCCTTTTAGACGTAAACACTTGGAATTAGCCCTAGCTGTATTAACCCATGGGCTAAGTGAGCTGCAGATCATGGTCTACATGTAAAGAGGCATCCAAGCGAAATCATCTCATTAATCTTCCACTAGATCACGCATAACATGGCCATACAGTTGTGCATATTTGGCATTACACACAAACACACACCGATTCAAATACAGACACCCCGGTGCACATACTGAGGTTTGGCGAGCAGATCCAGATGGTGGTGCATTCCAGGGCTGGTGCAGGAAGACGCAGTGCGTCTATCACCTGCTGCACTGTGGTGTTATTCCCACGCGGTAACTCCACAGCACGGTACGACCCATCCACGCGGTACACGCGCACCTTTTCAAACTGCAGTGCACACACGCATATGCCATGTGTCAAGTCAATCGTCAGTGTCTCGCATGAGCAGTGGGGCAGTGCGTGCCTCTGTCGGCAACGAGCAAGTGGGGAATATTGCACATTCTCAAGACAGGGGCCAATTTCCTCGAAGGAAAACTAGTGTTGACTTGTCACAAAGTAGCATTAATGTTATTGACCCTGTAGAAATTATGTGATGAGTTGACCCATGACTGCAACTTTCCAGTTGTGTAGCCGGGCATCGGAGGTCAAATACAAATATTTCATGTTGAACAAAATTCTATCCAACTGGTGTGCCGCAGCAAAAAAAATTCTGAACGTCATACATGAAGGAACATTTTTTGGATTATTTATGTAAACCTAACGGCACTGTCGGTTTCTGCTCTGTGCATTCATATGGGAAAGGATGAAATCAAGAGCAGCTAAGACATGCTGCATCAGTTGGCCATGCCCTTTCAAGAAGGGTGGGGCAGCCATCTTTTCCAAGCTAATTTTACAGTGGAGAATTTTTACTTTTAAGGCAAGAAAATTTACTAATATGAAAAGAAAACTGATTTTGGTGCCTGCACATCTTCCTGCAGTGATTAAGTTCAACTGAAGCTAAAAAGTGGTGAACCAACACCATGGATTGGTGGACCATCTTACTCCCTTCCACAGTGTCCCATGGTGTGCGGAGAAAGTCACACAACGCCATGGTACCAAGTAGGTTAAAATTACATCTTAATACCACGCTTTTTTCCTTTGCCAACAAAGATGTGTTTAAAAAAAAAACTATTCTTATTATAAATCAGGAGTCAGTGTGCCATGCTAAATTACATTAATCTGAGTGTGCCTCGAACCGGAAAGAATTTGGGAAACACTGGATTAGGCAATTCCTGATTCATACACGTAACTTTTGTAATTTTCTGCCAAATCTGAATGTAAACTAAACTTAGGACATCACAGACCGTGCGTCTCATTTCTGCAGGTGACCTGTAGAACAGTATCTGGCCCAGATGGCATTGTGGCACAACACTTTCTCTTTCCCTACTTTCCCCCACACCCACACCTCTGCCTTACCGTCTTGTTGACTGAATCTCGCAAAAGCCGGACCACCCCCTCCCAGTCGCCCTGTCGATTCTCCTCGCACACCTGCACGGGTGAACGTCCCTGCTGGTCCTCCACAAACTGTCCGCACAAGGATGCACAACACGCAGAAAACACTTAAGACAACAATCTCTCTATAGCCACACAAGCTGTTGAGGCACGTGCTGTTAGCGAGCCCTTTGTGCGACTGAGATGCACTCACTCGGTCAATCTCGCGGTGATTAAGCAGCAGACTGACTATGGCTGTGTGTCCCCCCCCTGCAGAGAAGTGTAGCGCCGTGCTGCCCTGTCCCGTGGGGAGGTTGGGGTCACAACGTCCCTGCTCCAGCAACACCTGCGTTGCCTCCACTTGGCCATACCTGTACACCACCAGCACGGGCACACGGTCACACGTGTACAGAAGAGATTGTAAGTTGCAAAATCACGAAAGAGTAAGGTCTCATGAGGCCATGCTGTTTGTAGGAACATAATTTAGGATGATGTAGACCTAGCCAGGGCCCGACATGGTTCTAAAATGGACCGAGCCAACTTACATCAAAATGTAGTCTAAACGTATCGCGTATGTGTGTGTGTATGTATGTATGCATGTTGAACTTATTTCGACCATACGTAGCCAACCGTGTTAATCGGAGGTGCGGGGGAAGGAGTATCCTGCATGCACTGGGTACCAGCAGGCGTAGTGGATGGGCGCCCACTGGTCATGGTCCAGCTGGTGCACGGGCTGCCCGGCCTCCAGCAGGGATGTCAACCGCACTCGGTCGCCCTCGCACGCGCTGCGGTGAAGGGGAAACTCCTCCATCCAGTGCGGCTCCCTGTGCTCGCAAGTGCGATAAATGTGCTGCTGAGCCACGCTGTAGCATGCAGCTTGGAACACGCATATCAATTACTCATTATCAGACATTCAGTCAGAAGGTCAGCATGCCTCCTCGCTCAAACAGCCATGGGGGAATTATCTCTGGTGGCCCTGAGCAAATAGCACAATTTAGAAATTCCCATGGAGCGAGTTTTCTCCATTAAAAATGTATTGCTGACCTTTTATTTACCCCAGAAGAATGGTGGTCTGTGTCAACGACACACTAGGAGTCTCTGTCAGAACAATGGGCAGGGCGGAGCACTCACTGTATAGCAGCAGCAGCACCAGCACCAGCAGCCTTGCCGTCACTACCCATGTCGCTGCCCACACTGGACCGCCACAGGCAAGGACGCGTAACGCAGATACGGGAGTAGTCCGGCACACCCAGCCCGAAGTAGGGGTTGACAACCACCTTGTCCACCTGCACACACAATCCCCACGCACATATTCACAAGGCCCATTCCCAACCACATGCACCCAACTACAATGACAACTCAAACCTCAACACCAACGGCAGACTCCACTCACAATTTCAAAGGCAGAAAGTGACAGTGTCTCTCTTCCATTATGAGTGGTGCACAATTCTTTAGAATTTGTACAATGGCTCGGGCCACCACACTACTATGACAGTGATACATCTCCCTTCCAGACATCCACTGTTCAATTTATACAAGGTGGTGCCTATTTTAATGCAACTAAAATAACGATGGCTGAGTAGTTTCCATTAACTTAAAATAATCACAATCTGGGAGTTTTTTTTTTATAAATATAGAATACTAAAATATACAGAAATGTGCCCATTCATATTTGTGACATTAACATTGTTGCAATGGTTTCATAATTATTTGTTGTCATTTTGATAAATTTATTAAAACGCATGCCACGTTCTCCATTGTTAGTCAAAGCTTTACTTTTAGAGCAATTCAAAATGAACGAAGGAAGGAGTCACTTTGCCTGGTTTATCTGCTAATGCAACAAGTATTTCATGCCAACTGTACTTTTCAAATTAGGAACCTAAGTGGGCCGTGTGCACCGGCAGCTGGGCCACGCACGTACCCGAGACGTGTACTGCAGGTCCGAGCCGAACAGCGGGTTCACGATGCAGATCTCAGGCTTCTCCAGCTCCAGCATGCGAGCGCGAGCCTCCAGGGCTGAGCAGGCGGGACCCTTGCGTGGCGTGCACTCACGCCCCACCTCACCCTCCACATCACCCTCCGTGTCCCTGTAGGCCGGGCTCACCACGGCCATCTTGATGCGCTCGGAGGCGGACGGACGGAACAGCCCCACGATGGCCAGGGGCACGGTGTGCTGCTCGCCAAGCCACCTGTCAACCAGCGGCACGCGTCAAGCGGGGCGTCACGCCGGGGTGGCACGACACACAGGGTGGCACAGGTCGTATGTCACGCTGCTGAACGGTGGCCCACAATCTCGCGCATGGTACTGAAGAGGTTAGGACTGCCAGTCCATTCTTCCTATCATCCCAACAATCTCGTTAAAAAAGAGAACTCTGTGACGAATCAACAGTTATCATCCTGATAATTGTTTTTTTACCCTTCTATCTGGCAACAAAACTGACAACTTTTTACAAGGAGTCATGTTTGCATAGACCACAATACCTGCAGTGATAATGCAAACAAAAAACATAACTCTGATAATGTGCACTGTCCTTGAAGTTGATTGGTCCACACCCGAGACAGCTTTTCTTAGAGCCTAGTCTCACATGGGTTGGACCAGATGACGCCAAAAGGCGCACAACTCAAAGACAATTCACCATCAGAGTATGAGAGCTCGGGGTAAGCATTTACACCATTGGAACCTAATTTGCCAGTAAAAATATGATAATTGTTTTTTTACCCTTCTATCTGGCAACAAAACTGACAACTTTTTACAAGGAGTCATGTTTGCATAGACCACAATACCTGCAGTCATAATGCAAACAAAAAACATAACTCTGATAATGTGCACTGTCCTTGAAGTTGATTGGTCCACACCCGAGACAGCTTTCCTTAGAGCCTAGTCTCACATGGGTTGGACCAGATGACGCCAAAAGGCGCACAACTCAAAGACAATGCACCATCAGAGTATGAGAGCTCGGGGTAAGCATTTACACCATTGGAACCTCATTTGCCAGTAAAAATATGATAATTGTTTTTTTACCCTTCTATCTGGCAACAAAACTGACAACTTTTTACAAGGAGTCATCTGGTCCAACCCATGTGAGACTAGGCTCTAAGGAAAGCTGTCTCGGGTGTGGACCAATCAACTTCAAGAACAATGCACATTATCAGAGTTATGTTTTTTGTTTGCATTATGACTGCAGGTATTGTGGTCTATGCAAACATGACTCCTTGTAAAAAGTTGTCAGTTTTGTTGCCAGATAAAAGGGTAAAAAACCAATTATCATATTTGTACTGGCAAATGAGGTTCCAATGGTGTAAATGATCACTAATAAAATACAACCACGATCAATCTCAGCAGAATCAAGAGACTGCCATTAATGAACACTCTACTTGTTAAGTAAACCTGTAATTTATATTTATTCCATAAAAATCTAAGTGTATCCCTGCTCAAATTAGTGTCTGGTGGACTTATCTCCACTGGTGACCATATACCAGTCATGAAAATGTTAGATTCCCAGCAAGTGGAGCACGCTGACTGACCCCTGCCGTAATAAAGGGCTTAGTTGATCCCTAGGACTTAAGCTCACAAACTTCACATTGTCAGCTGAGCACTCTAGCCCCAGCGCCACCCATCGGGGCTTTATACTGCAGCACGTGCTTGCGTTTGCTAAATATTTAAGTCGTGTATGCTTGTCAGAAAATAATTACAGGTGCTTAATTGTTAAGTAATGTTGGGAATCTGGGACTAACAAAACACTACAATGCACTCAAGGGGACCACGTGGTCATGCGGAATACACAAGCGGGGTCGACTGTCCATGTGTGTTAAATGTTCAACCTGTCGAGGGCGAGCAGCATCGTGCTGGTGAGAGGAGAGAACTGGGCTCCGGTCTCGCCGCACACCCTCAGGATGTCCTGCAGGCAGTAGAAGCCAGGGCTGCTCGGGCTGTAGGCCAGCCGTGCGTTATCTAGACAAACCAGCGTAGTGGTGCTCGCATTACACACAGTGGAAACCCTCTGACCGCGACGTATGTCAACAGTGAACACGTGTAAAAAACACAACAGAAGCCTGCAGCAGAGGGACGTCTTCCTCTAATGGGTACTAAGGCAGCATTCATCTCTGTTGGCCAGCAGTAGGGAAACTGCATATTGCTATGTTGGGGACCCGTATATGGCAATCAGTAACCCACAAAGGAGAGGAGTCTTACTCAGTTCCATGTCAAACGAGTCTACTCCGACTTGAGTATTTAACATTATTATTGCCGGTATCTTAAACTGAATATAAAGAGCCACAGAATCATTCTTAATTGTTACTTAAATGTGCTTTTATGTTGCCTGTGCAACCAACATTATCCAGTTAGTCAATACTGTAGTTAGCTTGTTCAAAAAAATGTGTTTGTGTCAAAGTAGCTATCTAGGCTGATGGATTCCTTGTGAACATAATGGTATTTTGGACTTTCAATATATTTTTTTCTTAGGTAGATCCCAGTTTTTCAGTTGATTTCTTTTTTCAACAAATACTGGCTTCATGTAATGCAATTCACGACAGTGACATCCCCCCCACAGTATGGTTCCGCATGGTAAGATATATTGCATGAACAACACATTAAAGGCGTTTATCTGCAGAGCATGGGGAGATGCTCATCATTCATGGCCCTGAGCCCACTGGTGTAATTCAACAGCGAGCAACAACTTCCCACAAAGTGGTGCTCATGTTATGAACTGGAGGGGATAGGCCGGAGTCAACCCCTAACCTTGTGTGACGTGCATACTTTTGAGTGCAGGGCTCACGGGTGCGCTGTGCAGATGCTCACTCATCACACACTGTATTATCACACTCCGTTACCTTTGATCGTGGTGGGGACAATGTAGAGCTCCACTTCGTGGTCAACACCGCTCTCATCAGCACCAAACCTCTTGATTAAAACCGACCGTTTCCCTGAAGAAGAAAAAACAACAAACGTCACAAATGTAAACGTACAGCGGCATTCTATTTCAAACAATACCAGAGAAATCGTTGTTATTGTTTTATGCGCTTCTGTTGAATGACAAGAAAACCCACCTCTCAAACCTTGATTAATGGGTGACATTTGTTTGGTCATTTCAAAGACGTATTCCAGTATGGTTCTCCCAGCCTCTCCGTCACCAGGGAAAGTTGTACCGAGCAAAACTTTCCTCCTTTTCTTCTCTTGCGCATCATTCTGAATCTCCTTCTCACACAGCAAAATCTAACAGCAAGACCAAAGGCGGCATGTAATTGGGAGCGTAACTCATTGTTCTCAAATATAAATTCACTATCCTTTATTTGAGCTGATGAGAGCCCACTGATATAGGCAAAACCTTATAGCAGGACAGTTATGTTAATATTTTAGTCAGGAGTAATTTAAAATTGGCATTTGGTTGCTGGCTGATTCTCATCAGTGTACCTATCCAGCTGAGTGGCACTCTGCATGGAAACCTGGCTTACAGGTGAAAGGTTGAGTATAAACCAGGGTTTAAGGTCAATAAGTACCACATTTTTTTATGCTAACTGTGGTTGTCTTATGAATAGACACAACGGGGAGTTCATTATATCAATCCACCAACTACAATGGCCCGTTGAATCAACCTCCACGATTTGTACCCGGAGCCTTTACGACTGTGAATCAAGTGTTCCGTGACAGCGCCACCCAGCTGCATTTACTTTTAGCACCCAGAGAGGCACCGGGGGAGAGGGGGGGGGGTTCTACCTCGTAGCTCTTAGGGTGGTACTCCATGGAGGCCGGGCTCGTGATCTTCTTGGGCCGGATGACAGCCGCGTAGAGACGCTCCGCTTCATCACAGCCAGCCATGGCCGCCCACAACCCGCCTCTCTAGCCGGGCACCCAACGAGTCAAAGACAGCTGTCAGCACGGCATGGGCATTCACAGCAAAGGACAATGGGATTCACTGTACCGCATTTACTGATGACTGCACCACCTCAATATATTTGCGTGTGACTGTATTTCAACACAAGTTAGGCACTCACATGTTGGTCACTCAAGATACGGGAGGAGTTTTATTAGGTAATTTTCAGTGGGAAGAGTCCGATGGGCATTGAGGAAAATGAGAAAAATGCAAAGGAGGATACAGATAGTCCATCACTGGGAAGAGGAGATGAAAACGGTCTTAAATCTGTGCCTGAACAAGAGAGTTCCATACAGCAGAGGCAGGAGAAAATGAACAAAGGCGTATCTTAACCAAGGCCGCTTTTGCTCAATATTAAAGATCATAGTATGCATGTCTTGTATAATAGAACCCACCTAAACCATGAATAATATGATTAACAAGAATATAATTACGTTCTCTGTGGTGAATGATTAGTTTGTCCATGTTTACTATTTGAATATCTGATAAAAGTAGTCATAGATGAGTGGAGTTTTAACTGTTGTAATTGTACGAAACAGATCAAGTTACGTGGAAGGTTTGGGAAGGTTTGGTGCGTGTATGACATTCAAGACTCACAGAATGTCCCTGAGAAGGTCGTCTTTGTGACGAGCTGTGCTATCTCAGCAGCATTGTTCGTGTTTGGTTGGTTGTTTTCTGGAGAGCGATAACAGCAGAGGAGGGTATAACTTAACACACAATCAAAGCCAGGATATATAACTGTACTGTTGTGCTTTTTGCACAAAACTAGTCACTGGACAATGGAGAACAACACATGCAACGCTCCCTGGGATGCCTTGCTCACAGCTGATGGGAAATCATGGGCAGGGCCGCAGCAACAACACTCACAGGAAGCCGAGTTGTTTTTCATTTCATCTCTGGAGCCTCAGCTTTCCAATGTTGCCCCTGATAAAAAAAAAAAGCCTGCAGCCCAGGCTGCTTGCGATCACGTTACATGTATGCACACAGAGTGACGTTCACAAAAGCGACTTCCAGGATCAAAGCCTCTGGCAGGTAGTCGAGGTTGTGGCTTGGCTCTCCAACACACCGGTGGTGCTGTACTAGTGACGAATTGGCCACGTTCTGTTTACGTGACAACCCTTACTAGTTGGCTGTGCCGGGTGGTGGCGGGTTTAACGACACATTTATATATTTACGCGATCTAACAAACAAAAACCTCAATCAGTACTGTATTGGTTTCTTTTGTTTTACCAGTTGAGAGGCCAGGGTGAGTTTGATGTGTTGTCCTTGAACACCCGCACCTCGCATGAGCACGGTCAGCAACATACGGTGCGAAAGAAGTTCAACATGCAGTACATACATCTGCAAGAGTGACACCTGGGGTATTAGTCTGCCGGTAGGGGGCAATGATCACGGTGTATAGTGGTTCTTTCGGTAAAGTCATATTATATTATTGTATTATGTTTTATTTTTATTATTTTATTATTTTCCTTCTACGTGACTTTACCGAAAGTACCAAGAAGATGAATCCCTGCAGTCACGAAAGCTTTAAATCGAAATTTAGTCACTACTCTGTTTTTTTCGGTAAAGTCACGTAAGTAAAAAAATTAATATGAATTAAATCAGTGATTTAATTAAATCAGTGATTTAATTTATTTTACCGAAAAAAACAAAGAGTATGAATCTTTGCAGTCACGAAAACTTCAAATCTATAATTAAATGAGTCACTTTCGAATTCGGCAAATTTGGACCCCTGACAGCAGAACCCAGACGGGTGGAGTGTGTGTGGGGCTCCTCTTGTGAGCGACGTCAAAGGATCTTTAAACGTCCCCTATGAAGCAGACTGAGCGTGTTATTGTGGTTCTTATAACACCAAGAAGTGCAGCAGCACAGACAACGCGAGTCCATGTGGCGTACACAGCTTCACCGCAGAAACATTAGAAACACGCGTCGCCTCACGCCGAATACAACCCCCCCACCCCAACCAGCCCGGGCACCAACAACAACAACATCAACAACTTCAACAACTTCTGTTGTACCACGACGACTTGTAGTGTAACCCACTTATTAAAACCGCGATAGTGCACGGCTGCAACACAGCAAACATGGGTCGGTGGCTCATTCAGACGCGTAGGACATCAAACGCGAGACGCTCCCAGTCACGATATTGGGACAGGACGCCGAGTTTGTTGACCAAATCTTCAGTGTTTGCCATTGTACTGGGGCCCCACGCCCACGTGCAGTGACCAGGTTCACAGTGGCCAGCTCACTCACCCCACGCCAGTGGCGCTGTGTCCACCACCACCGCCGCCGCTTCTCCCCGTCCGTCTTTGTCTCCCCGGGGTCCGTGGTGGGGTGAGGGGTTGGGGCGCGCGCCGCTCAGGGACCGCGTGGATTTGCGCATCAAAATGAACTCGCATTGGTGCGGAGACACGCGCCGCGGTTTGTTGAAAACTTTCATTGTCTGGAAGTGGAGGAAGTTTGCAACGAAAAGTGCGTCAGAGTCTCTGCAAACGACCGCGGGCCCTGCGGTGCGATGTTGTCGCGCTGGGTGAGTTAGTCTGTGTGATTGACCGCGGACCCTGGTGCTACACTGTCACACACTGGGTGAGTCTGTGTGATTTACCGCGGACCCTGGTGCGATTTTGTCACACTCGGCGAGTCGGTGTGATTGACCGCGGACCCTGGTGCGATGTTGTCACACTGGGTGGGTGAGTCGGTGTGATTGACCGCAGACCCTGGTACGATGTTGTCACGCTGGGTGAGCGAGTCGGTGTGATTGACCGCGGACCCTGGTGCGATGTTGTCGCGCTGGGTGAGCGAGTCGGTGTGATTGATCGCGGACCCTGGTGCGATGCTGTCACACTGGGTGAGTGAGTCAGTGTGATTGACCGCGGACCCCGGTGCGATGCTGTCACACTGGGTGAGCGAGTCAGTGTGATTGGCCGCGGACCCCGGTGCGATGCTGTCACACTGGGTGAGTGAGTCGGTGTGATTGACCGCGGACCCAGGTGCGATGTTGTCGCGCTGGGTGAGCGAGTCGGTGTGATTGACCGCGGACCCCGGTGCGATGTTGTCACGCTGGGTGAGCGAGTCGGTGTGATTGACCGCGGACCCCGGTGCGATGTTGTCACGCTGGGTGAGCGAGTCGGTGTGATTGACCGCGGACCCCGGTGCAATGTTGTCACACTGGGTGAGCGAGTCGGTGTGATTGACCGCGGACCCCGGTGCGATGTTGTCGCGCTGGGTGAGCGAGTCGGTGTGATTGACCGCAGACCCCGGTGCGATGTTGTCGCGCTGGGTGAGCGAGTCGGTGTGATTGACCGTGGACCCCGGTGCGATGTTGTCACGCTGGGTGAGCGAGTCGGTGTGATTGACCGCGGACCCCGGTGCGATGTTGTCGCGCTGGGTGAGCAAGTCGGTGTGATTGACCGCGGACCCCGGTGCGATGTTGTCGCGCTGGGTGAGCGAGTCGGTGTGATTGACCGCGGACCCCGGTGCGATGTTGTCGCGCTGGGTGAGCGAGTCGGTGTGATTGACCGCGGACCCCGGTGCGATGTTGTCGCGCTGGGTGAGCGAGTCGGTGTGATTGACCGCGGACCCCGGTGCGATGTTGTCGCGCTGGGTGAGCGAGTCGGTGTGATTGACCGCGGACCCCGGTGCGATGTTGTCGCGCTGGGTGAGCGAGTCGGTGTGATTGACCGCGGACCCCGGTGCGATGTTGTCGCGCTGGGTGAGCGAGTCGGTGTGATTGACCGCGGACCCCGGTGCGATGTTGTCGCGCTGGGTGAGCGAGTCGGTGTGATTGACCGCGGACCCCGGTGCGATGTTGTCGCGCTGGGTGAGCGAGTCGGTGTGATTGACCGCGGACCCCGGTGCGATGTTGTCGCGCTGGGTGAGCGAGTCGGTGTGATTGACCGCGGACCCCGGTGCGATGTTGTCGCGCTGGGTGAGCGAGTCGGTGTGATTGACCGCGGACCCCGGTGCGATGTTGTCGCGCTGGGTGAGCGAGTCGGTGTGATTGACCGCGGACCCCGGTGCGATGTTGTCGCGCTGGGTGAGCGAGTCGGTGTGATTGACCGCGGACCCCGGTGCGATGTTGTCAGCGCTGGGTGAGCGAGTCGGTGTGATTGACCGCGGACCCCGGTGCGATGTTGTCGCGCTGGGTGAGCGAGTCGGTGTGATTGACCGCGGACCCCGGTGCGATGTTGTCACGCTGGGTGAGCGAGTCGGTGTGATTGACCGCGGACCCCGGTGCGATGTTGTCACGCTGGGTGAGCGAGTCGGTGTGATTGACCGCGGACCCCGGTGCGATGTTGTCACGCTGGGTGAGCGAGTCGGTGTGATTGACCGCGGACCCCGGTGCGATGTTGTCGCGCTGGGTGAGCGAGTCGGTGTGATTGACCGCGGACCCTGGTGCGATGTTGTCACGCTGGGTGAGCGAGTGGGTGTGATTGACCGCGGACCCTGGTGCGATGTTGTCACGCTGGGTGAGCGAGTTGGTGTGATTGACCGCGGACCCTGGTGCGATGTTGTCACGCTGGGTGAGCGAGTCGGTGTGATTGACCGCGGACCCTGGTGCGATGTTGTCGCGCTGGGTGAGCGAGTCGGTGTGATTGACCGCGGACCCTGGTGCGATGTTGTCACGCTGGGTGAGCGAGTGGGTGTGATTGACCGCGGACCCTGGTGCGATGTTGTCACGCTGGGTGAGCGAGTCGGTGTGATTGACCGCGGACCCTGCTGCGATGTTGTCGCGCTGGGTGAGCGAGTCGGTGTGATTGATCGCGGACCCTGGTGCGATGCTGTCACACTGGGTGAGTGAGTCAGTGTGATTGACCGCGGACCCCGGTGCGATGCTGTCACACTGGGTGAGTGAGTCAGTGTGATTGACCGCGGACCCCGTGCGATGCTGTCACACTGGGTGAGCGAGTCAGTGTGATTGGCCGCGGACCCCGGTGCGATGCTGTCACACTGGGTGAGTGAGTCGGTGTGATTGACCGCGGACCCAGGTGCGATGTTGTCGCGCTGGGTGAGCGAGTCGGTGTGATTGACCGCGGACCCCGGTGCGATGTTGTCACGCTGGGTGAGCGAGTCGGTGTGATTGACCGCGGACCCCGGTGCGATGTTGTCACGCTGGGTGAGCGAGTCGGTGTGATTGACCGCGGACCCCGGTGCGATGTTGTCACGCTGGGTGAGCGAGTCGGTGTGATTGACCGCGGACCCCGGTGCGATGTTGTCGCGCTGGGTGAGCGAGTCGGTGTGATTGACCGCAGACCCCGGTGCGATGTTGTCGCGCTGGGTGAGCGAGTCGGTGTGATTGACCGCGGACCCCGGTGCGATGTTGTCGCGCTGGGTGAGCCGCGGACCCCGGTGCGATGTTGTCCGCTGGTGAGCGAGTCGGTGTGATTGACCGCGGACCCCGGTGCGATGTTGTCGCGCTGGGTGAGCGAGTCGGTGTGATTGACCGCGGACCCCGGTGCGATGTTGTCGCGCTGGGTGAGCGAGTCGGTGTGATTGACCGCGGACCCCGGTGCGATGTTGTCGCGCTGGGTGAGCGAGTCGGTGTGATTGACCGCGGACCCCGGTGCGATGTTGTCGCGCTGGGTGAGCGAGTCGGTGTGATTGACCGCGGACCCCGGTGCGATGTTGTCGCGCTGGGTGAGCGAGTCGGTGTGATTGACCGCGGACCCCGGTGCGATGTTGTCGCGCTGGGTGAGCGAGTCGGTGTGATTGACCGCGGACCCCGGTGCGATGTTGTCGCGCTGGGTGAGCGAGTCGGTGTGATTGACCGCGGACCCCGGTGCGATGTTGTCGCGCTGGGTGAGCGAGTCGGTGTGATTGACCGCGGACCCCGGTGCGATGTTGTCGCGCTGGGTGAGCGAGTCGGTGTGATTGACCGCGGACCCCGGTGCGATGTTGTCGCGCTGGGTGAGCGAGTCGGTGTGATTGACCGCGGACCCCGGTGCGATGTTGTCACGCTGGGTGAGTGAGTCGGTGTGATTGACCGCGGACCCCGGTGCGATGTTGTCACGCTGGGTGAGCGAGTCGGTGTGATTGACCGCGGACCCCGGTGCGATGTTGTCACGCTGGGTGAGTGAGTCGGTGTGATTGACCGCGGACCCCGGTGCGATGTTGTCACGCTGGGTGAGCGAGTCGGTGTGATTGACCGCGGACCCCCGTGCGATGTTGTCGCGCTGGGTGAGCGAGTCGGTGTGATTGACCGCGGACCCTGGTGCGATGTTGTCACGCTGGGTGAGCGAGTGGGTGTGATTGACCGCGGACCCTGGTGCGATGTTGTCACGCTGGGTGAGCGAGTGGGTGTGATTGACCGCGGACCCTGGTGCGATGTTGTCACGCTGGGTGAGCGAGTGGGTGTGATTGACCGCGGACCCTGGTGCGATGTTGTCACGCTGGGTGAGCGAGTCGGTGTGATTGACCGCGGACCCTGGTGCGATGTTGTCACGCTGGGTGAGCGAGTGGGTGTGATTGACCGCGGACCCCGGTGCGATGTTGTCACGCTGGGTGAGCGAGTCGGTGTGATTGACCGCGGACCCTGGTGCGATGTTGTCACGCTGGGTGAGCGAGTGGGTGTGATTGACCGCGGACCCTGGTGCGATGTTGTCACGCTGGGTGAGCGAGTCGGTGTGATTGACCGCGGACCCTGGTGCGATGTTGTCACGCTGGGTGAGTGAGTCGGTGTGATTGACCGCGGACCCCGGTGCGATGTTGTCACGCTGGGTGAGCGAGTCGGTGTGATTGACCGCGGACCCCGGTGCGATGTTGTCGCGCTGGGTGAGCGAGTCGGTGTGATTGACCGCGGACCCTGGTGCGATGTTGTCACGCTGGGTGAGCGAGTGGGTGTGATTGACCGCGGACCCTGGTGCGATGTTGTCACGCTGGGTGAGCGAGTTGGTGTGATTGACCGCGGACCCTGGTGCGATGTTGTCACGCTGGGTGAGCGAGTCGGTGTGATTGACCGCGGACCCTGGTGCGATGTTGTCGCGCTGGGTGAGCGAGTCGGTGTGATTGACCGCGGACCCTGGTGCGATGTTGTCACGCTGGGTGAGCGAGTGGGTGTGATTGACCGCGGACCCTGGTGCGATGTTGTCACGCTGGGTGAGCGAGTCGGTGTGATTGACCGCGGACCCTGGTGCGATGTTGTCGCGCTGGGTGAGCGAGTCGGTGTGATTGATCGCGGACCCTGGTGCGATGCTGTCACACTGGGTGAGTGAGTCAGTGTGATTGACCGCGGACCCCGGTGCGATGCTGTCACACTGGTGAGTGAGTCAGTGTGATTGACCGCGGACCCGGTGCGATGCTGTCACACTGGGTGAGCGAGTCAGTGTGATTGACCGCGGACCCCGGTGCGATGTTGTCGCGCTGGGTGAGCGAGTCGGTGTGATTGACCGCGGACCCCGGTGCGATGTTGTCGCGCTGGGTGAGCGAGTCGGTGTGATTGACCGCGGACCCTGGTGCGATGTTGTCACGCTGGGTGAGCGAGTCGGTGTGATTGACCGCGGACCCCGGTGCGATGTTGTCGCGCTGGGTGAGCGAGTCGGTGTGATTGACCGCGGACCCCGGTGCGATGTTGTCGCGCTGGGTGAGCGAGTCGGTGTGATTGACCGCGGACCCCGGTGCGATGTTGTCGCGCTGGGTGAGCGAGTCGGTGTGATTGACCGCGGACCCCGGTGCGATGTTGTCGCGCTGGGTGAGCGAGTCGGTGTGATTGACCGCGGACCCCGGTGCGATGTTGTCGCGCTGGGTGAGCGAGTCGGTGTGATTGACCGCGGACCCCGGTGCGATGTTGTCGCGCTGGGTGAGCGAGTCGGTGTGATTGACCGCGGACCCCGGTGCGATGTTGTCACGCAAGGTGAGCGAGTCGGTGTGATTGACCGCGGACCCCGGTGCGATGTTGTCACGCTGGGTGAGCGAGTCGGTGTGATTGACTGCGGACCCCGGTGCGATGTTGTCGCGCTGGGTGAGCGAGTCGGTGTGATTGACCGCGGACCCTGGTGCGATGTTGTCACACTAGGTGAGCGAGTGGGTGTGATTGACCGCGGACCCTGGTGCGATGTTGTCACGCTGGGTGAGCGAGTGGGTGTGATTGACCGCGGACCCTGGTGCGATGTTGTCACGCTGGGTGAGCGAGTGGGTGTGATTGACCGCGGACCCTGGTGCGATGTTGTCACGCTGGGTGAGCGAGTCGGTGTGATTGACCGCGGACCCTGGTGCGATGTTGTCACGCTGGGTGAGCGAGTGGGTGTGATTGACCGCGGACCCTGGTGCGATGTTGTCACGCTGGGTGAGCGAGTGGGTGTGATTGACCGCGGACCCTGGTGCGATGTTGTCACGCTGGGTGAGCGAGTGGGTGTGATTGACCGCGGACCCTGGTGCGATGTTGTCACGCTGGGTGAGCGAGTCGGTGTGATTGACCGCGGACCCTGGTGCGATGTTGTCGCGCTGGGTGAGCGAGTCGGTGTGATTGACCGCGGACCCTGGTGCGATGTTGTCACGCTGGGTGAGCGAGTGGGTGTGATTGACCGCGGACCCTGGTGCGATGTTGTCACGCTGGGTGAGCGAGTGGGTGTGATTGACCGCGGACCCTGGTGCGATGTTGTCACGCTGGGTGAGCGAGTCGGTGTGATTGACCGCGGACCCTGGTGCGATGTTGTCGCGCTGGGTGAGCGAGTCGGTGTGATTGACCGCGGACCCTGGTGCGATGTTGTCACGCTGGGTGAGCGAGTGGGTGTGATTGACCGCGGACCCTGGTGCGATGTTGTCACGCTGGGTGAGCGAGTGGGTGTGATTGACCGCGGACCCCGGTGCGATGCTGTCACGCTGGGTGAGCGAGTCGGTGTGATTGACCGCGGACCCCGGTGCGATGCTGTTGCGCTGGGTGAATGAGTGGGTGTGATTGACCGCGGACTCTGGTGCGATGTTGTCACGCTGGGTGAGCGAGTCGGTGTGATTGACCGCGGACTCTGGTGCGATGTTGTCGCGCTGGGTGAATGAGTCGGTGTGATTGACCGCGGACCCCGGTGCGATGCTGTCGCGCTGGGTGAGTGAGTCTCCGCCACTGCCGCCATGGAGGACCCCGTGAAGGAGTCGCACCGCGTCGCCTTCGCCTGCCTCACCGCAGCGCTCCACGAGGATGAAAACTCGAGCGGTGATCACAGCCCCCCCCCTCCCCACCTTCTCTGTCGCTGCCCCCCTCTCTCTCTGTCTGTCCGTGTCAATTCTGCGCTGCGATGAGAGAGGCCTGGCGGAGCGGCGGCTTTTGAGAGCAGTTGAAGATTGTGGCTCAAAGTTTGCAGGACGTGGAACTGAAAAGGTCTTCGATGAGGAGAGATGGAGCCGCGAATCGATGTTGTCGTCTTGAGTGTAAAGTCTGAAGGTGTCTCACGTCAGAGCAGTGTCGTGGAGAATACCTGTTACTGTCGGCTCGTGGTTTTTAAAAGCCTTCAGATACGATAAGCAGACACGCAGAAATAAAGACTCTTGTTGAGGAAATAACCAACTGGCTTTTCAAAAACCGTTTTAAATATAAATGATGAGTAGCCGTGGGTGAGCAACATTGCAACATTTACCGTCAGATGGGCAGGACAAAGTAACCACTTACGACGGAGATGCGTTACGACTCCCATCATCGTAAGTGAAAATATTGTAAGTCGAAGATGGTCTAGCCAGGAGTCTTAAAGAATGGAGATAATTTAGCAAAACAGAGCAATTTACAGTACCGTAAACATTGCAACATTTACCGTCAGATGGGCAGGACAAATTAACCACTTACGACGGAGATGCGTTACGACGACTCCCATCATCGTAAGTGGAAAATATCGTAAGTCGAAGATGGGCTAGACTAGCTAGGAGTCTTAAAGAACGGTGATAATTTAGCAAAACAGAACAATTTATAGTACCGTACTGTATAAACTATGTACTGTATGCATTTATCAATTACAATACTTTATTGCACAGTTAAATGTAAAGTAAAAAACAAGGTAAATTCTTAGCCTGCCTACATGAACTGCAATTTAATAGAAAGTTTTTTCAGGAAACAATCCTATCTGCTATAAAAACTGTTAACATGCATTGAACGTATCGTATCGTGGTAACCTTAAAATGAAACCGCTAAAGCTACGTATCATACATATGCATTGAATGTATCGTAACGTATCATATTGTACTGTATTCATAAGATTTTGTCTGTCTGCATACTTGAACGATGTTAGGTTGTTGATGGCAATTTTGTCGTATCGCCATCGTAAGATCGAAATATCGTAAGTCGGACCATCGTAACTCGGGGACTGTCTGTACTTTGAGCACACGTACAGTAACACTATCCAGAGCTTAAACCTCTCATCTGTGGAAGCCTGAGTCGGTAGATGTAGCCACGCTGTGCGATCAAAATAGTTCGTGGTAAGATAGAGACCCTTGAAGAATGTCAGGCCTCTTCCATGTCTGATGGGTCATTGTGATATGGGACTTGTCTGTGCTGTACAGGAGACAAAAATGAGGCGATCAAATGGTACAAGAAAGGGATTCTGGAGCTGGAGAAAGGCATCGGCATCTCCATCACATGGCAAGGTAGCCGACTCAGACGAGCACGTGATAATATTTCCCGCGTTGGAATGTTTTGCATCATTTCTCAACGTGTAGAACGATTTGGTGTCTTTGTTTTTCTTTCTTTTCGTGCCAGGGGAGAAGGCCGAGCGATCTCGGAGCCTGCAGGAAAAGATGAGAAGAAACCTGGAAATGGCCCGAGAGAGGCTCGGCTTGCTGGGTTGCGGTCAGCGACATCGCAACGTGGCAGCAGTCACCATTCATGTTGTGTCGAGACGCCTTCTGCCTCGCAAGCAGTCACCAGCGCTGCTTGCTGCTGCTGCTGCTCGTGGCCACATAAATAGATGTCAACCCATACGGTTTATGCTCCGTATTCTTGTACAGGGAGATTTGAGTTTTCAGCTCCATGCGGCGTATACATCCTGTTTCAATACGTGCAACAAAAACATGTGTATTTGTTTGTGTTTCTCCCTTGTGATGGGACTTTGTAGGATGAACGTTGAGATTTATAAGGGTCACGGGGTGACCAATAAGGTCTGAGTTGGTCAGTAATAAGGTAGGGGGCACTGATAAGGGGTTGACAGGTATGACAATATGTTCTATTTTTCTCTGATATCCCATGCAGAATGGGGCAAGCTGTATTTTCATGAAATGTGCTGTAATTTCAGAACAGAGTGTTCCGAGATCAAACGCTGGCCACAAAGGTGGCCCCGTGCCCAGCACCTCGACTCAGAGTAAACCCCGGCCACAAACCAAGAGCACTTTAGCAGCAAGGCCCTCGTCCCACCGCGCCGTGGCGACTAACAGAGTGAGAATGGCCTGCTGTGTTCATGTTCAAAATGACCATCTGTTCATATGTCCGGGAAAGGTGAACTTGAACATATTTATTTTCTGCAGTGTCCTGCTGAAAAATGTTTAGCCAGTTTGATTGTAAATATGTTATGAGTGTGGGGGTAAACCAGAGTTCCTAAAAAAAAACACATACAAGAGAACACATGCAGTTAACTCCACATGGATAGATCACATACATACATACCCGCTTGCCACACTACCTCTTACTGGAAGCTCAGTGCCTTGCACATTGATGTCTCGTGCATATGATATTTGTGTGATCCACAAATTAAAAAATAGTCTTTGGATGTATCTAGTTGTAAACTTAGACTAATATTAGAATGATTTTCTTTGGGTCTTTCGGTAAAGCCACGTAGATAGAAAAATAATAAAAAATCACGACGTTTCGATCGCAACACAAGCAATCGTCATCAGGTGAAAGATATAGTGGGAGAGCTGCTGAGGCAGGAAAACATTAAGTCACGATTATAATTATTTCTCTATGATGTGGTATATGGTTCAGTCTTTCTCCCGAAGGGCTACCTTTTGTGAATGTCCAATTCTCAACCTCCTTTTGATGCTTTCATGCTCCCATTGCTTGCCATGATGAATCTTAACATTAGTTTTAGGCATTTTATATAGGTATCTTGAAAAAAGATATTATATACCAGGAATCAAGCAGTGTTTCATATCAAAAAAATGTCAACACTAAAACGTCTGTGATTGATTTCATTCAAAGTCTGTTTGCCTTATTGACGACCCTGCCGTGGCTGCCCTCCAAGCATCGCTCACATCGCCGTTGCTCTCATCTGTTACCAGCCTTTGCCTCTTCTGTTGCCTGTGTTCTGCTGACGTCTCTCACGTTATTCCACCTATCAACTGGTCCACTCATGTTACAAGCCAATTCATCTCCCTACACTTTCACGTCATGTTAGATGTGACATGCATCATGCTCTTCTGCCTTTGCACCTGATTACAACTTGTAATTTTTACCACTTCGATCTGCGCTGTTTGTGGAGATTGGGTGTTTGTGTTAGGTCTGGAGCTTCCAATAGGCATCTTTCATTCGAAATATACTTCTGTGCATTTCAATGAATTATAGGAAGCAATGGTAGACAACTTAACACGCTCTTCTCCTTTCCATCCAGACGACGGTGCCCAGGCAGCAGCCAGTGGCACAGCCCACAGCCCCATCGGTGCTCAAGAAATTGAAAGCTCTCAACGTGGACAACACCATGGCCCAGCTCATCGTCAATGAGATTGTTGACAGGTATGGGATCACATTATTATACCACTCAACTCAATTGTTAAAGTTTAACCTCTCGAGGAAGCCGGATATAAAAGTGAGCTAGAAAAAGCTGCCTAAATAAATAATTATTTTCTAAATAAACTAAAGAAAAACTCTTGACTGGAACACTGCAATGCAACTTTAGTAATTAGTTCATTCCATTCTGCTGGACATTTCACTATTATCATTATAACTGTCCACCTATGCATGGAAAGGATTAAATACAGGATATGCAAAGAGCATTGAGGGGATTTATAAGTTACATTGTAGTTCTCACATATGAACAAGTACACATTCTCCTAAATGTACTTCTTTCTTCAAACATCCTGGCTTCCCAATGTTCCTGATTGAATCAATCTTTTTCAGGAGTCCGCAAGTCAAGTGGGATGATATTGCAGGACAGAAAGTAGCCAAGCAAACCCTGCAAGAAATAGTCATTTTGCCTTCCCTCAGGCCAGAGGTACTGCACGTAAACTTATCTTGTTCATTTGTGTCGAACCTATGCATCAGGAGAAGTTGTATCCTGTCACTTGAACTTAAATGGATACAACCTAAACAAACTATTGGGTGCTTAAATTTCGATTTAAAGCTTTCGTGACTGCAGGAATTCATCTTCTTGGGTGCTGTTTTACTTGAGGATTTAAAGCCATGTTCATACACAGCAATATCACCACTGCCCCATATAAGTAAAATAAGTACGATTTCGCTTCTCAAGTCCCAGCAGCTGGCCAAGTTAAGATGTCAAACTCCCCGGCAAGCGCTGTGCCCCACGTACTTTAACATCGCACGCCTTCGAGCTACTCCTTCACATCGGAATGCCATGACTTCCATTCCTGGTTGGGAATCGACTCGGCTCATCATGCCTCCCAGGTCAATACAATAATTATTTTGCGGCTAATTAAGAGGGGGTTTTCTAGTTAAACTACATTCAACGTTTAATAATTGATTGGAGAATGCATTGGATAATTATGAAAGTGCGTGGTATAAATACTTAGTGGCTGATGAAACAAATACTCGTGGTTTATAAGTCAATCATGTGCCACAGCGCCACCTAGCGAGAAGCAACTTTACATAAGGGTCTGCAATAAAAGTGTTTTTTGTTGTAAAGCTCTTTACAGGTCTGCGCTCACCTGCCCGTGGGTTGCTGCTGTTTGGCCCTCCAGGAAACGGGAAGACCTTACTGGTATGCGTTGTTGTGAGTGCTCATGATTAGCTTAAGTTAGAATGCCATGACTGTAATATAAAACAGTTTTGTTAATGTAAAGAAAAAACATGCAGGCATTGGGTCCGGTGTTCGACTGGGCAATACAACCTTAGCGCCTCCCTTCTTGGTAAACGCACAGTGCCGCTGTTTCTTTCAGGCTAGGTTAATGTACATTGTTGCAATGGCTCAAAGTAATGTCAAATGTTGGCATCGTAAAAGATTTCGATTTAAAGCTTTCGTGACTGCAGGGATTCATCTTCTTGGTTCTTTCGGTAAATCACGTAGAAGGGAAGTAATAAAATAATAATAATAAAACATAATAAAATTATTCTCACGACGTTTCAGCCACAACCTGAGGACGGCTGCTTGCGTTGTGGCCGAATCGTCGTGAGAATTATTTTAATGTTTTATTTTTATTATTTTATTACTTCCCTTCTACGTGACTTTACTGAAAGAACCGAGAAGATCGTAAAAAATGACTAAAATAAAATAAAACGTTAAGCGTGTGCTCAGTTCTTCGCACCGTGATCTAAATCAAGAGTGCCGCTACTGCTTACTTTTTGGCCATATATTGAGATTTGTTCATCTTTTTTTTTAGGCAAAAGCTGTAGCAACTGAGTGCAGTGCAACTTTTTTCAACATCAGCGCTTCCAGCATGATGTCAAAATACGTGAGTACAAGACAAATGGCAGAGTGCCAGAACCAACATGGTTTTTCTGTGATGTTATTGGCTATCCCTACTGATTCTTTGGGTCTTTCGGTAAAGTCACGTAGATAAGTTGAAAGAAAATAACGAAAAATAACAAAATACTACGATGTTTCGATCACAACACAAGCTATCGTCATCAGAAAAAAAACACAGGAAAGCTGCTGAGGAAGATTGTTTTAAAGGTTTAAAATGGGTGTAGCCCAAGGGTCATAAATGAAGTGGGTGGGGACTAGTGATGTTAATGTGCGAAATTAGCATGTTAATGTTAGATCGGAGAGCTGCATCCACGAAGGTGTGGCGGTGGCTATGTTAATGTGAGAGATTAGCATGTTAATGTTAGATCGGAGAGCTGCATCCATGAAGGCGTGGCGGTGGCTATGTTAATGTGAGAGATTAGCATGTTAATGTTAGATCGGAGAGCTGCATCCACGAAGGCGTGGCGGTGGCTATGTTAATGTGAGAGATTAACATGTTGATGTCAGACCTGTTAATGTAAAATCAGAGAGCCGAAAATAACAACTAACATCGGAAGGTAGAGTGGAAACATCACAGCCAGTTATGATTTAAACTGGTTAATAACGTCCTTCCAATAATTGCTCAGTTTGTACCCATCTTCTCGGTTGAAATTGTGTCTGTGCCTATCCCTACTTGTCAGAGAAAATAGGCAGAGTTCTAAATGAGTGAAGTGCACTCGGGTAAAGCATATCAAAGTCAGTACCTCAAATCACATGTTTTATGTTATCTTTGTCTAACTCTGAGTAAGTAAGAATGTGTTATTTGTAATTCATAATCTTGTTCTCTGGGCTTTATAAACAGCATTTCAGATCGGATCAGGGTTGTCAATTTTCAAGGATGATATTTCTAATTTCGCCCGACTATTTGTGTCCACAATTTAAGTGGGCAACACAATTGTGTCCCATCACAATAGTGCTCAAGAATTAGTGCCTCACTACTGAGTGGAGCTTCAGGTGTGTGATGAACAGAACAGCCTGAGCCTCTTGCATATACGTGTTTATACAAGTTCAAAAATGAACATAATTTCCAATACACATTGATGTTTGAATAGAGTTGGTAAATCCTTCTGGTGTGCTTTGGCTATAGGATGTAATTTTTATGTTATTGTTAAAAGGTATGACCGTGTTTGTGGTGCAGGTTGGAGAGGGGGAGAAGCTGATGCGTGCCCTGTTCGCTGTGGCAAGGGAGATGCAGCCATCCATTATCTTCATAGGTACTCATTCAGTCCCTTAAGTTAATGCTGTGAATTGTCTTGAGCCACTTGTAAATATTTGAATTCAATACAGCTGGCAAGGTCAAGAGGTGATCGCAGCCAATATCATTGATGCTTCCTTCTCAAGATTCTGTCGTTGTGGATTCTGGTCTCCAAGATCTACTTATACACTCTGCCACCATTAGACTCGAGGTCACTGACTTTGGTTTCTGACCTCTAGGCTGCCACTGGAAAGCCGAGCTCAGTAATCTGCCTTCATCCTGCCCCACCTGCCCAACCGATGACAACCTTCTGTTCCTAAACGTAGACTTTTTTTGACAATTTCTTTTTTCAAAACTCACATTTATTATTGCGATCTTAGGTCAAACTCGGCATCAATCTTGAGAGGAGTTATCCTTGTAACCACTTTGTTCGCTTATAATGCAACCAGGACAAAAATAGCTGCATACCTCTGCTTGTGTTCTGGGTAATTGTATACAAACTGTTAAACAAACCACCATCCTCTCCATTGGATTGTGAACCTAAACACTGCAATGGTTGTGTGCACACTGGCTTTTAATGCTCAATTTTAAAAAAAATCCACTCATATCAATCAAAGACACAAGTAGGGTACGGTGGCTTTGCCACAGTGTCTTGCAGTCTGAGTTGTACCATAGCAAACATAATTTGCTTTGACAGTCCTATGTTGTTATCATGATCGAGATGTCGACGAAGAAAAAGTGAACATAGCCTTTCATTGTACAGGGCTGAGGAGAAAACAAGTGTGATTGATTTATCTGTTGCAGATGAGATTGACAGTTTGCTGTGTGAAAGGAAGGAGGGAGAACACGACACAAGCCGGCGAATGAAGACAGAATTTCTCATGCAGTTCGATGGAGTACGTTTACTCCACTGCACTGTAATGCACTGTGCTGTTTATTTAATTATGGGATGCACAATGAGGACTCATAAAGTGCTGCGATTCTCTTTACTGACCGACGTGGTTATCTGGAAATTGCAAGCACTGTGGAGCGAACATCAATGAGAACGCTATTTGTACATATTCAAGCCAAAGCCTATACATTCTAAAACTAGCCTTTGGCAGTGCTCATTCATAGGCAGCCCTCAGTCATTCGTGAGAATTCCACTCTTCTGGCAAGTGCCACTCTCCACATATATAATCCCACTTCTGACTTTCTGTCAATTGGTACTAATTTTATTGACCCCCGAAGTATTGATGGGTCATATGTACCCTGGACCAGCACATGGTGCAGTAGAAAGGAACCAGTTGAATGTGGATGTTAATTTGTGAATGTCATGCAGGTTAAAAGCGAAGCAGAGGACAGAGTGCTGGTAATGGGAGCAACAAACAGGCCCCAAGAACTGGACGAAGCCGTTCTCCGGTAAACACATTTTAATTAAACACATTCCTGTGGAGGGAGCTGGTAGGAACGTTGGGTTGCTCAGTCAGTGGCCAGGGTCAACGGCGGCGTGGTGTATTCCGCAAATATGGCCGACTGAGGGCAGGCACAAGCCGGCGTGAGTAGGTTAAACGTTGAGTTTTATAAGGGCACCACGGGGTGACCAGCCCCTCCCCACCCAGCCCCACCCCTCCCACCCCTCCCACCCCCCACCCAGCCCCACCCTCCCCCTACCCAGCCCCACCCAGCCCCTCCCCACCCAGCCCCACCCTCCCCACCCAGCCCCTCCCTCCCCACCCAGCCTCTCCCTGCACGACGGACGGACAGAATAATCCCCTGTGGGCTGGTCTAACCAGGAGGTTCCTACCAGCATAATTCATCTTTGTTTTGTGTCTCACTTCCATTGGTATTGGGTATACCAAAATGTAACGTGTATTAAATGTGTGTTCTAGAACTGAGCACACGTGGAAGAATATTGTTCCTGAAAAGATATTGTTCTCATTTAAAATCAGTCCTGATAATTCAACTGTAATTACCCAAGCCGTCTTTTATGCCGGTAACTTCGATCGCTGTCGTAATTTTGCTCAATGCTCTTTCGAGGTTTGCGCACCAGAAATAACAGCTTGCGTCAATGAATATTCAAATATTGTTAGCCGTCGGCATGAAAGCAATGGCACTGGTGTGTGTTTTTTTCAGACGATTTCCGAAGAGAATATATGTCGACATGCCCGACGAAGCCGTAAGTCTTGCCCATATACAGTCGGAGTTTAAAAACACAGTGGCGCTCATTTCCCTTGGCAGCCTGAGGTCATTGGTGGATCTTTAACACACTCATGGTGAAGGCCGCCACTTCCTTCATTGGATGATTGCGCTTGATTTAATCGACCTTTCAGATGATAGTGTCAATCTCTGACCAGGATTTTAACCCCAAATCCTCATGATTGTCCATAATAGAGTTGTTTTGGGTTAGATCGTGTAAATATATAAATGTGTCGTTAAAACCTGTGTAAATGTCAGGTTATTTGCATCCATTTTTTTTGCATCACTCAGACAGACTTCTGCATCAGACATACATCGCCAAGCTGTACAGCTAATCTCTTGTAAATTTCAGCTGGTTTGACATTTTATTTCACCAGAAACTTGAGTCTGCAAGGATGTGCCACAGGACATGACACGCTGTTAGCTTCCAGATTGAAAATACCCAGACTGCTTTGCACAGCTGCGATGCCAATAGCTATGCACACATTTTCAGCTGATCTTTCATTCGTTTACAAGTATCTAGACCAGGTTAACCTCGACACCTTCAAAATGTATATGAACAGGAGTTTAACAACTGAACGAAGGAAATCGTAAACGTAACACGTTTTATCAACATGGAGGTTAAAGCACAGCCATGAACTAAGCTGAGCCAGAAGGGACCGTGGAAATTGGAGCCTGAGTTCCTATAATAATACTCTGTTTTATTTTACAGGCGAGAAAACAGATTCTTAACCATCTTTTATCCAAGCATGGCAGTCCGCTGTCAGAAAAAGAACTTGCGGTACTTGCCAGGTAAGATTATATCCGAAGGTTGTCTGCATTTCCTCGTATTCTCTTGTCATTTAACTTATCCGAATCCATTCCTTCATGATAATGTCGACTGTGTTGTAATGTTGTACCCTGCCAGGCATTTCCACCTCCTTTACTGCCTTTGTTCCAAAATGCCACAAATGGCAGGGAATTCTTGTTTTCTTGGTGTAACATCTGTAATATGAATCGTATGGCTGATGTCTATGTAATATGTTTCAATGCCAGTTCTGGGTCATGCCTGCCAGCTGATATGAATGATGAGTCATTCTTCGTGATATACTACTTAAAATCATCAACACAAATGCAACTCTATCTGTAGCTCCCACCAAGTACATAAAGAGAGCAACACTTAATAAAACATCCAAAATCTACTGTAACTGATATCGATATGGGCCATAGTTGCTTGAGCTCTTCGATTATATTATAGATTTATTAATTGTTTTTGAACAAATTCTTAAAAGCATGTCAAATAACAAGATTCAAATGTACAATTACTGTGTTTTTCTAACATCTCGTATGGTTTCCCGATGGTGCTGAACAGGAGATTCCATTGTTTTAAGTTGCATATCAAAACGTATAATTTGGACTCAATGCTATGCTCAAGGAAAAGCGAGAAACATGTGACTTGTGCGATAACAAGATCAAAGTCATGCGAAGTAGAGAAAGGTCGGGGCAGGTTAGAACAATGGCAGGGTACGTGTTATCCCCCTAATTATATAAACATTTGATCACGTGGCCAAAAACAACGGTCACTCTCAGTTTGCTTGCACAAGAGAGCCTACATACATGGATCTGTGCCTGTTACTGTAGAAGATACAAATTTAAGCATGCCCTTTTGTATGTAGCGTATAGCTTAGCTGGGTAGAGCAGTTGAGATTCAACATTTGCGGGGTTTAGGAGAAACCTCAGCATGGCCACGTAATACATATACAATGTATTGATTGTAATACTACCACTGTTCAACTTCATAGACAATATTATGACCCGACTCAATTCAAAGAGGCTTTGACTCTCTTCTGCTCACCGGACTATAGTTCTCCTGTTGCTGCCACTTGGCATGACAGGCCTAGGCCCTCTGCTTAATGGCTGTCGATTGTGGTGAAGCTGTGTCCTTGTGATGTGATGGTGGCCGTTAACTGTAATTGAAACTCAATCATGACTCAACTTTTTAATTGTATGTTCAGTTCAGGGACCATAAATACTGGCGATGTTTAAAATGGTTTCCATCCTTAATGATATTTTGTATCAATATTTCAGGACAACCACTGGTTACTCGGCAAGTGATCTGACTGCACTGGCAAAAGATGCTGCGCTCGGGCCTATCAGAGGTGAGTGAAACTTCACCTGTGTGACCAAGCAGTCGCTCATCACTCAGTGTTATACTGGTAGGAACCTCCTGGTTACACCAGCCCACAGGGGATTATTCTGTCCGTCCATCGTGCATCCAAAAATGGGAGGGGTGGGGCTGGGTGGAGAGGGGTGGGGAGGGGAGGGTGGGGCTGGGTGGGAGGGGTGGGGCTGGGTGGGGAGGGGCTGGTCACCCCGTGGTGCCCTTATAAAACTCAACGTTTAACCTACTCACGCCGGCTTGTGCCCGCCCTCACAGTCGGGCATATTTGTGGAATACACCACGCCGCCGTTGACCCTGGCCATTGACCGAGCAACCCAACGTTCCTACCAGCTCCCTCCGCAGGAATGTGCTAACACAACCTGAATGAGCCATCACTCATAGTGTTGTTTGTTTTTGCAGTTTTATTTCTGATCTTTTTATTGCTATTACATTGTCCTTTTTATCTGCGCTGATGTATTTTGGAATGTGCATGGTCACACTCCTGGTATCTCTTACAAAAGAGTTATATTATTTCGGTGGTCTGTCACCTGTTTATAAATAATGTACAAGTACGTGTATACAGTATGTGTGGGTTCTACTTGCTCCGCAAAGGAAAAGCAAAGTAACTTTGAATAAAATCGTGATTGCGAATTGTATTAGTTGAATTTTGAAGGTTAATCATTACAATTGTAACAATTTTAAGTGGGAATGTGCAATTTACATTAGAATAATGTGCAAGATTTGCTTTATATTGCAAACATGCAACAGACATTATACAATACATTTTGTAAATGAGAATAGGACATGCATATGCCACTGATAATTGCAGGATAATAAAGTCAAGGTGTCCACATGCTCAGTTGGGTAGTGCTCATCTGAGTTGGTGGTCCAGAGCCAGCAGCGGAAATTCCACAGTCCTATTCCCGGGACATGCTGTCCGTAGAGCAGCCACTGTTAACTCCCCACAACGTGTTCATTATTTTAATGGTCATGGGGGGGGGGGGGGGTTGTTTGACTATACTTCACCACGCTGTTCAGTGTAGGTTGGTGAAAGGAGAGGAACTCAGCACTGATGTTAGCCGTGGCCGGAAATCGAACTCCGATCGCTGGATTTACAGCGCAGTGTGCTAACCACTGCGCCACTGTTCCCCCCCCCTGTAGTTATGAATTGTATGTGGCTACTTTATAGGCAGCACAGGGCAATGCAGCTAAATCCTTTGTTGCACTGCACTATGCTGCCATGTCTATGGTCCCCATCTTTACCAACTGGCATTGACCAGCGTGGTAAGGTGTACTCAAATAACCCTTCTGTCCCACACGGCGTGGAAGGGCCCTCATCCAGTAGTGAGTGGCTTGACTAAAGGGCTGTACCAGTACGTGATGATAATGGGATGACCCCCCCCCCCACCAACTAGGATTTCAGCTCAGCCTCAAACTATAACAGGTGTTCTGACACAAAGCCAGATATTGTGCATGACATCTGGCTACTTAAATGTTTGTCAATACCTAAGCATAATTGTTGCTTTAAATGTAACTGTTTATGCATATTTATTTTCTCTTTAGAACTCAGCATGGAAGAGGTTAAAAACTTGGCTCCAGATGATGTACGTATCTTGTTGATTTATTATTTTACTGAAAGTTTTGCTGCATTTTCATGATTTGTTTTCAAGATGATCTTTACTTGGAATGTTTGGCCAATGACTACCTTTTGTATGTGGTAGATAAGACACCAGTGTGAAAAGTAACTCCACACATACACGAATATAACCTCAAATTAATCAAACAGAGGTTTGCAACCTGCTTGCTGTACTACCTCCTACAGGGGTCTTATTGAATTGATGCGTTGCAGCCATGTTTTCCCACGTTTGTAAAAAGCAAATCAAACAAAATTTTGTTTTTTAAATAAAAACATTTTTACTGCTAATTTCCATGAAACTGGGGGCAGACTACCATTGTAAGGATGTCTATACACTTCGTAATGTGTACATCAGTGTGACATCAATTTTTAAAGTCAGTTTATAAGAATGTTCTGACCACCTTTAAAAGTTGCAGTTCAAAATGGTTTGACAAGACTTTGGCAACGCTGAACTTTTGCGTACGTGTTCCAAGTGAAAACGGCAAGGCTTCACTTTGCTGGTTGATTCACTGTAACTCTCTAAAGATCAAGCTTGGCACAAATTCCACTGCTCCCAAGACACGTGTTGACCTCTACTCCCAGCTAGGGATCACGTCACGTATCTCCACCGTCTCTTCGGGATGCTGGGACACATGAACACATTTGTCAGTCCACCTCATTCACGCAGCTGGCAAATTATAATACTTTCATTTTATAAAGCGTCATTCATGCCAACAGCATCCCACAACTCTGTACATTAATTATATATGAGGACCAAATCCCATATACAGCTACTACCAAGCAAATTAAGAAATGAACAAACATACACCAAAAGCACAAACAACAAAAAAGTTATCACAAAAAAGAAATATAGGCAGAAGCTGTCGTCAACATTTCAATTCGTACAACCCTTAAAATACTTTAAAATCACGTGACTGTACAATTACAAAATGTTAGATTTTGTCGAAATAATATCTGTAAATTTTGTGTGATGTGTGTTTGTTGTAATTTTCTTGTTTCCCTGAACTTGACCAATGTTTTATGACTAAAACTGTTTCCATTGTAGTTTATTTTACCCAAGTTGACTTTACATTATTTCTTTTATCACATGATCCACCACGTTTATATAAAAAAAAACTGCCCTATGTTTGTTTTAGGTCAGAGGAATCCACGTGTCGGACTTTAAAGAATCTTTGAAGAAAATCAAAGCAAGTGTGAATCCCCAGAACCTCCTTACATACTTGAACTGGAACAAGGAGTTTGGTGACACAGCCTAGGCTGTGTTTATACTCAAAAAAAGCTGGACATGCTTACACATCGAGCATGCATACTTGACAGTGATGTACGTAACATGTTGCTGCTTTGTAAAATAAATAATTAGGAACTGCAATGACAGCGAGTGGTGTATGAGCAAAAAGCAAGAAATAATAACATAACAGACACGTATATTGTAGACTCACCTTGCAACCAATGGCCATTCAGAGCAGAGGGAAATGAATAAACATTGAAGGACGGCACTTGATAATGTATTTGCCTTGAGAACACCGGGATATCTCTGATGAAAACATGCAATGTGGATACAGATGTCAATGAAAGTACTTATTGATGGGTGTTTGTTTGATGTTTGTTTTATATCAATAAATTATAAAGTTTGGGATCAAGCCTAGAAATCAAACGTAGTTGCCTTTTTTCTCATGAAGGGCCATTTGGCTGAAACAACACAATTTAAATCCCCATGTCAGTAAACTGCTGGACGAATTCTCATGGGGGTTGTTTGGCCATGCTTTGTCATGCTGGTCAATGTTAGTTGGTGAAGGGTGGCCCAGGTTTAGTTATCACGCAACCGCTGATGTTATCCATGGCAGGGAAGCAATCGCAGGTCGCCGGGTTCATAGCGCAGTGCGCTTAACCACTCATCGTGGCTCATTACCGGAACTGTGATCCTAAGATGTATTTTATAGGTCTGTTAATTACAAAGATTTTTGTTTCTATTAAATAAATGATTGTCACGTTACGTTGCTGTTTACTGTTTTATAACGTGTAGGTGTTTTTTATTTTTAACCGTGTGTTGGAGGAGTGGTATCGGGTACATTTGCAATGTAAACTCCAAGTTTACACCTATCATAATTTACTATGTTGTGGTTCTGCAGTGAACAATATAATTTACTCATTGCATTTTATTGTTTTTGAAATGTATAGTATGGATATTGAGGTTATTAAGCCATTCACTAACCTCTGAATTACATTTCCCTACCGCATTTACGATGCCGCTGATAAGAGTGCAATTTTCAGGACTTAGCCCATCGCCTCGCCTCCAAACTACCACCATACATCACATTCATGTACAAGTGCAGTTTTCAACTCCGTTAATTATAGCAGATTAGAGGCCAATGAAAACAATGAATATGAGTCCAGAATGGATATGGGGAAATAATTCGTAATGTAATTATAAATGAGGACAGACACTGAAGGTTGTCTTGCATTATTCTAAGTTCCAGTATAAATAATCTGCAAACGGCCTTTTCGCCTATTAAATGAAAATACTTCAAAGAATGCATCTCTGATAGCCTGTTTTAATGGAGATGGGGAATCGATTGCAATCGATCATATAAAACATTGCTTGATGCAGGTAGCAGGAGGACTATGTGACAAGTTTAAATTCCGCTAAAATGCCGCACTACATTCCTTTGAGCTGCTTTGTGTTTTATTGCGTCTGGTCATGGTCAAGGTGAACATGTGGATTAGTGGAGGTTGCTAAAGCAGTACTTTGCACTGCACGAAATGTGTACCCGAGCACGAAGTGGTGTATACCATGAAGGTGTCTTGCATGTCCTAAAGGTCATGGGGATGTCTCAACCATACTTGGTGAAGAATGGCAGGGAGGGGGGTGAATTTTGTCCGGTTAATCTATCATCATCTGATGTTAGCCGTGGATGTTAGCCGTGGATGGAAATCAAACTCAGGTGGCCGTGTTTGTAGCACAGTCCACCACACCCGATGCCACCCTTCCACCCCTAAGCATTCAATTAACGCTTCCATGTTATCCGCCTCGTAGTGACTTTGAGAATGGAACGCAATCTCCGATGATCTCATTCCAATCACATCAGCCCGCGTGGACTGTTTTTTTCTTTGAACCCACCCAATTGCTGAGCACGTTTGAAGTGGCCGCTGCCATCGGCAAAGTTGCGAACGTCTCATACCGAACGACGCAACCTCTACGAGACGCGTTGTAAGGGGGCGCTATCGCACAGATTCTTAATCCCAGCTCACGCGTGTGAGATTTGGCGTTTTGTCATTTCGTATGAGTTGCATCATTGGGTGCCAACAATCAAACCCGCGTTGAAAAAAAAATCTATCTCATTGAATTGTGTCCATGAATCGCGACAATCCTAACCCCTCCTCGCAGTTACACGATTCGACAATGTGTATTACTTCTGGACACGAGCCCATCCTCGTCACTCCATCTCGTTGGGGGACGTCCTCTTGTGCCGTAATCTCTCCACTGGCTGCCCCTCCATGGTTAGTTTCGACCACCGGCCGTCATACCTTCTATCCCGCACCTCCGATTAACACGTTTGGCTCCGTACGTCGCGAAATAAGGTCTAGATAGTGACGCCTGCCCGATATTACTCTTTTTTAAAATACATTCCTGCGGAGGGAGCTGGTAGGAACGTTGGGTTTCTCGGTCAATGGCCAGGGTCAACGGCGGCGTGGTGTATTCCACAAATATGCCCGACTGAGGGCGGGCACAAGCCGGCGTGAGTAGGTTAAACGTTGAGTTTTATAAGGGCACCACGGGGTGACCAGCCCCTCCCCACCCAGCCCCACCCTCCCCACCAAGCCCCTCCCCACCCTCCCCACCCAGCCCCACCCCACCCAGCCCCACCCCACCCTTTCCACCCAGCCCCTCTCCACCCAGCCCGACCCATTTTTGGATGCACGACGGACGGACGGACACAATAATCCCCTGTCTGCTGGTGGAACCAGGTGGTTCCTACCAGTATAGCCAATACTCTGTCTTTGTGTTTGCTCTCAGCTCCACGTATTCTTCTTTCATTCTCTCGGTGTAATTCCAAGTACGCACCCTTTCCATGCCTCGGTGCACGTTTCAGCTCTTGTTTCGTTTGCTTTATCATGCGTTCATCTTTATTGATCCATACCATAACTGTTAACATGCAATGATTAACACTTGTAATATGCCATTAAAAACGTTCCCGTCTGCCACGGAAGGTCTCGCCAAAAGCAATATCCGCCTCGGTGCCTTTCATGTTGCAGCACGCAAGCCAACTTGACGGATCGCAGTGAGAGAGTTCAATTGCAGTGGAGGGTCAAACGGACCGCAACGTCCTCTCTCCCTAAAGCCTATACAGCTCGGACTATATAAACACTCGGTTGTGTGTCAATAGTTATTGTCGCACGAACGAGTCGGCGAAACGAATGTGGATTGGTTAGAACACTTGTTCAGGACCACCAAACGCAATTTTGAGCAAGTATTGTAATTTGGGTATTTTTATTTGACAAGTGTAGCCGGTCCGCTCTGTCACCTCTCCTCCTCCTGTCGTTTGAATCTTTTCGAGTGGGGGTGGACAGGTCGGCTTAATAGACAACAATACAAATTATAAAGTTCGGAGACGATGAGTTGTAGACTGTTCTGAACACAAGGGATTTGTGAAGCGGCAGGACTTTATTTCAAAAGTCATCTTTTTCACAAGTGCAATGTGTGTATCTGCCATAGGCCACCACGTCACAACACCGCAGCCGAATTCCTCGGTCCAGAAGATGGCACAACATGTCTATTGGGGACGTGGTGGGGGGGGGGGGGCTCGGGGTACAATCACCGATCACCATCGCCTGATCTTAAATAATAATAACAAATATAATGAAACGCATCTGGCTCTCCGTTGCTCGTTTATTAGGGTCCCATATACACTACGGATTGCACAATTGTGCGCGCGATTCATCACAGGTGAAGCCTATAGCGGCTACAAAAGCCACCTTTGGCTCACCCAGACCATGATATGAGTTATTATATAGTAAATGTCCGGCCTGGTGCGATAACAATACATGTCCAGTGCTCCAGTTAACGAAACAGTATTTGGGTCGGACTTAGCTCGGTCTCAACGCGCTGTTCTTTAAGGCAGTCGCGGCACAAAACGAGGCACAAAACGAGGCTCATGTTAACGGAGGGCAGCGGGGTGGGGTAGAATAACAAATCAAATAAGAAAACAAACAACCTGGTGGCCAGAAATAACAGAAAGTGGAAGAAGAAGAAGAAGAAGAAAAAACTCACGAGGAACAACACAAACTACTGAAAGCAGGCATGAGGGCCTCCTCCCCCATTGTTTTGTTGTGGTTCTCAGAAGACGCGCTCTGCGCGCCGCCGTGGCCTCTCGCACGGAGAACATAAAAAGTGGCGAGGGAACAAACAATGAGCGCCGAGGGGGGCGGAGGGGTGATGGGTTGTGGTGGTGGTGGTGGAGTAAATGGACGGGGAAGGCGTGCGGTGCCTTCCGCCCATTGCCCGAGCGCGACTCGGCGTGAGAGAGCGACGCGGCGGGGCTGAGCAGCAACAACAATTAGTGGTTCCCCACCCAACCACCCACCCACCCACCAACACCACCCACCCACCACCACCCACCCACCCACCAACACCACCCACCCACCCACCAACACCACCCACCCACCCACCAACACCACCCACCCACCCACCAACACCACCCACCCACCAACACCACCCACCCACCAACACCACCCACCCACCAACACCACCACCCACCAACACCACCACCCACCAACACCACCACCACCCACCAACACCACCACCCACCCACCAACACCACCCACCCACCAACACCACCCACCCACCAACACCACCCACCCACCAACACCACCAACCAACACCACCACCCACCCACCCACCAAACACCACCACCCACCTCCGCACACGCGTCGTACACACACAGTGGGTACACACCACACACCGTGTGTGACGACGATAATGATGATGTACATGGCAACATAGACCTGTCAACCCATACGATTTAACCCCGTATTCTTGTGCACTGGAATTGAGTTTGAAGGTCCATACGACATAGAGCCGTTTTAATACGGGGACAAATAAAAAAAGTGTGTCTGTGTTTTTCCCTTGTGATGTGACTTTGTAGAATTAACGTTGCCATTTATAAGGGGCACGGGGTCACCGATAAGGTGTGAATTGGTCTGTAATAAGGTAGGCACTGCCGAGGGTTTGACAGGTTTGCTGTATACACGGGGAGCCCAGCGGCAACGTGTTCGCCGGTTGTTGCAAAGGTTCAAGGTTCGAATGCGGCAGCCACCCTCATTATTGCTGTGGGTGTCAATAAGCGTAATCATAATCATGCTACGCGCCGTCTGCGTCTCAGTGGACGTTAGAGATATCCTGACGTCAGTCGCAAGAGTGGGCCATTGTGTGCCGGCGACACTGCCGCAACCCTCTGGGAAAGTCCAGACAATTGTGGAAAATGTACGTCTCCCCATCCACCAAGAACCTGAACGTCCCTCGCCGCCGCTTAAAGTCGTGCAAGCCCTTTTGTAACACGCGCGTAACGTTCAACAGAGCAACCCTGATGCTGCTGCTGCTTGGAGGGCCAAATGGACTTGACAAGAAGTCACAAACAACCACCTCGTGCAAGACTC